GCTTTCATTTTATGGATCAATGGTCTTGTTAGATAGCAAAATTCATGTTCAATTGCTATTTTAGGGGTTGTTTCTAAAAGTCTGGAACAGATTAATCCATTTTGCATTACTTTCTATGGGAAAGTGTGCCTTGGTTTTGGAACGCTTTGGTTTTGGAATGGACTTCTGGAACGGATTAAGTTTGAGAACCAAGGTACCACTGTACTAGTGGGGGGTTTTCTACGTAGTCCGTAAATGATCTAGATGTACTGCATATTTTTTGCCACTGAGAAAACACTTATGGAGAAACTGGTTTCATTCCAAAAATAAAAGCTCATCGCAGATCGATTTTACATTAACCCCTCGTGTGTCCGTTTGAAAATGAGTGGAGGAAGTCCCAGTAATGGGGGCTGGGGTGTATCTACACCTGCCCCATGATGTTGTGGGTGATGTATGTCAAGATCACAATAATCCCTTCCTTCTTCCTTCACCTGTGCAGGGTTCCACAGTTACTGTACACTGTGTCAACATCTTCACTGAGCTATCCACTACAACCCCAAGGTCTTGTTCCTGGTCACTCACCACCAGTTCTGGTCTGGTGAGCATATATGTGAAATCAACTTTATTTTTTTATTTTTGCCCCAACGCATATCATTTTGCTTACATTTCAAGGCATTTGCCATTTTGCTGCCCATGCACACAGTTTGGAGAGATGCTTTTGGAAATCTGTGCCGTTCATTTCTTCTTTCAACTCCCTTCAACAATTTGGAATCGTCACTGAACCTGGCTACCTTACAGCTCGCCTCTAACACTAGGTAAAAGGACCCCTGACCATTAGGTCCAGTCGGGGCCGACTCTAGGGTTGCGGCGCTCATCTCACTTTATTGGCCGAGGGAGCTGGCGTACGGCTTCTGGGTCATGTGGCCAGCATGACTAAGCCGCTTCTGGCAAACCAGAGGAGCGCACGGAAATGCTGTTTACCTTCCCACCGGAGCAGTACCTACCGTATTTATCTTCTTGCACTTTGACGTGCTTTCGAACTGCTAGCTTGGCAGGAGCAGGGACCGAGCAATGGGAGCTCACCCTGTCGCGGGGATTTGAACCATCGACCTTCTGATCGGCAAGTCCTAGGCTCTGTGGCTTAACCCACAGCACCACCCGCGTCTCCTCTAACACTAGGTAAAGGGACCCCTGACCATCAGGTCCAGTCGTGACCGACTCTGGGGTTGCAGCGCTCATCTCGCTTTATTGGCCGAGGGAGCCAGGGTATAGTTTCCGGGTCATGTGGCCAGCATGACTAAGCTGCTTCTGGCGAACCAGAGCAGCACACTAGCTAGCAGAGTGCTAAACAGTGACAGTTCATAAAAAGGAAGGCTGCCGTGTGTGTCAACTCCTTACCTGAATCTCAAGAACACATTGCGCAAGAAGCTCATTGACTGGATGCACCAGAGAGATCTGAGAATCGAAACCCACAACTCTCAGAGGTAAGGCAGCTCCGTTCCCCAGCAGCAATGGTTATGAGTTATTAGAGACCCTCCCTTTGTGACTCACAACACCAGCATGTAACCCCCTGGTGTTTCATCCTCCACTGTCTTCCAACGGTTTGATGTGCTAATGGATTGTTACAAGCTACCTTAATTATCTGAAATGACTAGATGATACCCATTGCCAATCAAGCAGTGCTTGCCTGAATGCTTGCTCAGGCTATGGCAAGTTCCTGCCTTTTCATTTTTTGCCTGAAGAACAGATTTTTGAGACAAGGCTGTTTCTGCAAGTGGCTCCAATGCTAGAGCAGCTATGTTAGCAATGATAACTGCAATCTCTGACAGCAGATGAGACCACTGCTGACAGAATGGTACTGGATAAAATTCATGTTGTCAGTGCTACTACAGTGGTACCTCCGGTTAAGAACTTAATTCGTTCTGGAGGTCTGTTCTTAACCTGAAACTGTTCGTAACCTGAAGCACCACTTTGGCTAATGGGGCCTCCCGCTGCCACCGCACCAAAATTTCTGTTCTAATCCTGAAGCAAAGTTCTTAACCTGAGGTACTATTTCTGGGTTAGCAGAGTCTGTAACCTGAAGCATCTGTAACCTGAAGCGTCTGTAACCCAAGGTACCACTGTACTGAGCTGCAAATTTATTTTATGAATAAAGTCTCACTGTGGAATTTCTCCCCAATGGGAGGGGAAAAAAACCCACTGTACAAGACGGCTCTGAGTGCGGGACCCTCACACATCCTTTTCTGTATAGGAGTCAAATCAGCCAGCAAGTGTGTTGGATAAAGGGGGGATAACTGAAGCAAGAGAACTCGCAGCATTCCTAAATAGAGTTGTGTTCTGGCTTCTGCCGCACCGCCGGAGCATGATTTCTGTTTTCATCCTGAAGCAAAGTTCTTAAACCAAGGTAATATTTCTGGGTTAGCGGAGTCTGTAACCTGAAGCGTATGTAACCTGAAGCGTATGTAACCCGAGGTACCACTGTACATAAATCCCTGAAAGGGAGTGGGTGGCACTGTGGTCTAAACCACGGAGCCTCTTGGGCTTGCCATTCGGAAGGTTGGCGGTTCGAGTCCGTGTGACGGGGTGAGCTCCCGTTGCTCTGTCCCAGTTCCTGCCAACCTAGCAGTTTGAAAGCATACCAGTGCAAGTAAATAAATAGGTACCGCTGTGGCGGGAAGGTAAACAGCGTTTCTGTGCACTCTGGTTTCCGTCATGGTGTCCTGTTGCATCAAAAGCAGTTTAGTCATGCTGGCCACATGACCCGGAAAGCTGTCTGTGGACAAACACCAGCTCCTTTGGCCTGAAAATGAGATGAGCGCTGCAACCCCATAGTCCCCTTTCGCTGGACTTAACCATTCAGGGGTCCTTTACCTTTGCCGTAAATCCTTGAAAAACGTAGGACCAGCCCACCTGAAGGACCACCTTTCTCCACACCTTCCTGCCAATTCTTGGACATCTGCTGCAGAAGCATTCCTAAGTGTCCCAAATCCATTTGGCATCCACAATAAATGTGACATTTAGCGTAGAAGCACCTGTATGGCGGGATTCATTGCATCTGCCCATTAGTGTGGCATTTTCTGTCTGGTTTTAGACTCCATCTTAAAACGTTTTCATTTACACAAGCTTGCCCTGCCACGTGATGCAGTTTTACATTTTTGTGATGTTTGCCTGGTTTATGCTTTTATCTTTGATTTTATTGCCTTATGTTGGTTTCATTACTGACACAGCTTTGAGAACATTTCCCCCTTGATTTAGCAGGATAGAAATTGATGTATAAAATAAATAAACAGAACCTTGAGGAGCATTCCTCAGTCTGGTGGCCTTCAGATGTTCTGAACACCAACTCCCACAAGCTGATAGCCAGAGATGAATGATGGTGTAGTCCAAAAAATCTGGAAGGCACCGGGATGGGGAAGCCTGATCTTGAGTATTCAAAAACATTTGAGTTTATTCATTCCTGTGACCCAACAATTTTCTGTGCTATCACAACATGTAACCCTGGAAAAGCTGATCATCTCAGGATGAAGACAGATGAAACTTCTTCCTCTCCTCCATATTCAAATTTAAGAGTGCTAGATGTTATTTTGATAACGCTTCTCTCAGCCATTAAACACAGTTCCTTTTACAGTCTTTCGCAAGCTCTGATAAACCAGGGTTTTTGTTTGTTTGTTTCTTAGTTTTGTATACCACCCTTCATCCAAAGTTCTCAGGCGGTTCACAGCATACTGTGAACTGTGTTGAAAACTCTATAGTCCTGGCAAGGGCGTATTGGCTAGCACCCGTATCATCTTCCTCAGAACACTTTCCCACTAGGAAAGCAGGTTTATGTTGCTGGCTTTTTTAAAGTGAGGTGTACGATAAAGGAGCCTCTTGCTATTATATAGTTTAAGTCACACAGCCCACCTGACACACAAGGGTGGGAGCGAGACTCCCTCATTGATCCTGTGCTTGACTTGCCAACAAGTACTTTTGTGCCACCAGCTGCTCTGGTTGAAGACCCTGCTGAGACTGCTAAATTATGCTATATGTCTGTCTCCAGCCCTTACTCTCTGGGGAAGAGGGAGAAAACACAAACAAGTAAACTGATGGAGTGGTTAACACCCCACCCCACCCCCAATTTGCTCCATGAATCCCTTGTCTCGGTTCCCTTTGCTGGGCAAAATGCAAAGAATTAGACCAGCTCAGATTAGTGCAGACATGTTCATTATAGAAAGAAAGTATTAATTCTATTCACACCAATTACTGTGTTGCAGAGAGCAGCTGTGAGCAATGAATAGTTTGTGTTTATCCAACATATACAAAGGGAGATTATCTAAATGGGAGCTCTGCCCACATTTTGCTCCCCCTTTACAGTGGTAAAAAGGTTTACAGGAGGACATGCCCCCCTCTGTCTTCCTTTAGCTAAGGGCCAGTAGACCCCCCGCTGCCTGGGAAGGATATAACTGGACGACTGGCGGGCCCCGGAATCTCACAATTAAAAGTGTGTCTAAATGTTTTGTGTTGTTTTTATGAGATTCAGCGGGTGCAAGCCATGCATTCACAGCCTATGCTGTGTCCCCTGGCTGTTTTCGTGGCAGACTGCTCTGTTCCCAGAGCAAAGCAAGGGAGTGGTCCAGCCAAGCCAGAGACCTGACAACTACAGCACTGATGAGCAAAGCGGTCCAAGGAATGTTACCACAGGCTAACCAGGAGCTGTTACACCAGCAGCTGGCATGCAAGAACTGTTTCTTTTTGTAGACAACCTGGGGCCCTTCCAGACTGCTGTTTTATGGCACATAAATAGCACATTTGAAGTGGATCACCTGTACATAATCTTACTTTCTCTAGGGTTGCCATTCGTCCAGGATTTCCTGGACATAGCTGGGATTCGGCCGCCAGGAACAACACCTAGGCGGAAAACACTTGTCCAGGAAAATCCGGACATAGGGCAACCCATGTCAGAAGTATAGTTTTTGGTGAATTTCCTTAAAAATAGCTCAGAAACGTCAATATTTATTTATTTGAGATTTTGCCAAAAAAAGTCAACAACTAAGAAAAACTCAACAACTTTTGTGTCCGCATTTTCACTTTTTGAAATATGGCAAGCCTAACTTTTTCATTTTATCACATCTGCAATGAATTCCAAATATTCCCATGTTCTTGGCTTCATACTTCAACTGTGCCCATTCCATTATTCCATCTCCAATTCCCCCTGCCTGAGCGCAAGTTAGTTGTGCTGTGCTGTCACGTCGCCGTTCTTTCATTTGTACACTTCTCAGGTTTTTCTGTTTCCTGTGCCAAAGAAACACCCCATGCTATTCTGTGAAGAAACTGCAGGAAGGCCAGCTTACGACATCAATAGGAAGCACATGGGAGTTGCGCAACGCTGCAAGCACCTCCCCCCCCCCCCTGCACAGGTAAGTTAGTTGCACTACGATGGCACGGCACCATCATGGCACTGCTTGATGGACGAGCGGCTTCCACAGATACATAGTCTCCAGGACATTGCGCAGGGATATGGGTTAATGCATATATGACTAGGCCTCCCAGCCACTCTGACCTCCATTTTCAAAGGATTCCAGAACTGGACCAGGAAGTTCTACAGAATTCCAGTTTGAGAAACCCGATTCTGGATTTTGCAAGAAAGATCCACAAACAATTAAAGGCCAATATTTGGTTTCTTGCTTTGTGTACCTTCCTGAAAAACGCACGCCTTCAGAAACACCACATTCCTTTAGCTTCAGCCGCCAACATGATACTTCGTATCCTGCTGTGTATTTATTGAGTTGCATGATTTATATCCCACACCTTGACTATAAATGCATGCTCCTAGAGTGGCTAACAGAATAGGAAGGAACAGAAAAGTACAATATAATAAGAGGAATATAATATAATGCATATTAATGAAGAAAATTAAAACAACTAAAGGAGAAATCAGATGCTGTTAGACTCCAAATTCCATCAGCCACAGCCATTATACACAATGATCAGGGATGATGGGACCCGTTGTCCATCGTATGGATGGTCACAAACTCCACATCCCTGGCTTAAATGAAGTCTCCAAGTGCTGGGGGGTGGCATTCCAACCCATGGGTGCCTGGAAACTCTGCCGAGGAACAAATTATACATTTAAATCATAGCTGAAGCACACTTTTCTCCTCAAAGAATTCTGGGCACTGTAGTTTGTTGAGGGTTGCTGTGAATGGTCCTCTGACTGTGAGTGGTAAATTCCAGTGCCCAGAATTCTTTGAAAGAATGTGCTTTAAAGTTATAGTGTGTAACAGGCACCTCCAAACTCAGCCCTCCAGATGTTTTGGAACTATAACTTCCATCATCAGGATCAGTGGTCAGGGATGATGGGAATTGTAGTCCCAAAACATCTGGAGTACCGAGTTTGGGGGTGCCTGGTGTATAAGCAGCCTCTGATGAGCTGAAGAAGGCAGCCTGGCCAAAGGTTGGAGGGGGGATGGAGTTAGGGGTGATATAGCAGTGTGGAGATCATGACTGCACCTACTTGTCTGATGAATTCTTCCATGTTGCTCTGCCAGAATCTGTTAGGTTTGAGCCCCCAGTGGTTTTCACCAAGTAGAAGGATTTTTGCAATGCAGTTAGCAACTCTGATGCAATCATAAATCGAGAGGCTGCCTGTAAGATATACAAAACATGTGGCCTCTAAATGATCTGGGACCAGCCCATCTGAAGGACCACCTCCTCACACCTCTGTATATCTGTGTGCTCATGTCTACACCTGAGGCCTCGCCCTCATTTGGCACCTGGCTCAGCTGTTGCTTAGCAATGAAATGCATGTTTTTGCAGGCCTTTGTGGCAAGTTAATAGCCTACTGCTATATATAAATAATATTTCTCATGTGCCAGGGTGGTGTTGTTTTTTCCATGCTGCCGTTTCGTTTTGCACATTTTTATAACCAATTTAAGTCAGTTTGTTACTTATTGAGTATGTTTGTATGCTTCCTTCGGGGTGCTTTGGGACGACTTTGGGGTGTGCAATATGATAAATTAATAACTAAGCAGATCATGCGCCAGGTGGTTTTTCTGATTTTAGACCACCTTGCATTGTATCCTTTGAACCAGTCAATGCAACCCTAAATAATGAGAGTCTTGCAGAGGAGAAGATGCTCACTACCTGTCCATTATACACTATTTTCAGACACAGGAGGAACTGCAGGGAGTCTGGGATCTTACAATAGTGGCATGACCCCCCAAAATGAGAGAGAAAACTGGTTTCTATTCTCCATCACCTGCTATAGCTAGAACTCTCTCATATAATCTCACCATACTACTGCCGTGTTTAAAAAAACCACAGTAATTTTTGTGCATTTTTCCTCTGGCAGAAAATTACTTACACACCCATCAGCTTTGAAATGGGACACCCTTTTTTCCCCTCTAAAAGACAGGTATCTTGAAAGCGCAATCAAATAATTTCTCAACAACTGATAAAATACCAAGTCATCAGACTCGGAGCACGATTGTTTAAAGTGCAGCAGACGCACACAGTAATACAATATGAACATAACCAGAAAACAAATAGGACATGCTTTTAATGGAGTCCTTCATTATCTGGCGGTCGCCTTTAATGGAGCAAACAGCGTGTGTCATTTCTGTTATCTTACCGTAGACAGTTTGCACACACTGTAAAAATTGCTCTCCATTCTCCGGCTGAAAAGATCAGTGTTTCTAAAAGGTGCCGGGGAGGGGAGGTCATGCTGATTTATTGGCAATTAAACCTGAAGGATCTCTATACCCTCTTCAAAACAAAGCCTATCTGGGTAATTCAGCCGGGGAGACCGCAGAGCAGGCTGCCCCTCCTGTCATGAGCCCACCTTTTCTGTTTGGGCTCAGCAAAAACAACTGCCTTGGCCTTACTGAAAATGTCCTGGCCTGTGCAGGTTCTAGCTGCAGTTGCTATAGAAACCAGCTTCCAGGGAACCCTTTCCACAGCAACTAGAGGAAACCCTGCGGGTTTGCAGCGGAACCAGAGCACTGAATTCTGGGAAAGTGTTTCCGTTCATGAGGGCTGCTGGCCAAGTCTATTGGTCCCCAACCTTTGCTCCACATAAGTAGAGAGCAGACCCTAGAGAGTGTGGCGTAGTGGCTAGAGGGTCGGACCTGGGAGATCAGGGTTCAAATCCTCACTCAGCCACAAAGCTCACTGCATTGATGATGTTGGGCCAGTCAATGGTCTCTTGGGGTGGTGTTCAAAAGCAGACCCATGGAAATGAATGGAAATGACTACAGGCAGTCCATTAACTTCAATGGATCTGTTCTGAGTAAAGATTAGTCGAATACCATCCCTTGCCTACACACTGTTGTTGTGAGGGAAAGTTCGAGAGTTCTATCCAAATGTGATTTTGGTTTTAAATGCAGCGTTAGGTAGTCTCTGTGGGAGTCTATTGTATTTAATTATGGGGTATCAGAGTTTTTAGGGGGTTAACCAGGCTGGGATAACTGGGATAGCAGGCTTCTTGGTTTTTGAATGTCTGATGTAGATTTTTTCAATTTCATTGTTCTGTATGGGACAATAACTGTTATGTACTGAAGTTCTCACCCTGGGCGAGCAGGGGGATACTGTAGATAGTTATGCAAATGAAGGATCGAAAAGTGACGTTCAGTGATTGGATAGTTTTAGAAAATGGCAACAGTTGCATTGTTCTGGAGCTCTATATAAGCAGGCTGACTGAGCTCCTCAGCCTAGTTCTGTTCTGGCATCTGAATAAAGAAGAGCTGTTTAAAGAATCGCTGTGTCGTCTGACATGTTCACCCACAACTTAACAATAACAATAAAGATTATCGTATTGCATCGAGGTGGAGAGCCACATGTGGCACTTTGAGCAACTTGGGAGATACAGAATAATAAACAATTCAAATCTTGAGGTGCTCTCTTTATTTTTTTAAATTTTATTTATTAAAATTGTATACCGCTCTATACTTGCAGGTCTCAGGGCAGTTACAACATAAAAACAACAACCACAATATAAAAACACAACATGCAGAGATGATGGCCATTTCAGCACAATTTCAGGTCCAGGGAAATCAAAATGGCTTCCGGTCACTTGGTTAGTCCACAGCTGAGGCCAAGGAAAGGTATCGGCAAAGTGAGCCTTGCCAAAAAGCTGTGACCCCTTGTAGCTGCCTATGAGGTGCTGGGTGCTGATACCAGGCCGGTCTGCCCTTCCCAGTCTTCTAACAGATGTGACCCCCAATCAACATCTGGGAACATCTGTGGTGTGCATGTGGAGGTGAACTCTCCCTACGCACCATGGTCCCAATCCAAGGCTGCTAGTTAAATTTTAAAAACTAGGCTTCTTAGTGGCAATCACACAATTCATGTCAAATCTAATTGGACCTAGGACCATAAGGTTTCCAGCTCAGCCCTCCGAGTCTCTGACAGGTCTTCTCTCCCCATAGAATAATAATAATAATAATAATAATAATAATAATAATAATAATAATTTTTTATTTATACCCCGCCCATCTGGCTGGGTTTCCTCAGCCACTCTGGGTGGCTCGCATATTAAAAATATTAAAAACACAATGCAGCATTAAACATTAAAAACTTCCCTAAATAAGTTGCCTGTGTAGTATCTCATTAAGTCAGGACAGGGAATGTGTTGCCCTCCAGATAATGCATCATAGAATCGCAGAATTGTAAGTTGGAAGGGACCCCGAGGGTCATCTAGTCCAACTCCTGCAACGCATGGAATCTCAACAGAAGCATCCGTGACAGATGGCCATCCAACCTTTGCTTAAAAACCTCGAAGGAAGGAGAGTCCACAACCTCCTAAGGGAGTCCGTTCCACTGTCAAGCAACTCTTACCATCAGAAAGTTCTTCCTGATGTTTAATTGGAATCTCCTTTCCCGTAACTTGAATCCATTGGTCCTAGACTCTGGAGCGGGAGAAAACAAGCTTGCTCCCTCTTCCATGGGACAGCCCTTGAGATATTTGAAGATGGCTATCATATCTCCTCTCAGTCTCCTCTTTCTCAAGCTAAACATACCCAACTCCAGTGCTATTTCTCGGGGTGGGGTGGGGTACTCAAGGGTACACCGTATCATCACTTTCCCCAAAAATGTTAAATTTGTGGCACTTACTGTAACAACTTCATGGTGAGTATCAGCACCTTTTTTCCTTAAAAAAGTGGGGGGGGGATGCACTGCCCAACTTCCTCAACCATTCCTCATAAGGCCTGGTTTCCAGACCCTTGATCATCTTGGTCACCCTCCTCTGCCACATGGCAGCCTGTCAATATCCTCCTTAAACTGTGGTGCCCAGAACTGGATGTAATACAGGTGTGGTCTGATCAGAGACATCACCTTGCCAACAAAGGTCGGTATAGTTAAAGCTATGGTTTTCCCCAGTAGTGATGTATGGAAGTGAGAGTTGGACCATAAAGAAGGCTGATCGCTGAAGAATTGATGCTTTTGAATTATGGTGTTGGAGGAGACTCTTGAGAGTCCCATGGACTGCAAGAAGATCAAACCTATCCATTCTTAAGGAAATCAGCCCTGAGTGCTCACTGGAAGGACAGAGCCTGAAGCTGAGGCTCCAATACTTTGGCCACCTCATGAGAAGAGAAGACTCCCTGGAAAAGACCCTGATGTTGGGAAAGATGGAGGGCACAAGGAGAAGGGGACGACAGAGGACGAAATGGCTGGACAGTGTTCTCGAAGCTACCAGCATGAGTTTGACCAAACTGCGGGAGGCAGTGGAAGACAGAAGTGCCTGGCGTGCTCTTGTCCATGGGGTTACGAAGAGTCGGACACGACTAAACGACTAAACAACAACAACAACAACCTCCCTTGATCTGGACCAGGGGTCGGCAAAGTTCTTGTGGCTTAGGCCAGTTCACGGTCCCACAGATGCTGTGGTGGGCCGGAGTGCGTGCGCACACACGTTATTTTTGGCGCGGAGGAGTGCACAGCTTCCCATTGGCTGCAGGAGCTTCCTGCAGCCAATGGGAAGCCACACAGCGTCGCGGAAGGCGGTCCCTGCTCTGCTCCACACTGGTTTAGTGCGATGCACGGGAGCCGACCGAGCGGGCGGCGGGGGTCCAGTTAAACAACCCCTATGGGCCGCTCGTGGCTCATGGGCCTTAGGTTGCTAACCCCAGATCTAGACTGTATACTTCTGTTGATATAGCATTAACCTTTTTTGCTGCTGCATCACACTGTTGACTCATGTAATCCAACAATGTCTGAAGAGCCACTGGTTCCCAAGCCTTGTGATAAAGTTAAAAATACAGTTCAGGCACAATTAGTTTGACTGGAAAAGAGCCTTCCCCCCTCTATCTTTTATACTCTAGACAACATATTGGGCAAGATTACTTATCAGAGCTGTTTCTTCCTGACTTGACTGACTGTACCAAATTGCTGCAATGTTTAGATGTGAATGCTCTCCCCCAAATCCCGTATCATGCAGCAGAACTCTTCAGTGTAAACACAGCACACAGAACACTGTGCTGAACAAATACCAAAGTTCTTGGCCAGAGGAGCTTATAAAGCTAAAACTATCAGGATACAAGATGTGGGACAACGCAAAACAAACAGCTGAGCAGTTGGGCTTTACAAACAGAAACCTTATGGGGTTTTTGTCACTGTCCTCGACCCATAAAATCATGGTTAATTTACTTAAAATTCAGGAAATAAAATCTAAGCAACACCTACATTGCAGATAAATCACCTGCGTTCCTGCTGCTGAAGTCTATAGATCTGTTATTCCAATTTAAAAATTATGACCCAGGTTTAAACATTCTTAAGGCAGTACATTTCAAAAGTCCATAAGACACCCATTATTTCATGACTTTCCCAGGCCCATATAATCTGGTGTAGACGTTATGGTTTATAGGTTTTTAAACTTAAAGGATTACCGTATTTTTCGCTCTATAACACGCACCCGACCATAACACGCACATAGTTTTTAGAGGAGGAAAATCCGTAGGCATGCCACCCGTAGGCATTCCCTCCATAACACACACAGACATTTCCCCTTACTTTTTAGGAGGAAAAAGGTGAGTGTTATGGTGCAAAAAATACGGTATCTCAAATATTAGACGTACTTAGGAACAGGTCCTTTGAAATCAAAATAACTCACATAAATCCACTGATTTCAGTGGATCTACTGTGCATATGACTAATAACCCAGTGTGTTTCTGATTTCACGATAAAGTGACATATTCTATTATGAATAATGAAGCCATAAGAAAGACCTCCCGCAGCTCTCCAAAAGTAATATACACATGTGGATATGAATTTGGAGCCAGTTTCACCACCACACAAGAGACAAGATGCTTTATAAAAAGTAAACAGTGGCTTACTTCTTTGGCAAGAAGTCCAACTGAAAAACTATAGTAAAACCCAGTTGTAGTTGTTGTTTTCTCTCATGTGCACCCTCCTTTGTTCATGGATGTTGTTTCTAGGTGCAAAAAGTGCATTGACACCAAGACTCCCTGGGCCATCTTGAGTATGAATTGTAAGTCAAACTTGTCTGGAACCTGGTTTTGTCACTTGGGCCTCACTTTCAAAATCTTATTTTTACTGAAGCTATAACAACGATTGCATACTATTGCCAGCACACTAAGGCCTGCTGGGATTGTTCAGATCACCAAGGTACTTAGCGCAGTAATACCCTGCCACCGTAAACATGACCAGTCACCCATAGCTAAGAAAATATCCAAGTACAGTGGTACCTCGGTTTAAGAACAGTCCGGTTTAAGAACAATTTGGTTTACAAACTCTGCAAAACCGGAAATAGTGTCCTGGTTTGAGAACTTTACCTTGGTCTAAGAATGGAATCCAAATGGTGGAAGGGCACCGGTGGAGGGGGGCCTCATTAGGGAAAGCGAGCCTCGGTTTAAGAAGGGTTTCAGTTTAAGAACGGACTTCCGGAACGGGTTAAGTTCATAAACTGAGGTACCACTGAATCTCAAATTAAACTCTGGTGGAACACCTACTATTTCTGGTGTTCCATTGGACTTATGATACCTTCTCTCTGTTATCTGTGCGGATTTAAATCCATCAGTTTAGGAGACTACTTGATGCACCCGATAAACATCTCTTTTCAGCCATGAAAAGTTCATGCCATAACCCAATTTGACGGTTTTTAGGATGCCACTGCAGATTCTTTGGCTGCCACTGTAAACACATTTATATGGAAATAAGTCCCACTGAGATCAGAAGGCCGTACTTCTGAGCAAATATTTAGGAGTGCACCTGCAACTTTAGCATGCTTGTGGCCTTCCCAGAGGCATCTAGTTGTTCACTGGAGAAAACAGGAGGCTGGATTAGATGGGCATTTGGTCTGATCTGGCTTGTCTCTTCCATTCCTAGGATGGTTAACAGGAGTTGGCCCCCATCCCTTCAGGGCACATTCTGATCTGAGAGTTTCTCCTTTTCCCATCTGTGTAAGAGATGTGTATGCCATATATTTGGGGACATGGTACCAGTGATATATCACTGCAGGTTACCTAAGGGTTCATCTGATAAAACTCTTCTTGCAAGATGTATAAGAGAGACGTAAACAACATACCCTTGAATTAAAGAAAGAAGCAATGGTGGTTATCAAGTCTTGCAGGCGTGTAGCTAATTTTAGACCCAGCAACATAATGGACTTACAGGGCTCACCCCATTCAACGGTTTATAGCGGCTTATACATTCCTGCTTTGTTAGATATTATTATTATTATTAAACAAGGTTGGCAACCCAGATTTTCTACATACATATAAAAAGGAAATAATGTGAGCACTCCCGATTTCCCATTTTAAACTCACTTAAATCATAGCACCACAATGACTCCAGGAATAAAATGGAGCTTGCTTCTGCTGCCCTGATACTAGCTCAGTTGGCACAGCATGAGATCTTGGGGTTGTGGGTTTTGAACCCCATGCTGGGCAAAATATTCCTGCGTGGCAGAGGGTTGGATTAGATGACCCTTGTGGCCCTTTCCAACTTTAAAATTCTATTATCAAAATAAGCACGAATTTATTGTAAAAAAGGCTGGCATCCGTCTGTCTCGGGAGATGATGAGTGCACCTTTGTGGGTGAGGTCAAGCTGCTGGACGGTTGCTGCGCCTGCTGTGGCAATCACGTAATTTTAAAAGTAAAAATAATACAGTAACACGAGCATCATAACCATGTGCAGTGGTACCTCGGGTTAAGTACTTAATTCGTTCCAGAGGTCCGTTCTTAACCTGAAACTGTTCTTAACCTGAAGCACCACTTTAGCTGCTACCGCGCGGCCGGAGCACGATTTCTGTTCTCATCCTGAAGCAAAGTTCTTAACCTGAGGTACTATTTCTGGGTTAGCGGAGTCTGTAACCTGAAGCGTATGTAACCCGAGGTACCACAGTATATGCTATGCTAGCCTGGTCTGCTAGGCAATGACTATAATTTGTTTATTTTTAAAAGTAGAAATAAATGATGCTTTGTCACCCTGGGTGGGTTCCAGCCAGCCATCTGTCTACCACCCGTTTCATGAACAGAACTTTGGGGGAAATTACAGTATACGGCTCGCCCTATGTCTGCAACCCCACGCACCCTCACCTAGGCTATGGGCGGAATGCATTCTGCTGCTAAGCAAGGGTGCAGGCCCTCTGGATGCGGAGCGCCAAGCGTCTAGAGACCATTCAGGAAGCGTCGTCGCAAATTTAAATAGTTGGGCCAGCTCAGTCAGTACAGCATGAGATTCTTCCTCTCAAGGGTTGTGGGTTCGAGCCCCACGTTGGGCAAAAGATCCCTGCATTGCAGGGGTTGGACTAGATGACCCTTCCAACTCTACGGTTCTGCAACCATCTCCGCATTTGAACCTGGCACTGTATCCCTCCTTTGTGCCACCCAGCTTGCCAGCCACGTGCTTCTCCTCCTCCTCCGATGCCCGGGCAGACTCCACAGGCGACCGCCGTCCCTTTAACCTATTTGGCCGCCAACTGCCCAGATACTGAGGTCCAGCGCCAAGGGCCTTCTGGCAGTTCCCTCGCTGCAAGAAGCCAAGTTACAGGGAACCAGGCAGAGGGCCTTCTCGGTAGTGGCACCCGCCCTGTGGAACGCCTTCCCACCAGATGTCAAAGAGAAAAATAACTACCAAACTTTTAGAAGATATCTGAAAGCAGCCCTGTTTAGGCAAGCTTTTAATGTTTAATAGGTTATTGTACTTTAGTGTTTTGTTGGAAGCCGCCCAGAGTGGCTGGGGAAACCCAGCCAGATGGGCGGGGTATAAATAATAAATTACACTGGTCAGCAACAAATTTGTTGTCTGTGTTTTTTTCAGTTGATTTAGGACAAATCTGATGCGCTGAATCCAAAAATCACATTGGTTTTGCTCAATCAGGTCAAGTTTTTGAGCTATGGCCACATGTCGGTTTTTTTACATTTTTGTTCACATGTATGCTTGTGTGGAGCATTTTAGAAGAAGTTGGTGAGGGTAAAATGCCATGTCGAATAATTGTTTTGATTGGAAATGATTATTTTAATGACAAGAAGTATTCAGGTCCGATAGTTCTGGGTGATTATGTCGAAAAGGGATCAGTTTGAAGTCATAAAACCTTGAAATCTTCCATAAATTGGTGCACAAGTTTCATAAGGCATGCTTACCATGCTTATTTTGGTATTAAACTTGGTGACCAGGATAAAGCTCGGGTGCCACACATGGTGTGTAAGGCATGCACCGAGACTCTACGTGGGTGGACCAATGGCAAGAGGAGTCTGAACTTTGGAATTCCCATGGTTTGGAGGGAGCCGACAAACCATGTCACTGACTGCTACTTCTGCACTGTTGATGTGACTGGGATCAACAGAAAGAACCGGAGCAGCCTCAAGTAGATCTTCAATCAGCACGTTGTCCTGTAGCTCATTGTGATAAAATTCCAGTGCCTATCTTCAGAGAACTTCCTGACATTAGTGATGAAGATGCCTCCAGTGTTGAAGGACATGAAGAAGAAGAAGTGGTTCTTGAAGATGATGCTCCACATCCATTTTCCCAAAAGGAGTTGAATGATCTAGTTCGCGACCTCAGCTTGTCAAAGGACTCTGCCGAACTGTTGAAGGGAAAAAACCTCCTCTCTGACAGTGCTCGCATCAGCTTCTTCCACAACAGGCATCAAGAGTACCTCCGTTTTTTCTCAGAAGAGAAGGACTTGGTGTACTGTGCAGATATTGCGCAGCTTCTGCTCAAGCTTGGAGTGCCACAGTACGAACCCAAAGATTGGAGACTGTTCATTGACAGCAGCAAGCGATCACTGAAATGTGTTCTGCTACACAACGGCAACCAGTTTGCCTCTATACCCCTGGCTCACTTGAGTACACTGAAGGAGAACTATGAAGCGGTGAAGTATGTGCTGGAGAAAATTGGTTATGATCAGCATAAGTGGTTTATTTGTGTTGACCTGAAGATGGTGAACTTTTGGTTGGGACAACAGTCTGGCTTCACCAAGTACCCATGTTTTCTGTGCATGTGGGATAGTAGGGACCGTGCTCAGCATTACATGAAGGACTGGCCTGTGCGGGAGGAATTGGTGCCTTGCAAAGAAAGGAACGTCATCAACGACCCTCTGGTGGACAGAGACAGAATACTCTTCCCACCACTGCGCATCAAGCTCAGCTTAATCAAACAGTTCACCAAGGCTCTGGACAAGGATGGTGACTGCTTCACTTACTTGTGCCAGGCTTTTCCAGGATTGACCATGGAGAAGTTGAAAGCTGGCATCTTTGACGGTCCTCAGATCCGTCAGCTCATCAGAGATCCAGAGTTCGGAAAGTCAGTGAACGAAGTGGAACTGGAAGCGTGGAAGGCATTTGTTCTGGTAGTGAAGAACTTTCTTGGCAACAATAAGGCCAGAAACTACGCAGAACTTGTCAACAACATGCTGACTGCTTTCAGAAACCTGGGCTGCAACATGAGCGTCAAGATGCACTACCTATTTTCACATATGGACCGGTTTCCTGAGAACCTGGGTTCAATGAGTGATGAGCAGGGGGAGAGATTCCATCAGGACATGAAAGAGATTGGAGACCAGGTATCAGGGTATTTGGGACGCAGTCATGATGGCTGATTACTGTTGGACTCTGAAGAGAGACCTCCCTGCCGCTGAGCATTCCAGGAGTTCCAAGAAACGGAAGTTCAAGCCCTGAAGTTTGAAAAATGGTGAAGCAACATGCAATTTACGTGTACTTACCTTTATCAAGGTACCTTGCCAACAAAGGTCCGTATAGTAAAAGCTATGGTTTTCCCAGTAGTGATGTATGGAAGTGAAAGCTGGACCATAAAGAAGGCTGATCGCCAAAGAATTGATGCTTTTGAATTATGGTGCTGGAGGAGACTCTTGAGAGTCCCATGGACTGCAAGAAGATCAAACCTCTCCATTCTGAAGGAAATCAGCCCTGAGTGCTCACTGGAAGGACAGATCCTGAAGCTGAGGCTCCAGTACTTTGGCCACCTCATGAGAAGAGAAGACTCCCTGGAAAAGATCCTGATGTTGGGAAAGATTGAGGGCACAAGGAGAAGGGGACGACAGAGGACGAGATGGTTGGACAGTGTTCTCGAAGCTACCAGCATGAGTTTGGCCAAACTGCGGGAGGCAGTGGAAGACAGAAGTGCCTGGCGTTCTCTGGTCCATGGGGTCACGAAGAGTTGGACATGACTAAACAACAACAACACCTTTATCAATGCCCACCATTCAGTTTACAGTAATCCATGTTTCTATCAGGTAATCAATATATGTTGATGGAAAAACATTTTTTCTCTTAAAAACATATTTAGGATGATATGTGTTGACAAAAATCGGCTGATAATGCCACAAAAATGTAATCGATTTTGTCACAAGATCTGATTTTTTTTCAAATCAACATAGCACAAAAACCTGACCTGATGGAGAGAAACGGATGCCATTTCCTGATTCAGCAGGGCAAAAATACTCTAAATCATTTGTAGAAATCTAGACAACATTCAAAAAGTAAAAAATTGTTGCCCAGTGTTATTATTAATATTATTAGTCAAGCCAGCGCGCGTGGGAACTTCGAAGGCTAAAAGCCCCAAACCCTTCCTCCCCACCCCCTTTTTGGCAGCCAGCTCCCGCGTGCCATGTGCCCCGCGCGCACCAGCGACAACCCCTGCCCTCCGAACACCCCACCCTCCCTAACTTCGCGCCGGCCCACCCCTTCCGCTTGCAATGGACTCGGCCGCTTTGCCGAGGGGGCGGTGCCACCGCCGCGAGGGGAGGGGAAAAGGGGGCCGGTTGCGCGCCCGGAGGCTGTGCAGGCGGGCGGGCGGAGCGAGAGGAGGAGCCGTCGGCGGCCGGGGCGCCTTGTTGCTATGGGGAGACGGCGAGGGAGGGGGCGGCGTCGCCGCTGCTGCTGCTGCGCAGGGCAAGGGAAGCCAGAGGCAGCGGCGGCGGCAGCAGCAGCTGCTGATTCCTGACACATTTCCCCCCCTCGCTGCCATATTGCTGCCCCCTCCCCCTTTGCGCGAGCTTCATGCGTACAGTGAGTCGGAACCTCTCCTTTATTAACTATCTGGGGTCGAGGGATGCGGGTGGGGTGGGGAGCTGGGGGGTGGCTAAGAGATACATACGCCTCTCTTCTTAAATTTAGTCTTTCCAACCCCTGGGTTTCTCTCCCCCCCTTCCGATTTCTTTTTCTACTTCCAGCTTTTTAATTCTCACTTGTCTTCCCCTCCGTCTACTTCCAGTTGTGTTTTGCTGGTGTTTTTCTGTTTTCATTCTCTCCCTCCCTTGACGTCTGGTGTGTGTCTGTGCACCGCGGAGGCTTAAATTGTGCTGTGTGTATTGTGTGTACACACACACACAAACATATTGTGGGTATATGTGCGCGCGCCCGCGCCTCCAGCTGAGTTCCCTTTGGCTTCAAGATATATGGCGAGGTTGGGATCTAGGGCGGCTGGGGATCGGAGGAAAGGTGAGGAGTTTGAGTTGGTGTCAGACCTGGGGTACGCGTGTCTTTCTCAAGGGTTGTGCCTGCAAGTTGGTGTGTGTGTGAAGAGACATTCGTGTTCCGGAGTCAGGGGTGTGTGACTTGGAGAAGGGAAGATAAATGCTCGATACTGGAGAGGAAGACACTGGAGAGGAGAACGAGGGATTTTCTTGTGGGTGGTGAAAAAGGGTTTTTGCCCAAGCCAGTCGTGTGTGTGAATGTATAAAAAGCTTGACTGCCAGATCTGGGTCTGACCTGTTTATGTGGGGCGTTGGGAGGAGTGAATGGAACAAGAAGGTTGGATGCAGCCAAAGCTCTCTCTCTGTCGGACCTGAGTCTCTAAATACGCCCCTCGAGAGATAGGTGGACTTAGTGGGACCCAAATCTGATTTATTTTTTAACCTACCCACTGACCACTTTAGAGCTGTGTGTTCTGATATAATGTGCTCCTCCTTCAATGAAGTGGTCCGGGCTCCCTTGGGCGGTGGAGAGACGAAGGTGGCATCTGGGGCAGGCAGGCGAGGGTGGCGTTTCACTGGAGGGGCTCCGATCTCCTCCCCCACCAGTCCCCCCTTTCCTCTGACCCTTGTCCCTCTTCCTGCCCTAGACTCTTGCCTAGCCACCCCCCCCCCTTTAACCAGGTAGCTTTGCCGTTGTGCACGCGCCTTTTCGCCTCCTTTTGGACTTCGCTTCATCCACAAGCGCTGCTTGTGCGGTTCCACCAGGCCCCCCTAAATACGATGCGTGCGCGCTTGGGCTTTTGCTAAGACGTTTGTGTGCCCTTTGGCTGTCCGTATTCTTTTAATAAATCTTCCCCGCTTCCGGGTGAGAGTGACTGGCTCGATCTTTCTTTCCGTCGTCACGAAGTTGGAAGGGAACAAGGCATCCCGCGTGCGCGCACAAAAAAAGTTCACCTGCTTTGGAAGTTTTTCAAAATGCAGCTAAGTGAATTCTTTCCTTCTCTCCGTACTCCGTAGAAAAGAAAGAGAAAGAGACTTTTCTCCCGGCTTGCTCCGTCCCTCCCTCCTCCAGCCTCCCCCATTTTGGTTCAGGATTGTGACAGCCACGTGGCTGGCAAAGCCTCTCGCCGGGGAAAGGCGGCCACGGGGTCACCCGGGCGGCTCCGCGAGCGTGTGGGTGGCTGCGCGTTAGCAGCCCGGCACAAAGCCCGGCGCAAAGTCTGCAACGCCGCCGCCCCCTCCTCCTCTTGCAGGCGAGCGTAAGAAAAGGTGCCCCCCTCTGCGCTTTAGTCCTGCCTCCCATCTCTCCCCCCCCCCCCGCTCCTGCTTAGAAAATGCAAACTCTGCGGACGCTGAATGCAAGCGCAAGAGATTGAAGCCAACGGAGAAAAGACAACCCCCCCACCAACCTCTGAAAAAACTTGGACCCTTTTGTATGGGATCGATCAAGCCGCACTAAATAACATTAACCTCCCCCTCCTCCTCCCGTTCTGTAACTGGCACAATTGGGACTACACTCCCCGCCCCCCAACGCCTAAATATATGCAGGCATAGAGAGAATAGGGGGACAGCACGCAGAGAATTTTAAACGCACTTCAGTATGTGTCAGACCCCCCCCCCCATATGCATGCTCTGTGAAAGGGTTGGGGAGGTAACAATCAGCACTCTTCTCCTTTTTTCTTTCCCGTAGTTAACAGCCCTAAATGTGCGCTAGGGAACTCCTGGTTTGCAGAAATCCTGTGCAATCCTTCCTGCAAATGAGGATAAGTTGCATTGCTTTGAGGGGGAGGGTGCTGGTTCTGTTGCTCCTCCCACTGGGTTTTTAACTTCGGTGGACATGTGTGTGTATTTTTTAAAGGTATTTGTTAACGTTACAAATTATATCTTGGTGGTGTTTGTTGTTTTTTTTTGGCCGTGGCTAATTTCACCTTTTGGTTGGATGGTTGTAAACTGCTTCGAGGGTCATACGCCCACGGGAAAGTGGCTGAGATATTTTAATAAATGGGAGGGTTGTGAGAAAACCCTGTAGAAAACATGAAATGCATTTGTGGTGCTCTTTGTTTTGTTCTAATGTATCACAAGGGCAACAAGTGGCCTTTTTAAATATTTCCTTTCTCTGTTTATTTTCTGCGGAGTCACGCTCAGGTGAAAAATTACTTTCTCACCCTTTACAAATAAGGGAATTTGTGCTTAGGGGTAGTGTTTCTATAGGTCAGCCTTTCTCCACCTGGTCTCTTCCAGATGTTTTGGACAACCAGGAGAGCAACCCAGACGTTCGAGGGGCTGTCTTGGCCTTGGGGTCTCTTCCAACTCTACAGTTCTATTATTCTAAGTCATGGGTAGGGAGAGTAAGGCCCGGGGGCTGGATCCAGCCCAGTCGCCTTCTAAATCCGGCCCACAGACGGTCCGGGAATCAGCATTTTTATATGAGTAGAATGTGTCCTTTTATTTAAAATGCATCCCTGAGTTATTTGTGGGGCATAGGAATTCGTTCATTCCCCCTCCCAAAAAAAATATAGTCCAGCTCCCCAGAAGGTCTGAGGGACAGTGGACTGGCCCCTTGCTGAAAAAGTTTGCTGACCCTTGTTCTAAGTTCTGTGGGACCTGACTCCCAGGTAAATGTGTGTTTAGGGTTGCAGCTGAAATTAAGCTCCTTCAGTTCCCACTGATTTTAGTAGGGGAGAGTTCAGGAGGCTAAACTTCCCCAATGAAATTGGTGGGATGGAAAATCAGTTCCAAACTGGCTCATGCCTATGGTGCATGATGCTGATTTTTTTTTAAAATTTAAATTTCTTAACAACATAAGAAGTACCTGCTGGATCAGGCCAATGTCCCACCTAGTCCAGCATCCTGTTCTCACAGTGGCCAACCAGATACCTGGAGGAAACCCACAAGCAGGAACCAAGCACAAGAGCACTTTCCTTCAGCTGGAATTCAGAAACATGCTGCCTCTGACCACAGAAGCAGAACATAGACACTGTGGCTGGTAGACATTGATAGCCCTTTCCTCCAAAATCCTCTTTTAAAGCCATCCAGTTCTATTACCTGTCCCAGCTTCTTTGGATGTCCATGACTTCCTAGTGTTATGAGAGTGGGAGAAGATATTTTCTCTATCCACTTTCTTAAAGGTAAAGGTACCCCTGACCATTAGGTCCAGTCATGACCGATTCTGGGGTTGCGGCGCTCATCTCACTTTATTGGCCGAGGGAGCCAGCGTACAGCTTTCGGGTCACGCGGCCAGCATGACTAAACCGCTTCTGGCGAACCAGAGCAGCACATGGAAACACAGTTTACCTTCCCACCGGAGCGGTACCTATTTATCTACATGCACTTTGTGCTTTCGAACTGCTAGGTTGGCAGGAGCAGGGACCAAACAACAGGAGCTCACCCCGTTGTGGGGATTCGAACCGCCAACCTTCTGATCAGCAAGTCCTAGGCTCTGCGGTTTAACCCACAGCGCCACCCGCGTCCCCTTATCCACTTTCTTAGTGCCACAAACTTTTCTATGCTTCCATCCTGGCTCCTCTTACTCGTCTTTCCCTTGAACTCAAGAGGCTGCTGTCCCTTGACCCTTTTGCCTGCCCTTTTCTCAGCCTTTTCCAACTCCTTTTTGAGGTGAGGCGACCAGAACTGTACACTCTACTCCAAATGCGGTTCAGCCATAGATTTGTGTAATAATAGCATTATATTAACAGTGGTTTTATTTTCCTTTCCTAATGATCCCTAGTACACTGGGCCGACATTTTCATCAAGCTGTCCTCTATGATCTCAAGGTCCTGTTTTTTGGTCAGCCATTGCCAATTCATAACCCCATGAGCATATATGTGCAATTAAGATGTTTCCCCCCCGGACACGCATCACTTTACACTTCTTTACACTGAATTGCATTCACCTTTTTGCTGCTCTTTCACTCAGTTTGGAGAGATGCCTTTTGAGCTCTTCCCAATCTCTTTTTGTTTTCCATCAACGAACTTGGCCACCTCATTGCTCGCACCTAATTCTAGATGGTTTATGAACAAGTTATCAAACATAGGTCCCAATACTGATTCTTGGGGGACTCTACTTTCTTAGGGCTGCCATATGTCTGGGAATTGGGCAGGAAAATGGCGTCCGAGTGGATTTTCGGCAAATTGGGAAACCCAGACGTATGGCGGGTGTGTGTGTGTTAATATATATATTTTAAATCATTCAATAAAAAGGCCAACAACTTGCAGCAAAATCAAAACAAATAATAATAATAATAATAAACTCCTTTGTCCGGATTTTCGCTTTTGGGAATATGGCAACCCTAACTTTCTACATCCTTCCATTAGGAGAGCTGTCCATTTATTCCTACTCTCTTGTTATATAACTAGTTTTTGATCCACTAGAGAAGAGGACCTCTTTTCTTATCCCGTGACTCCTACTCGGGTGTTTCTGGTGAGATACTCCATTGAAAGCTTTTCGAGCATCCAAGTGCACTTGGGTGGGTGGAAGCTGGGGGGGGGCGCGATATCTCTCGCCGATATCTCTCGCCCCCAGCTCTTCCCAGCGGAGAAGCCAGTACTGTCTTCACAAAAGTTTAAAGGCAGCTTGTTAAGCTTCTGACACCTTCTTGACTTCCAGTCCTGCCCACCACAAGAGAGAAGATGTGCTTTTAACGAGCTCTCGATTTCATTCCCACCCGCAAATAGAAGATGTGAGTCTCCACCAGGTGGTCTTCAAATGAGGATTCTCCCTTTGTAAAAGTGGCCATGATCCCTGCCAGCAAGTGCAAGAGGAGATGTTTCCCTTTTCCTTCCTGGTCAAGAAAGTGTCCATCTTGGTTGTGATCTTGCGGAGTGGGTTGGGGACCAATAGGGAGCAAAGATAATGTCAGCGCATGCAGATTGAGATACGAACGCAAAGTCAGCTTCTCCATTGTAGCCATCAATTAGTTTATGGTACTGAATAAGCAGCAAGCAGCACAAATGGCTCAAGCAGAAATGATTTCATGGCTCAGATAGGCACATGCAGACCTGGTTCTAGCAAAGCGTTGTGCCTCCTCTCCTCTATGCCATGGGGTCCCAAACTGTGATCCGTGAGCTTCAGTCAGGTTCCATGTAGTTGATGCAAAACCCGTGAGGGGCAAGCAAGGGTCACAGTGCTGGGTTTTCGCCTATTTACCCTGCAGTTCTAGACATGTCTTCTCAGAAGTAGACCCCTTTGAATTACATGAGACTTGCTCCCAGATAAATGGGAGCAGGCTTGCCTTTTGTATTGTCATTTCTCTCTTCCCCAAAGGCAAATCGATATTTGGGCCTTCAGGACTTTGGTCAAGTGTGGGTCGCAAGTTGTGACTGATAGCTGTGTCCGCGAAATATGTGTTGCCTGGCAAAAGCCATTATGGCGAACCATCTTCAGGCATCGTTTTTCCATTGTTCCACAACTTTACAAACTCTTTCTCTTAAGTACCGTATATACTCGAGTATAAGCCGACCCAAGTATAAGCCAAGGCACCTGATTTTATCACAAAAAACTGGGAAAACTCATTGACTCGAATATAAGCCGGTTCACCACACCACAAACCTCCTGGTGGGCCAGAGTGCACATGGCAGAGGGGGCTTCTCTCTCCCCCCATTAAAAATGTGCTGAAAAAGTCGGCTTATACACAAGTATATACGGTATATAAAATGTCTGAAATGAGGAGCAGGAATAGCTGTATTGTCGCAATGCAAAACTAGCTGTGTGTATCTTGTGGCAAAAATGACTTGTACAGGATATCCTTTTTTTAAAGCAGCTAGAATTCAGAGCATGGGAAGTGCTATACCAAAAGTCTTACCACGTGACCTTGCGTCAGAATTCCTTCTCTCTCAGCTTCATGTTGTCTGATCTTGCCACTCAGTCTAGACAGAAAAGGTAAACTAGCAGGCAGCTTCCTCAGTGCATTGGATGCATGTGAATTATATTATTCTGGTCTACTTACATTGTTGCGTTGAGCACCTTGATAGGATCTTCTGCCTTTCCACAGCCAACCTTATCTTTCCCTGCAGGGGTAATAGTATTTTACTGGCAAAATGATGGTGTTTTCCTTCCAGGCCGCAGGCAGAACTGTTACATGCGGTTATAAAGGGTCAATATATTGGTTGAACTGGGATAAAAAAGTGCTTCCGTGTCTCTAGATGATAGCATCCTTTTTTTTTTAGTATTTGGGGGAGGCTGTCCGGTTTTCTCAGTACAGCACTTCTACCAATTTTGCGGTGTTAGAAACTCAGATATATAAGCTAAGCGACAAATGGCTCATTAAATCAGGATTGCAGTCGTCAAAACAGAATGCCTAGTTCGAAAGTCGTCTTTTTCAATACTTTGCTGCGTCGCCGGAGCACGATTTCTGTTCTTATCCTGAAGCAAAGTTCTTAACCTGAAGCACTATTTCTGGGTTAGCGGAGTGTGTAACCTGAAGCGTATGTAACCCGAAGCGTATGTAACCCGAGGTACCACTGTATTCATCATACGGCGGAAGGTACCCTTCTTCTTCCTCTGACTTTGGGCATCTGAGATAGATACATCTTAAGACCCACCTTATTCTCTTGATCGCAACCTGTTTTAACATTTTAAAACATGTGTTCCAAATGGTTGTAACCTGTCTGAAGAATCCATGGTGGGAGGGAAGGCAGGTAAGAAATCTCAATTATTGTTATAAAAAATACATCTCCAGAAATAATGTCGGAATGCTCTGCGCCATGATTTGCTCTCTCCCAACCCCTCATTCCTGCGTGTTAAATATAGTGGACTTCGGCTCTTCAAGTAGCCATTTCCTGCAGCAGTAAATTAAGAAAACAAACACACCCATGCAGAACCATTTCAGCTATGGTGACAGTGGTGCCCTTCATTGTAATCCTAACCTGGTTTCTCGAGGAAGGCGTGAAGCCTCTGCTTCTTTACTTACGTGAATCCACCTGAGTAAAATTTTAAAGGAGCCCATGTAAACGGGAATAGCCTGGCTAAAATAAGCCTGGCTTGTGCTGCTTATTTTTATTTGCATTTGGAGCTCTCCCAGTTATGGGTGGCCCGGAGGGCACAGTAGTAACAGATTAACAAGCACAAATATATATTTACAGTTCTATTAACATCTAGATTAAAAACATAAATATCAAAAACCCCAGCCTTCTGTCAGCTGAACCTTTCTCCGTATAGAAAAGCCTTGCAGTCTTCCAAAAGGTGTAGATATATATATATATGTTTTTAAAATTTCAGAGGTCTGAGAGAAATGGCGAAGTAGGGAATTTGGGAGCTGCACTTCCATATAGAAATTTTTCTGCCCCTGGAAAGGCAGAGAGGGTTCTTGTTTCTGGGACTAGGCTTCTCTCTGCCAAACTTCTTGTTGTTTTTTAATGGATCATTGAAGAAAATGATACCCTACTTATCCCCAGTGTTTGAAATTCCCTGGGTGCCAGGCACATTTTGCTACTGGCACGGGTCCAATTGCGACTATGTGGAGATTTCTGGGCACCAGGTTGGCGACTGATGTCTCCATCGAGCCAGCAGACTTGTGCATAGCAAAAGACACACATCTTGTTCTTCTGCACTGCTGAGTGAATCATGGACCCCTTGCTGGGCATCTCAGTCCTCCATGCATCATATCAAGGAAAATAAGTGTAGGGCTGAGTACAGGTATTTCTGACTGTGCTGCAGCCTTTCTGCAGGCTACCCAAGCAGAACTCACAGACCACAGTTTGAAAACCTCTGCCTTTGGTCCATTTCCATTTCCGTGGTGTGGGTTTCTCCTTCTTGCAAATTAGCAATGTAGTTGAGATCATAGAATCACAGAATTGTAGTATTGTCTAGCTCAAGCCCCTGACGAATAGACATTCTGTTGTGGTGACCGTAACCCAGGTTTGAGGTGCTATTTGGTGCTTGGCTTACATATCTGCATTTCCAACACGGCTTCTCCCCCAACACGGCTTCTCCCCCAGCCATGCACCTGCTGCACCATGAAATTGTACGATCCCAGGCAACCATCACCAAATGACTTCTCCGCAGGTATAGATTGGCTCTTAAGCAGTGCTAGAAACTCCTATATATAATATAATCGCCAAATGGCACCTTAAACCCAAGGTGATGGTCGCCACCATGGAATGTCTAGGCCAGGGTTTTCAGCAGGTCCACCGTCCTTCAGACCATGTGGTGGGTCGGACTATATTTTGAAAAAAATTAATGAACTAATTCCTATGCCCCACAAATAACCCAGAGATGCATTTTAAATAAAAGGACACATTCTACTCATGTAAAAACACGCTGATTCCTGGACCGTCTGCGGGCCGGATTTAGAAGGTGATTGGGCCAGATCCGGCCCCCAGGCCTTAGTTTGCCTACTCATGGTCTAGGCACTTTTTAGCACTGGGATTCATTATTACTATTATTCATTTCATTTCTATACCGCATTGTATTTTAAAGAGCAAACCTCAAAGCATTGAAACGTCGAATAACACCATCCAGAATAAAACAAATTCAAGCTTCGAGGAAAATATTACAGATCCTTCTCCAAGGGGCATTTTGCTTTCCCCTGGCATCCAAAGATCTCCATGTGGATGAAATTGGGCTTGCACCAGCCGTAAAACACGGCTGGCTAATTTCTGTCACTGTTCTTGATAGGGATGTATGTTCCACAGTGTGTGGGAAGCTGCTGTGACTATCCGAGTGCCCATCTACATGCGCCCTTGCAGTTTGAACATGAAAGTGTGGTTGGAATTAGAGATAAGGCGCAGGGACAGAAAGGATCTCTTTGTACAGCTCCAAGCTTGAAGCATGCACAGACGGTGAATGGCAATTCTATATGGAGTTTGCCCAGGTAGTTAAATTAAAAAGTTGATCCCGGCTACAGGCATTGCCAATTCCCAAGCCCCCCACCTCCTTTGCGGCTTTCCAACCGGTGAGCAGGTTTACAAATGTATGGATTGCAACACAGATGATTTCCTATTAGATATTGAGCTGCATAATCCAGACTCGCCCACCATCCCTCCCTCCCTCCCTCCCTCCCAAAAAAGCCCCCCTCTCCCGAAAACCATGGCAATCCAGGGTGGCTTCACTCGTTCAACCACCCCGCCAGAAGTAGCAGCAGACAGATGGTTCTCAACAATGGGAAAATCCAGTTGGTTTCCCTTAGGAAAATGCTTGAGAACAATAATGCTTAAGGGGATAAAGGCAGATTAATTAATAGAGGCATTGTTGGTGCCTGTGTTCAGTTGCTCCTATTTGCGCTCTAATTATGCGATAGATGTGCTCTTTTATGGAGAAGTCTAGCACACAGCGTGGATAAAGCGCCCCTTCCATCGTAACAGTATCTATCAAAAGAAAGGAATTGGGCTTAAGTCTTGCTTCCATTTTTAGACCAACAGTAAGCTAAACGTGTCATCTGCAGAGCAACCCTATGCATATCTGTTCATAATATAAACTCCCTGATTGCCATTGTAGTGTTTGTTTTACTCTGGCACAATCTTCCCTTTAATTTGGTGTGAGTACTGTCTTCGATATCCAGTGTGTATTGTACAATAGTATCCTCGGTAGCCCGATTTATACTGGCACTAAACCATGGTTTAGTGTTGCAAGAGCAAGCCAAAGTGAACCCCAGACTTGAACTCTCCCTCCTCTTCTTCTGGCACAGACATGAGGACAAGATAGAAAATTTCTGCTTCTGTTTCACATAAACCGCAGTTTGACGACCAATCCTAAACTGATTAAGTATAAGCATGGTTAGTTGAAACAAAGCCAACTTCCAAAACTATAGTTTGGCTTGTTTCAACAAACCATACTTAAGATTAATCACAGGTTGTCAGGTTCAGGTGGCATGGCAGGCTGTGGTTAATCCAAAAAGGAACCAAAAGTTTTCAACCTCCTCTTCATGGCTACATTGGAGGGGGAAGTGTGCCAATCTGAAGCTAACTTGGAGATATCCTCACAATCCAAGCCAACACACTGTGTTGGGTAAAAGTGTACCTTTCCCCCCCCTTCCTCGGAGGCAGTTGTGAAGAAAAACAGGTTTGCATGTTTCCATTGTGGCTGATTTGAACTAGAGAAAAACCAGATGTGAAGGATGTCAGTTTGCTAATGCTCTTAACAGCATCCTCACACTTCCACTCTGGAATCCCCAGAGCAGTTTTGCAATTGTGTTTTAATTCTGGGGGAAGTACTGGTGGAATACAATGAAGCATGGACGTATATAAACATACACGTGCTACATATATATACAGTCATGCCTCGTGTTGCGTTCCCCTCTTTTTACGGACTTTCAGCTTACGAACATGGCAAACCCGGAAGTGTTTACTTCTGTGTTCCCTGCATGCGCAGAAGTGATCTGCATGCTTCACACATGTGCAGAAATGCTTGATTGCACCCGCACATGCGTGGAAGAGGCGCTCTAGTTGCGGACTTTTTGGGTACGAATGGCACCCCGAAATGAATTAAGTCCGCAACTAGAGGTACCACTGTGTGTGTGTCTATCTATCTATCTATCTATCTATCTATCTCCACTACCTGATGCTGAAATGCAAGTTGCAAAGCTGGGCATACACAGTTGATTGATTTATAAAAGGATTTCTATATGCTGCTACAGTGGTACCTCGGGTTACAGACGCTTCAGGTTACAGACACTTCAGGTTACAGACTCTGCTAACCCAGAAATAGTACCTTGGGTTAAGAACTTTGCTTCAGGATGAGAACAGAAATCACGTGGCGGTGGCGTGGCGGCAGTGGGAGGCCCCATTAGCTAAAGTGGTGCTTCAGGTTAAGAACAGTTTCAGGTTAAGAACGGACCTCCGGAACGAATTAAGTTCTTAACCAGAGGTACCACTGTATTCTGGTGGAGTACCCAAGCACAGTGCACCACATGATTATAACAATATTACATTAAAAACCAAATTAAAATACACAGGGGGAAAGTCGCAAAATTCACCCAGTAAACAGAGAGTAAATGTGATCCACAATCTACAGCTGTCTGGATGAGCAGAAACTTTTTATATTACTGGTGGATCCGCCATGCTCAGGGTGCCTGCCAGATCTCTGTGGGAGGACTTTCTAAGTCAACAGCAGAGCCTGAAACTTGGCTCAGTAGCAAATTGGCAACTGGGGAAGCTCCTTCTGGAGGGGCGATAGGGTAGACCAGTAAGCAGCATTCTGCACCATTTGCGGCACCCAAACAGCCTAGGTGAAGCCCAACACAAAGTGCATCACAGCAGTCTTATCTTGACACTGTGAACATGTGATATCAATCCAGGAACGGTCATCATTGATGTACCAGCCACAGTTGGTAAAAAATGCCTCTAGGTGCTGCAGCTACCTGGACCATGATGTCTTCAAGAGCATCCCCAAGCAACTCACCTATTATTTGGGCGATGGACTGGCTCTTAAAATCTTATGTCTGTCATCAGTGCAGCCAGAGAGAAGGCAGGTGGTTTGTGCTATGAACACTACAGCTGCATGCATGTTCTCATCTAGCGGGGATGAGACAGCTAAGGGATGTGCCAGCTTGCCTTAACTATGACCAAGAGGCAGGTTTCTTCTCCCCCCCCCTCCTTTTTTATCCCCGAGGAGAACATAATGCTCCAGTTGTCTTGGATACACGGCGGTGTATGTAGCATTGTAATCAAATATAGGCCGTCTGTAGTTGCATTTTGGGATTTAAATCTGACCTCTGATCTCAACAGCAGCTCTGGTGAGATGGGCAGCGTAATGTAGGACATGTGTGGAAGTTGCTGAGAACAAAGGGAAAGGGAGAGAAGGAACAAAGGTAACTCTTTTTTGCTCCTCGCCTCTTGGATTTTCCTTGAACATATGCTTTAAATGGATGAGTGCTTCAGGGGCCTGATGGCGGAGCCAAACACATCTCTCTCTCCTGTTTGTTGGTCTGCCTCGATTGGAGCGTTTAGATGTTGGAATGAAATTCGGTGCGTCGCGTTCAGGTGGGGAGTCTGCGTTTGAGTTTAGGAGCCGTCCTGACAGGCTACACCCATTGTCAAATCGGAAGCGGAAATTATGTGTTTGGTTGGGATGGGCAAATCTGGCCATTTTGGTTTCTTCCACTCTCTCTCCCCCCCCCCCCCCGATCTTAACTTCAGTTCTTCACATTTCCCCATCCGTTTGCATTAAAAAATATTTTCATCAGCATTATAATACAGATTTCTCCTGATACACACGTGTGCATGCAACTTTGCCTAATATACACGTTTTGTGGAGCAATTTCCCCTAAATTTCAGGTCTTGCTTTCACTAATATGTGCCTTTTATTGGACACCTTACTCCAGCGCATGCATTTTTGTGCACATTACTCCTCCAGAGAACTGTCTTGCAAAATTTGAAGAATTGTGAGTTTTGAAGGATGGATGTGCTTCAGTTTTTCTTGTGTTGTTTCAGAAGCATGAGTAGGCACATTTATCTTTAAATGAGAACTGAAACATATTTCTCTCCTCACCCCTAGCACACAGGTGTTGTAATGAGATCTGTGCCAAATGTCAGACTGAGATTCTGTCTTCCAGGTTCAGACACCAGCTGAATCTCCACACCTGGTTTAGAGGTTGTGACGCTTGGGGAAGAAAATAAAGATTCAGAATGCCTTGTTGTGAAATACCAGAAGACCTTTGGATGATGATTGTGATTTAGTAGCGTAAGAATTTTGTGATACTAAAGCCTTTTTTTAAAAAAATACTGCGATCCTGTTTGCCCAACTGCTTTAAAGGAAATTTAGAGAAGTTCCTGGAAGAAAAGTCTGTTTCGAAAGTGTTGTATTCCACCAAATTATACTTTTGAGTCGACCCATTGAAAAGAATGGAGCAAACGCAATCATGTTCATGAATTGAGTGGGTCTACTCTTGAGTACATCTGTTGGTAATATCACTCAGGAAAGATTGTCTCGCAGGAAAGATTGTCTCACATACCCAACAGTATTAGAAATTAGACAGTTGCCAGGCGTGTTTTGCACGGGTGCAGTTGCAACCATGTGGAGATCTCTGGGTGTAAAATGCCCCTTAGAGAAGGATCTGAAATATTTCCCCTTGAAGCTTGAATTTGTTTTACAGTGGTACCTCGCAAGACGAATGCCTCGCAAGACGGAAAACTCGCAAAACGAAAGGGTTTTTGGTTTTTTGAGTTGCTTCGCAAGACGATTTTCCCTATGGGCTTGCTTCGCAAGACTGAAACGCCTTGCAAGTTTGTTTCCTTTTTCTTAAAACCGTTAATACAGTTGCGACTTGACTTCGAGGAGCAACTCATAGAACGCGGTGTGGTAGCCTTTTTTGAGGCTTTTGAAGACTTTGGTGATTTTTGAAGCTTTTCCAAAACTTTTCTGACACCGTGCTTCGCAAGACGAAAAAACTCGCGGAACGAATTAATTTCGTCTTGCGAGGCACCACTGTATTCTGGATTGTTCTATTTGATGTTTTAATGTGTTGAGATTTGTTCTATAAAATATAAAGCGGCATAGAAGTGAAATGAATAATAATACTAACAAACTTCATTGTGGAGGAAAAAGGCGCCTAGACATTCCATTGTGGCAACCGTAACCTAGGTTTAATGTGCCATTTGGCGATTAGTTTCTGACACTGATATCCAATCCATCACTGTGCTCTGCAGGTGAGGGTTTCCTGGAGATACCACCTAACATGAACATAGGAAGAGCCTGCAGGATCCGGCCAATGACCCATCTAGTCCAGCATCCCATTCTCACAGTGGCCGGGCAAGATACCTGTGGAAAACTCATAAGCAAGATTCGAGCACAAGAGCTCTCTGCTCCTGTGATTTTGAGCCACTGGTACTCAGAAGCAGGGGACAAGGGGATGCGCATGTCCAACTATGACACGGAGGTTGAATGCTGTTCAGCAGTGTAAAATAGTCGTGTCTGTTTTTACGCAGACTTCCTCTCTCTTTTGCCCAGGAGGCAAAACAGGTTTTATGGGATGTCAGATCGTAATGACAAGTCTGGGAATAACCCTCCTGCGCCTCCTGATTCCCTGCCCCCACCTACACTCTCATGCAGGTACACACCCTAAAGAGCATTGCAACATAATGCACTCTGGTATTAAATGCCAAAGGTTTAAGTTCTGGCATAATGAGGCCGCAGTCCAGCCGTTCAGAGGCCAATTGGAACGTGCAGTGCTGAACAAGCAGGAAGCCAGAACACAACTCTATTTAGGAATGCTGCGAGTTCTCTTGCTCAGTTATCCCCTCTTTATCCAACACTCTTGCTGACTGATTTTACTCCTATAAAGAGAAGGATGTGTGAGGGTCCTCAGAGCAGTCTTGTGTAGTGGGAATTTTTTTTTTCCATTGGGGAGAAATTCCACAGTGAGATTTTATTCATAAAATAAATTTGCTGCTCAGTAAACGGGTTTGATATCTGTCCGCCTGGGCAGTTCCAAACACCTGACTTCAGGTTACTTCCCCTAGCAAGCATGCACAAATACATGATAAATCTCTTGGAGTGTGCTAAAAATTAGTACATTAACAGTTTTTCTTTTCATAATAATAATAGCAACAACTATTATTATTAATTTATTATTTATACCCTGCCCATCTGGCTGGGTTTCCGCAGCCACTCTATCTATATAAGGAAAGGACTTGATCTACCTCTCTCAACCTGATATCTCAGAGGGATCATGCTGGTTGGGGCTGACAGGAGTTTTAATCCGACAACATCTGGAGGGTACTGGCTTCGGGAAGGCAGGGCTAGGTAGGCACGTCATCTTGTCCATTCTAAATTAGCTTCATATGATCCTATGGTTTAGCTTGGGAATGTGACACAGAAGCTCACATCCTTTCCCAAGTGCTCTAGCCACAGTTTGCCATGTTGTCCTACCAGGAAAGGTATTGTCAGTACCAACTCACGTCATGGTTTGAGACAGGTTTGCAAACCATAGTATGGAGGTTCGTGCCAACTAAGTTAGCCAGTCTCCAAACTAGGGTTTGTCAACCCTCTTCAGACCGTGGTCTAGTGTTTAATGGCCTTGCATCATGGGAATGAGTTGGGAAGCCACACTTGTGGGGCAGAATGTACAAAGGCTGTTGAGAAAATTGGAATAAGATGTTTTAACTGGGCTGCTGTTTCTTAATCTCAGTGTATCTGCCTCCCCCCACCGCCGCCCAAATCTGCAGTATGTGTTTCTGAATTGTGTGTGAAATACTCTTAATGTTTAACAAGATTCTATGCAAGTCCTTAACAATATATGGGGGTGATGATGTTGTGCCATGTGTTATTTCTGGATGTTTGGGACAATGGGTTGTCCCCAAAGTGTCCCTTTTATGAATGGACGGGCTCCTCCTGCTCATGGAGGAACTGAGTTCTAATGCAAGCTCCTGCTCGAGAAAGTAGGGGAATGCTATTTCCACCCATTCATACTGCAGCCCACCCCCCTATGCTTTTCGGACAGTTCTCTCAATCCTATGGAGAAGCTATTGCGAGTTGCACAGCCTCCATTCTGCATGGCAAAGAGTTGTGGGTTATGGGTGGTTTTGGGAAAGTTGACTGTACCCTCAGCTCGGTTCCCCATCTTTAAAAAAAATGAAATAAAAGTAAACATCAATGTACCTCTCAGGTTTTCAGTTTTGTTTTGTGGATGCCCAAGATATAAGGCATGTAAAGGCATTGCGTGCTCTGTTTGCGTATCAGCTGCCTGTTAGCCAGGTCTGAAGAAATCGCTTTGCCATTGCTATAGAAACCTTGCCTTGATTAGATGTCATAACTCTGTTTGATTCACACTGATATGGCTGTGGGTTCCCACTGTGAAATGAAGACAGGTTTCTTTTTATATATGCACAGAGAATATAAATTCTGCTTCTTTATAGCTTACCAAATGCTTAAGTGGTTTTTGATGCAGAATTTAATTAAAGTAGTTGCAGGAAATAGTAAAAAAAAAAAGTATCTTTTTTTTCTATGAGTATATGTGTTTGGACCATAATCTGCAAGTTTAACATATTGGTGGTAAACCTTTTTATGAAATATTTTAATTTAGAGAGAGCTTGTATATCAGGGAGCTTATATCTCTCCAGGGAGCAGCAATCTGTCCTCCTGCCTACGGAACAATTCGGTGTAGGCAAGCCAAGTCATCCTTGATGGGTCTGAACAATATTGAAGGTTCAGCTTTATTTGGGCCTTGCTAGTTGACATTTTTAATGCAGTAATTGCCTGGTTGTTACTTTGTGGTTGCTAGCGATCCAACCATCTTTCTTGGAGGTGTCTTCCGACTTCAGGACATGAGGAATACTGGAAGTGGAGAGAATTTCTCTTGCAACAGAGAAACTTCATTTTCATGGCAGCGTGTGTCTAAATGTTACCCATTCCCAAATCTTTAGCATTGGTGGATGCTGCACATAATTGTGGTTCCACAAGCACCGTTGGTGACTGATGACCCTCCACCTCAAACTACAAAGCTTCTTGGCCTGTTGAGTTTTATGTGTGTGTGTGTGTGTGTGTGTGTGTGTGTGTGTTGATGTTTTCAATTGTTAATCATATTTTTATCTGTTTTAATACTTAAGTGGTTAATTTGAAGCAGAAGTCGTTATAGTGGATTATTCACCTGCAAGCGCTAAACGGCTCTGGATATTTGTGTGCCTGTGACGTCATGGATGCTGACGTCATGGATGCTATCCAGTCAGTGCCTTCCACTGCTAGGTGAATGCTTCTTCCTCCTCCATTTCATTTCCAACCGTACTTCAGATTTGTAGGAGTTTTTCTTTCTCAGAGCTTGAATACATAGCAAAGAAAGCGAGAGCTCTTGGAATTTTGCCCTCCTCTTTCTTTTATTAAAATAAAGCGCAACCCATAATGTCCATCTTTACCTGCCAATGCCGTAGTAGTGAGTGTGTTGCCACTGAGCCCCCCAAAATTGCATTTCCTTCAGAAATGGCAGGCCAGCCAATACCACACTTTCTTTATATTCCTGCCTTCCAATGAGCTCAAAAGAGCTCACATTGAGCTTTTGCCATGAAAATGCCCCCCAGTGGGAAATGGCGTCTCAGATTCAGCCACACCGCCAAAGGGGGATGGTTAAGAGCAACCCACGGTTTTAATACTGTTTATGAGAGCAACCGTTTACGACGCATCGTATCAAATATTAATACGAGGGACAGAAAGGATGGCAAAGGACTTGTTCCTCATAGTGGCGCCTGCAGGCAAATGAATACACAGTTGCCAATAAGCGAGTTGAGGGTGGGTGGGTGGAAAGGAGCCGAGCAAAGATGGCCCAAACAGTATCGCCTTCTATGCACCCACCGCAATAATAAAAAAAATATTAAAATTCAGGTTGGCAGTTTATTACGCACTTTAATTCTCCAAAAAACATGGAGCTGTCCTCTCAGGAAAAGGGCCGTAGCTCAGTGCTCTCTGCACACAGGAGGTTCTGGGTTCAAGACTCCTCCCTGAAACCTTGGTGTCAGGGCCGGATTCAGGTGTAGGTCAGCAACAAAGCAATGCATCACTCCAGGCCAGTGGAGTTATCTCTTTGTTCAAGGGAACAACCCACAGCTCTGGCCTAGTGGTCTCAGCAACTCTTCCCAGGAGGTCTTGTCCCGATGAAACAGTTGCGAGGACTGAAGGTCTCTGCCTTCCCAGTAGCCACTAGGCCTCCACCTCTCCAGGGCCTTTCCCACGCGGTCTCAGGCCGTGTCTGCACACAGTCATCCTCTGCTCTGCCTACTTAATTTCTCTCCATGTTATGGGAAACCAGGTAGAGGGGAGCTGCTCAAAGAAGGAGACTCCCTGGATTCTTCAGCAGCCTGTGTCCACTCTGCCTCTTGGCCAGCCTCCTCTCCAGCCTCCGAGGTGGAGTCTGAACTGCTCTCTGCCATGGCCTCTTCCTGCTCACTAAACCCTCTTGCCTCTTCAGCTTCCGACACCACCTCCTCCCAGCCTGCTCTCTCTTCTCCCTCTGACCACTCGTGGTCACACAATCCCCTGGCTCTGAGCCTTTTTCCCATGAATGTTCCCTGACTGGTGCCTTCACCCAGCCAGTCCATGGCACTTGGAGACCAGTTGCCAGTTACTTTCAACTAGGGTTGAGGAACCCGACTCAGCCTGAGGACCGTATTCTGTTCTGGGCAGCCTTCTGGGGACCGCATAGCAGTGGTCGGGTGAATTAGATGCAAAAATGGGCAGAGGATGGGATGAAATTTTCTACCTTGTACAGTGGGCTAGTTTCTGTGCATCCTATCAGATCCTTCTCTGTCCTCCAAGCAAGAGGCCTCATAAGAGATCAAGGACATGTTCCAGCCCAGGTAGAAAGGAGGCTACAAAACAGGGTTAGCGTGACCATGGGAGAGTCCTGAGGGCCAGATGGAGAGGCCAAGAGGGCCGCAATCCACCCCTGGGCCTGAGGTTCTCTCCCAGACCTCTGGTGCTGCTGTACATAATACGCAGTTGGGCGGACCAATAGTTCCGTTCATCTATAAGGCAGCTTTCTGCTTCAAACCATGATGGCTATACTCTGTTCTCCACTGTATGTTTCTGAATGCCAGTTGCTGGAAACCACAGGAGAGCAGAGATAGCGCCAAGGTTGCAGGTTTGATCCCCATATGGGGACAGGGGCATTGCGGGTGGTTGGACTACATGATCCTCAGGGTCGCCTCCAATTCTCTGATTCTATTAATTCCTGTGCTTGGATCCTGCGTTCAAAATGCTGGACCAGGTGGGCCTCTGGCCTGATCCAGCAGGCTCTCCTTACGCTTCTATAAAAGCTTTCTCCCTTGTCTCTAGGCCAACAAGATTAAATGGGTCCAGTAACTGGAATGACTCCGGACAAGAAAGCTGAAACGCCGGGGGCAGAGAAATCCGCGGGGCTGCGGCACATCCAAAGAATGGGGAGCTTGCCGGAGGCGGTGGATGCGGCTCGGCCGAAGGCCACGGCCGTGGATAGCGAACTGGCCGACGATGAGCTCACAAACTTGAACTGGCTTCACGAAAGCACGAACCTCCTAACAAACTTCAGCCTCGGAAGTGAGGGTCTTCCGGTGGTTAGCCCCCTGTACGACATCGAGGGCGACAGTGTGCCATCCTACCCTTCTTCCTGCTATTCCAACCCCGAGAAGAAATCTGCCACATCAAAGCCCCCCTATTCCTTTAGTCTCCTCATCTATATGGCGATAGAGCATTCGCCCAACAAGAGCTTGCCGGTGAAAGAAATCTACAGCTGGATCCTGGAGCGCTTCCCGTATTTTGCCACGGCCCCCACTGGCTGGAAGAACTCGGTCCGGCATAATCTTTCCTTGAACAAGTGTTTCCGGAAGGTGGAGAGAAGCCACGGCAAGGTGAGAACTGGGCGCTTATTGCTCTTCCTTTTGTTGATTTTTAAACAAAAACCAAAACCGTAACCAGTTTGTTTTGCTTGTTGGTTTAAGGGAAAAGATGGTGGAACTTCCTTTGATTCAGATGTTTTGTTGGAACACACAGACGCAAACCATGTTTTTGTTGCCCTACACTTTTGAGAGGGAGTAGCCCTGTTCAGTTCCCTGCAGTCAAACCAAGAAAGGGTATTTTGACGCTGTCCAAAAAGACTGACACTTTCCTTCCAGGGGAATGCGGCCCCATCCTGACCAGGCCTTCTTCCCACCTCCTGGGCTGGAGAACATGGAACATGTAACACCTCTGTCTTTTCAGAATACGGTTTTTCAGAATACGGTTTCAGTTTGTTGCTCCACATCCGGTCCACCCATCAGTTCCTACAGGCACCCATCTAGCACCCTAGCCACCTAGGACTAGGCTGATGTCAGCAGGTTCCTGGAATCCTCTTTGTTGTGTGACCTTGTCGGGTCATCTTAGTTTTCTTGGGAGCCTGGATGAGAGCTAGGAGGCTGAGAGGCACTGGGTAGGGAGATGCTTCAGAATCTCAGTATTTATTAGCAACGTGCAACAATAGTTTTATTTGGTCTGTTTTTGCAACTTTTTTTTTTTAGTTTGCCATGGTAAAATTGAAAACAAATTGGTAGAATTGAAAACAAATTGGTAGAATTGAAAACAAATTGGTAGAATTGAAAACAAATTGGGCTTCCACCTAACTTTGCCCGCCTCTCCAGAGTTTGTAGCTGCAGTATTGGGAGCAAACCTCAGGCTCGTCTTGCTCCCCAGAAGCAGATGGTGTCTTTCTAGCACAGCCTTCCTCAGTATGGAGCCCTCTCAATGTCTCTGGGCTACAACCCCCATCATTCCTGATCATTGGCCGTGCTGGCTGGGGGCTGGTCAGAGCTGGAGCACAATAGCATCGAGTTGGAGAAGAGTGTTGTCGTAGATAGGGCATGTGGAGGACTTCTGCTAGGTGTCCTTGTTTCAAGGAAGGATCTTGCAGTTTAGGGGAAGAAAAAGAAACACCACTTTGGAAGAGTTTGTTGGCTTACGGAGACCCTCGTAGGTCTGTCCATGGATGGGCAAGAGCATCATGCAAGGAAGATAACTTACCTGCAGCCAGTGTTCGAAGCTCCCATTGTTCTAGGTGCAATTTGCGACATGGAATTTCATTAGCACGAGCCTGTGCTGGGCCCAGGGGTAACCACAGAACCGCGGCCCAGGTCTGGTCCAGAATCCATAGGCTCCGCTAGGAGACAGTCCGACAGGGTCAAGGCAGGACACAAGGCAGGAAACCAGGCAAGGACAGGTACAGGATCTCAGGCAGGGTCTGGCATACAGCAGTATTGCTCCCGCAACCTGGGGCAGGGTCCAACAGTCTTTTATCTTTGTCAGGGTAATGGCCGGTCCTGATCCCCCGGCGACTCACCTCCCTGTTTCACCCAAAGGCAAGCACTCCTCCTGTGACAACTCAGGTCTCTCCTTCTCTCAGACCTTAGTCTCTGCATCTCGGGAGACGTCGGTGGGTTACTAGACTCAGGGGCCGCCTCAGCCTCCCCTGACCCAACCGGTAGTGGAGCAGCTGTAAGTGATTGCCCAGCAGAGGGTAACGAGGTAATCCCCGCATCTGGAGCCAGGGCAGGCTCAGGCCCCTGACTCGGCCCAGCTGGCATTTGTTGCAGGGGAACCAGTGCAGACTGGGACTCTTCAGGGTCAGGCCCCAGACTTGGTTCAGATGATGCCTGAGGCAAAGGATCCGGTGCAGACTGAGACTCCTTTGGTTCCGAGTCTGAGCCCGAGTCCCAGGCCATCCCAGAGCCGTTTCTGAGCTCTGCACCTAAGATTTCAGATTAAAACTGCAGAGTGGAAGGAAAGGAGGACCTTTTTCTGCCTTCCCACTTCCAGCTACTCTCTGAAGACTGGAGAAGAGATCCTCTTAAGAATATTAGGGGGGGGTGGGCAGGGGAAGGACTAAACCCTTTGAAAAATGAACATAATGTTTTAGATGCAGTTCATCCATTTTCAGCACTGTATTCTTGTTGTTAAAGGAAGCGTGCCTAGACATTCCATTGTTGCGCCCATAACCTAGGATGAAGGTGCCATTTATCTCCTAGCTCTCATATCTCAGTGTCTAACACTGCCCGCGGCAGGTAGCAGGATACAAGGGACTATCTCCAGTAAATTGAGATCATTGGAACGGGTGCCGTCAATGTCTGCGTCTGTGTATTGGTAACCAAGGGAGTGGACAGGCACCCTCTTCCTCCCTTTCTGAACACTGATGACTCAGTAATAATTACACACAAGCGTAAGACATGCCGCAGAAGTTAATATTGGTGCCCTGCTTGCCCACTCTTGTTGCTTTCCTTGCTTTGGTACCTGCCCAGGTGACTCAGGCTTTTGCCAGCTCTTTTGGGTGTACCTTTCAGAGCCTGTCCGCCCTGGGGAAGGATGTGGTTGTTTCAGAACAGCTGGAAATTGCATGTTGCGTCAGCCCCGCTTCCTAAAGTGGAAGAGATTAGTTATTTGAAAGTTGTGCTGTTTGCGGGGGGGGGGGGGGTAGAGACAGCTTAGCGTGTGAAGTATGGGCTCAAATAGCAGCCTGGTTTGTGTTGCCATGGCAGCATTTCCTCTTGCTTGGCTGGCTTGCGAGAGGCTGCCGCCGCCACGATGCCGAGGTTGTGTTCCTGCTGATCCGGTGGTGTGCCATTTGCTGGGGGTGGGGGCGGGCAGGAGGGGGGGGAGGGAGGAACCTCTCTTTCCTCCGTCTTTTCTCTTTTTTTAAGCTCAGGCATGAAGGCACGTACAAGGCACACGTGTGTGCGTGTTGATGCAACCCGAACTCAGGAGTATCAAAGGGGAAGAACACTGCCGCTTTTCTAAGTTGCTCTGCAAAACCGGTTTTGGAGTTCCTCACAGAGGATCTGCTTATGCAATGGAAACAGGATACGTGCGCAGATCAGATCTGCTGAAATAACACAACTCGGCTTTGTTATATAGCCAGGGTAGCTGTCTGGAGCAGGGCGTGTTTCTCACCTGAGGGCCGTGCTTCCGCTAAATTGGACCCAGTTTTCAGGTCAAACCTAACTGCAGATAGAAAGATGCCTTCTACTAACCAGGCCATTGGTCTGCCTAGCTCAGTATTGTCTACCTCTTTAGTATTTAAGGCAGGAGTTCCCTCTCTATGCTATAGATTGAGCATATGCCCTATCAGTGTGGCTGGGGCAACCCAGTCAGATAGCAGGGTATTATTATTATTATTATTATTATTATTATTATTATTACCACCACTGGCCCATTGCTCTCTCATGCAGAAAGAAGTGTGGACATAGGGGTGCAAAAGTGGCCAAGATCTGAACTTAAAAGCAAGCCTATTTATTGCTCCCTCTCCTTCCCCTGCTACTCTTGGAGCTGGTGAGAACTGCTATTGGCTTCCAGGTTAAAAATTTCCAAGCGTGTCTTTTGGAACTATGATTTGTAAAAGACCAGTAGTAAATAGTGCAAGTGATGCAAAACCTGCTTATTTTGCTTTCCCATGGAGTGGAGGCAGGGTATGACAGATGTTCAAGAAATGCTCACTTTAAGGAAAAGAAAGTTGGTTTTATTTTCTGTTTTTGGCAATGTGAAGATGCTAGGGGTGAGTCAGGAACTTCCCAATCCAGTGTGTTTCTGCAGTTCATCTTATTTAGCTAGCTGACGTGTGCAGCCTGCCTGCCTTGTTCAAAATCATAGACTTTTTAGAAGCTGAAGGGTCCTTGGAGTTCATCTTGTCAACATGAAGGTTTTCTCCCTGTTTATATTCTCATCACCGCTACAAAAATGTCTGCTCGGACAAAGCATCACATTTTGGGATTGGGATCGCAGCTTCCCTTGTAACACACAGGTGTTACCTTCAAGACAAAGGCTGCTATTTCCAAGCGTATTTAGAAATAACGGCCGCTGAAAGTAGACTGACTTATTTCTGATAACCTAGGCAAGGAGCTGACCTGCGAGATCCTTTATAGCAGGGGTAGCGAGCCTACTCCAACTCTCATCAGCATGGCCAATAGTTAGCAATTGTGGGAGCTGCGGTCCAGCAACAAATAGCTGAGTTCTAAGAAGTACATTCAGGGGAGTGATTTCAGCTTCACCTCTGGTGATGATGAACTCAAGTGACTGGCCAGGACGATCGGATAAAGCTGTAATACTTTCAGGAGATGAAGTTGCCTTCCATACCAAGTAGGATGGGGTCTTAGGTGGTAGCCTTTTGTAGCCAGCCACCTAAAACCTGAATACCCCAGGGTCTGAACCTGGGATCTTCCACAAGCAAGCCATATTATCTGCCACTGATCCCAAGGTAGGCAACCTGGTGCTCACCAGGTCCTGAAACTCCCACTGCATAGTACAGATGCTGGCCAGTGTTGGGTAGTGGTTACAGGGTTAGACTAGGACCTTGTAGACTAGGGTTCAAATTCATGGAGATCACTAGATGGCCCTAGGCCCCAGTCACTGCCTCCCAGCCTAACTGAGCACATGGGGTTGTTGCAGGGATTATTTTTTAAAAAGAAAATTTTTAAATTAGCTTTCCAAACTTTATAAATTCTTTTAAACAACTATCAGAACATGTAACTCATATTAGCTGACTTCCCACCCTTCTGTTGTGTTCTTTTCGTACCTTAGAAAGCTGCTATATTACTTATATTTTAGCCATTACCTATGTTAATCATAAATGATTAAACTACCACTATCAGCTGCTGCACTTTAAATCCTGCATAACCATGATATTTATTTGAAAATATTTCCATTCTTCAATAATTTTTTCTTCATTCTGTTCTTTAATTATCACAGTTAAGTCTAGCCATCTCAGTGTATTCAATCATCTTTGTTCACCATTCTTCTTTCGTTGGGACTTCATCTTTTTCCATTTTTAAAGGTTGTTTCAGGATTTAAAGGAGGTGTGGAAGCACCATGGACACCACTTTGAGCTCCTTGGAGAATAAATTTGGGGTGCAGATGCAGTTAATTAAATAAATAAGAGCTGCCTCGAGCACCCAGAAGAAAGATCGAGATGCAAATGGAACGAATGGTTGTTATTTTGAAACAGGCTCCGTTAATTCGTTGCCTGAAGAGAAAGAAGCCCATAGCACCCTTTTCCACACGGCCTTTCCAAATGAGATACCATTAGAAATGCAAGCAAACCTGCTATTAAGAAATTACGCTATTAATTGTATCCATTACTGCTTTCAACACTTCTTAGTTTTTCAGCGATGGTTTGCTTCCAGCAGGCGCTTTGAAGCAGAATGGTTGAGTTACACACGTAAACCCCTCTCCTTCTCCTCCTTCGATCACTCATAGCTGAGTAAAACTGTCTTCCATTAACAGTGAGTCCGTAAGTGATTGTGGAGGCCAATTCTGGATCCACACATCCTTCCACAGTGGGGACATAGGTTTCCGGGCAGGATTTGATCATGGTGTGGATTTGCCAAGCGTGCCTTCCTCTTAGCATGTTTCTCCGTTTCATCCTGAGTTTGAGCATCTTCAAATGTTTGAGCATCTGGCAAAGGCTGTTCTCCAACTGGAGCGCTCGCAGGCCAGGGTTTCCCAATTGTCGGTGTTTATACTACATTTTTTAAGATTTGCCTTGAGAGAGTCTTTAAACCTCTTTCGTTGACCACCAGCATTCCGCTTTCCATTTTTAAGTTCGGGATAGAGTAGTTGCTCTACCCCTGTGTAAAAAGGAGGAGGAGGCTGCCTCAGGCAAGCCAAAAATGTCTATCTTGCGGCCTTGAACATCATCACGGGGATTAAAGCTTGGTTCAGATATTTATTCGGTTCCTGAATCGTCATACGAAAAGCCCCACTCAGTCAGGCCAAAGGCCCATCTCATCCAACATCCTGTTCTCACAGTGGCCAACCAGATGCCTATGGGAAACCCACAAGCAAGACCTGGGGCAACAGCCATCTCCCCACTTCTGATGCCCAGCAATTGTGTTCAGAGGCACAATCCCCCAGCAGTGGTGGGAGGAACACAGCCATCTTGGCTAGAGGCCATTGATAGCCTTAGCTTCCATGAGTTTCTCTGATCCTCTTTAAAGTCACCCATAACTACCATTGTTTTACGTAGCGGGGGGAAATACCCCCTGGTATTTTTCTGGTGCACACAGAATGTGGCATGTCTCTTGGGGAAAGGGGTGGATTTGAAAGTGGAGGGCGAGGAATGGAATGGAGTATCCCTGCTGGAACCCTGAACAGGAGCACTGCACGCTGCAACACATCATTGCAGACCCCACCTATAAGCAGCAAACCAGCCAGAACAACTTCCGGCAAAACCAGCATTTGGGCCACTGTCTCCCTGTGGACTTGCCATATTTTTGCCTGATTTTAGGTTGTCTGGGAACAAGGGCAGGGCAAGGCTTTCTCCGTGTACTGAAGCCCACCCATAGAAAAGTTCAGCAGGCTTGTTGCTTTCTATTTAGTATGTCTGTTAAGAACATGGTGTTCTAACAAGGGTTTGTGGGAGTGTGTGTGTGAGAGAGAAGGCAGATTCTATGCCAAACCTATCAGATAATTTCTTTTAGAGCCTGCTGTTACAGAAGTTAGAATTGTCGTTTATCCTGGCTTCGGGGCAGCGGAGCTCCTGCCCATGGTGGGCAGGACCAGGTGCAAAAGCAAGTGCAGCAACGGATGCCCGTTTTCTCATCGTGACGCAGGCTAGTTTCTACACCTTCTCTGTTCTCCATCCTGGAGAGCAAGAGGCTTTCATAGACTTGTAGATTTGGAAGGGACCCCATGGGTCATCTACTCCAACCCCTTGCAATGCAAGGATCTCAGCAAGAGCATCCATGACAGATGGCTGGCCAACCTCTGTTCAAGGCCACATTCCAGCCAGTCAAAAGCTTTTGAAGAGGGTGCAAAGCAGCTCTGGCGAGGGCGGTGGTTGGAGGAGGTATGTGATTTGGGGAGGGTGCTGAGGACCTGGTGGAGAGATCTGGAGAGCTTGAGGTTCTCTAGGTGTAGACAGCACTGATGTAGAGGGACCAGCTGCCTAGCTTGGCGTGAGGTAGCGTTGTGGTTCCTCTGTTGCTGTAAAATCGAACTGTATTCAAAACAGTCGTGTTTCTTAGGGTTTGAATCAGGATTGCTGATGGTTTCATGCCTTGATACTGTGGCAGGCGTTGAGTAGGATGTTTGGGATGTCATGAAACATGAGGTTTTCCATCGATCTGCCGAGAGAGATGTTCTCTCAGCTGGCAGCTTGACCCTTCTCCTCCCGCTTTTCAACTTGCTTCCTGGATCTGATGGGAAAGTGTTTGGGGTAGGGGGCTGGGGATGGAGTTTGCAAACAAACACTTATTTCCCAACATCTGGTGCTGTGCAGATGTTGTTGGGACTGCAGCTTTCCTCAGACCCCACCAGCATAGCCAGAAAAACACCTGGAGGGCAGCACCTGTCCCTGTGCCTTTCTGAAGGACTGTCCCTGTCCCAAGGAACTGTGTAAGGTTGATAATTTTTTCCCCCTCCGGTGTGGTGGGTGCCAGGCAGAAGCTGTTGGAAAAACCTGTCTTAAGTGCCTGGAAGTGAGTGGCCGCCATGTTTTAAAAAGGTTAACCTGTGCATTGGCCCCATTAAGTACATAGGATGGTTGTGATGTTGCAGGAGATTTGGTAGAATCTTGGTGTGTGAATGGCAGCCTTGCTCAACCTGGCACCCTCTAGACATTGCTGGACTATGACCCCCTAGCAATGTTAGAAATTAGACAGGTGACCAGGCGCATTTTGCTACTGGCGCAGGTCCAGTTGCTCCCATGTGGAGATCTCTGGATGCCAGGTTGCTGACTGGCATCTCCATCTGGCTGGAGCAGGTAAGAGGAAGAGCTTATTTATTGCATTTATTGTTGTTGTTATTGTTTAGCCGTTTACGACTCTTCGTGACCCCATGGACCAGAGCACGCCAGGCACTTCTGTCTTCCACTGCCTCCCGCAGTTTGGTCAAACTCATGCTGGTAGCTTCAAGAACACAGTCCAACCATCTCGTCCTCTGTTGTCCTCTTCTCCTTGCGCCCTCAATCTTTCCCAACATCAGGGTCTTTTCCAGGGAGTCTTCTCTTCTCATGAGGTGGCCAAAGTATTGGAGCCTCAGCTTCAGGATCTGTCCTTCCAGTGAGCACTCAGGGCTGATTTCCTGAAGAATGGATAGGTTTGATCTTCTTGCAGTCCATGGGACTCTCAAGAGTCTCCTCCAGCACCATAATTCAAAAGCATCAATTCTTCGGCGATCAATTACATTTATAGTCCACATTTTTTCCAAGGAGTACGATTCACACACACCCCTCCTCAGTTAATCCCTACAACAACCCTGTGAGGCAGGTTAAGAGGCTGCGACTGGCCCAAGGTCACCTGATGAGCTTCATGACTGAGTGGGGATTTGATCTCTCAGGTCCTAGCCCAGGCATAGGCAAACTCCGACCCTCCAGATAATTTGGGACTACAACTCCCATCATCCCTGACCACTGGTCCTGTTAACTAGGGATGATGGGAATTATAGTCCCAAACATCTGGAGGGCCAGAGCTTGCTTAGGCCTGTCCTAGTCCGACATTCCAACCACCACACCACACTGGCTTCCTAGAGTCCTTCTGCTATGGGGCAGCTCTATAAATTAAGTAGGTAAGTAAATATTGGGAAAGGAAAATGTCACCTAGAGAAGGATCTGAAATGTTTTGAAGTTTGTATTTGTTTTATTCTGGATTGTATTATTTGATGTTTTAATGTGTTGTAAACTGCTTTGAGATTTTTTTCTTTAAAATATAAAGCGGCATAGAAATGATATACCCGTATATACTTGAGTATAAGCCAAGCCGAATATAAGCCGAGGCACCTAATTTTACCACAAAAAACTGGGAAAACTTATTGACTCGAGTATAAGCCGGTTCACCACACCACAAACCTCCTGGTGGGCCGGAGTGCGTGTGCGCGCACATGTGCACACGGCAGAGGGGGCTTCTCTCCCCCCCAGCCCCTCGCGTCCCCCTGCCTACCTAGGGTGCTGTCAAGAGGCAGAGGCTGGTGGTGGCAGCGACGGAGGAAGAACAAGCAGCCCAAAATTGCTGCTTTTAGGCTGCCTGTTTCTCCTCCGCCGACAGCGGCAAAGGTGGAGGAGGAGGAAGGAGCAGCCCGAAAGGGACCCTCACTCGAGTATAAGCCGAGGGGGGCTTTTTCAGCATAAAAAATGTGCTGGAAAATTCGGCTTACACACGAGTATATATGGTATATATATAAAATTGCAAATTCCACAGGAAAAAAGATGCCTAGACATTCCATTGTGGCAACCGTAACCCACATTTCAAGGTGCCATTTGTTGATTAGCTGAGATACCTGAGTTTCTAACACAGCCTCCTAGCTGGGGCTGATGGGAGTTGTGGTCCTGAACATTGGGAGGCCCCCTTAATTGAGGAAGCTTGATGTACAGAATGGTGCACATACTTTGAAGTGCAATTTGTCAGGCTTGGGGTGCAAGTCTGTCTCAGCAGCCTCCAGCCTGCCGTGAGCATATTTCATCTACGACCCAGAGTCTCCCAAGTACCGAAATTGGCAGTTCATCATCACACGTTTGCAAACTGGATATGCTGCTGCCTTAGGACCGTTTCCCCGCAGGAGGTATCCTGGAATGAGTCGGTTGTGGAAGTGGTGGTTCTGTCCTCTGACACGGCTTACACAAAATGGGAGAAGTCCTTCGTAATCAGCACGGGTGCTTTTGTTGTTTCCTAGGTGAATGGAAAAGGTTCTTTGTGGTGTGTGGACCCAGAATATAAACCGAACCTAATACAAGCCCTGAAGAAGCAGCCTTTCCCCTCTGCCTTTTTTTATACCCCACCAGCATCACCACTGAGGTAGGACTCTTGTTGCTCTACACAGGGCAATCTGGGACGGGGGGTTGGTGGAATGCAGATTTCCGTCTAGATCAGTGTTGTCCGCAGGTGGTGATACATTTTTTTGAAAAAAATAGAACATTAGTTTTGGTTTGGGTGAGTCTAGAAGAAAGAGTCAGCCATAGCTTAGTGTTGAGAAGGTCCTAGGTTCATCTCCAGACTCCCACACCCTCCTCCAAACATTGTAGCCCTGCAAAGCCATTGCCAGCCAAGATCAGGCAACGGTGGGATGACTCTGAGTAGGAGCAGAGGAGAAATTCGATTCAGCTCTCATTGAACGGCGAACTTGCACAGTCTGCCCTTTGTGAAACAAGGCATGAAGCGAAACACAGCCACCCTTCAAAATTTGCAAAATTCTGTGAATTTTGCGGTGCATTTCTCGAGGCAAGCAGAGCCATAGAATTGTAGAGTGGGAAGGGACCCTGAGGGTCATTTAGTCCAACCCCCTGTGAGACAGGAGTATCAACTTAAATAGATGACCATCCAACCTCTGTAATGTGTACAAAAATGCTTATACTGGGGTAAAGCGTGTCTGCAGGAATATGAACGTATTGATGGGAAGAGTGTCCAAGCACACATATTAGAGGAAATAGTTTTTTAAAAAAGTGTATATCAGGCAAAAATTATATATATATATATATATATATATATATATATATATATATATATTATATATATATATGCACACATATATATATATAATAGGAGAAACGTTGCACTGAAACACTGATGAATTTTCATGAGGACGCTTCTTTTTTTAAAAAAAAAGTGCAAACTGATTTGAACATATGAAGAACTGAGTTTAGGACTAGAAAAAATGAGAAACACACACAGAGAGAAAATAAGACTTAGCCATGGCTCAGTCTAAGACAGCTTCACATGTTGACCACCTTCTTTAGATTATCCTTGCTATTCTGCTTGAATATAGGAAGCATCTTTTTAAAAAAACAACGGCAACAGCTGAATGTTTGTGTTAGCTGAGAGACTCTTACTGGAATCTATATCCCAGTGGAACGTCTTGATTAAATGTTATGGGCAATTTGCATTTGATATCCCTTCTCTGATAGAAAGCATACAGGAGCAGAATGGGTGGGAAGCCATTTTTGGCAATTCCTTCTCCTCCCTCCACCCTCTGCAGCTCATCCCCTCCCGGTCAGCTCTGAAGGCTCACCACAAAACCTAAAACTAAGGAACTGAGAACAAATTATAAAGATCAAGAGTAGCCAACATGGTGGTCTTCAGATGTTGCTGAATTGCACCTTCCATCATCCCTGACCAACAGGTCACATTGGCTGGAGTTGGTGGGAGCTGGAGACTGTCAACACCTGAAGACCTCCATGTTGGCTGCCTCTGATAAAGAGATCGTATAGATTTTAACTAGGCTTGCTTCCAAGTAAGTGTTTTGAAGATTGTAGTTGCAAGCTAAAATTAATTTTCTGATCGCATTTGGGTTATGCAGAACTTGTTTTTTTGCATGGGGGAGATTGGGGGTATTTATGCTCCCAGTTTAGAAGATGAGCCAACTGTGTCTGATAGAAAAATGAACTTGTGGTGGGAGAAAATGGAGCTCATAGCTGGCTCTTAGCCCAGGTCACAACCACCAGCCTACGGTAGAAACAGTTTGCCCGTTGCAAACACAGGAATGCCTTTCAGCCAAGGCTGCCCCTCGATGACGTGCAGTGAGGAGAAATCCATTCCAGCAACGAATCCAACGGAGAAAATATCAATTGGTGTTTTACGCAAAACTGACGCTCTGCCCAATTAACGAAAGAGTTAGATGCGCTCTAAAAATCGACAGAACTAATCAACTTTAGGAGAAATCTTTAACCTGACCAAGATGGAAAGGCCTTCCTGGCAAAGCGCCAAGGCTGAAATGAAATTTTGGGAGTCCCTTAACAACAAAAAGTCGAGCCTGTATCCATGTCTGGCATGAACTGAAAAACAGCTGACGTGCTTTGCTTTTGTTTTTCTTTCTGCCAGAAGCATTGCATATGTAGGAGCACAGAGATCGGAGCTTGGTAGCTCCCAAGGGTGGCTGGACCCTTTGGGATTGGAAGAGTGGAAGGCAGGGAGGACAACAGTCGCTTGAGCAGAGCCTCCCGCTGACTGGTTGCAAGTAGACTGAAGTTGGTGGGCCACAGGTGTTAAACGCTGACAAGATCTCACTCCTCTTTGCAGTTGTGCTGCAGCTTTCTGCACTAACTGCAGATTCCGGATCAGGCACAAGGGAGGGCCCACAGAGAGCGCATTGCATTAATCCAGCCTTGAAGTAACCTATGCATGAGTGGCTGTGGCCAGGCTTTCCACTCAAACATGGCTACAGGACTGCAGGCTGTGTTTTGAATGTGAACGGTAGTGTCATAACTAGAAGATGTCTTGCCAGTTTTTGTTTGGATATTCCAGGGCCCAAGACAGACTTCCTGTTACAGACAGAATGTCAGATGGGGATGGAGGAGAAACTCGATTCAGTTCGCATGTGAAGCAGTTCGCATATGTAACTTGTAGCTTTTTAAACAAGACAACAATCCGAAACATGGCCATCCTTCAAAATTGGCGCTTCTCTGAATTTTGCAGGGCCAAACAGTGTTTACAAAAATGCACAGGCTGGGCTAAAAATGAAAACAACATACAAAAGATGCATTACCTGGAGGAAAATTGCTTTGCAAAAATGTGTATGTTAGTGGTAAGATTGCATATGAAAAGGTTTGTGTTAGGAGAAATTTGCCCTAAAAATGTGGATGAATTTTCACAAGGACTTTAAAAAGAAAATTCTACACTGCTGTAGAAACATGGGGAACTGAAATTGGCAGATTTGCTGTTCTGTCGTGTCAAACTGCTGCCCTTCTTTGGGTTAACAAATACTGCTCCTGAGGAGACGAGGTCCTTTTAAAATCATCAGGGCAGCTAAAAGTTCTGCAGTGTTGTCCCTGAGGTAGATTATGTGCACCACTGCAGGAAGGACGCATGACTTCCAGTCCCCTTTTCCCAAAATAGACCAGAGCGCAGTAGAAATTCTTGCCAGGAGGGCTCCTGTTAACAGATGCTTGTTTCAGACTTTATTCTCCAACTCACTTAGGGAAAATCATCTTTAAAGTGACACACACACACACAGAGAGAGAGAGAGAGAGCATTCTTTACAAAGATGGCTTAAAAAAATATGTGGTGGTGTTTGGCTTGAGAACACTTCCCACACACTTTAGAACAGGATTTGCAAGGCCTGTGCTGGAGCTCAGGGTTCGCGGCCCTGGAGTAAAGCCAAATCTAGAGACTGGGGTTTAAAGCAAGACAGGAAGAAATGACAAGGGAAACTGTTTCTGAGAAAGAAACGGCAGGGCACGAGGACGCAGGATCAGGATAAAAAGCACAAAACGGTTGCTCATTAACAGAGGTTCTAGTCCTCAGGATTATGAAAACCTGAAGGTGGAATCCAGAAACGTAGTCAGTTGCCTTAGACCAGTTCGAACTATTTGCCCAAGTAGCCCAGTATTATCTCACTGGAAGTGGCACTTCATGATCTTAGACAGAAGTTTTTTCGCATCACCTGGAACAGGAGATGCCAGGGTTGGAACCCCAGACATTCTGCAGCCAGAGTATTGCCCATCACTGAACTCTGTCCCCAATGGGTGCAGAAACGTTTTGGTCTGGTGGGACAGATCTTTATATCCCAACACCCCACCAGCTAACTCTGACAGGTGGGCAGAACAACTCACTTGTCAATCATCTGATATCATAATGATATCAGGTGCTCAACAGGTCCCACCAAGTGGGATTGAAGTCCCTGTGCACTAGTTGATGGGCAGGAGGCTTGATCCTGTTTTCTACACCAACTGTGCCTCTGCCTGCCCCACACATATAGGGCATCAGGTGTGCTACAGCTGGGTGTGGTTTGGGGGAAATGGTCTGACAGGCCAAATGGGGACTGTTTCACATATTCCACACTGGCCAGCCAGGGTTTTTAATCAAGTGTCTTCTCAAAGGGATTTGCAGTCAATCTCCTGATGAGCAAGCAATTATGATAGAGGTGTGTTTTCAGACACCTCTGTCTTGCTCACACTGTCAGTGTTTAGATATAAGCTCCCTTCCACAACTCATTAGTTTCACGTCTTTGAAAAGTAAGTCTGAATAAGCTCTCAGTCTGTGGCAAGCTGTCAAATGTGCCAGTGGGTTTAGATGCAGTCCTTTTATTTCTGTTTTCTTGAGTTCAGTAGCAAAAATGCCAGTTGCGGATATAATATAATAGGCAAGCTTAGCAGTTTTTGACTTTGTTAACTAAATGCCCGCAAAAGAAACCTGTTCGATTAGATCACTTTCCTGGGACATCAGAAAATGTTCAGAGGCAAGGTGCCCTAGGGATTTGCATAGGGAAACCTCCCAGCTCAATCTTCTCCAGAAAACCCACATCACAGATTAGGTCAGCTCTGTAATACACCAGGTTTAAGACTCACACCAGGCCAGCAGTCCTTGTTGACATCACTTCTGGTACAGGAGAGATCCTGCCATTTTGAAATCATTGAAGGTGCAAATATGGCTAGACTAAGTGAATTCTGTCTTGGTTCAGCACAGTCTCTAAACCTTCTTTCTCCTCTCTTCCAGTGGTTCACCTTCTCCTCACTACTTAACCTCAGTTTTGAAACAGAATCAGGGTCGATCTATCAAAGGTAAGATGTGCTATCCATTGTCCATCTTTTAGCTCTCCTTTGGGTGGCTTTATAAACTCAGTCTGTGGCCTGGTATAGATGTTGTGGCCAAATTATGGTTTGGTCATCATGAACAACAAATTCCTTCCTGGCTTGGGGATTTGAGCACATGAGGGGAGGCAGGAATGCACAAACCCAAAGGCTGTTCACAATGGCTAAACTATAATTTGGCCACAACATTTGTACTGGATCACAAATCATGCAACTTGTGGCCACCACAAACGTATCAGTTTGCATCCCAAACCATGGTTTAAACCTGTAGATGTGGTTTAGTTGCAGCATCTGAACTCGGCTTGGTTGTTTCCAGGAGTTCTGTTAAAGGTCTTCTGTCTTGAGATTTTCCATTCTAGTTTCTCGGACCAGTCTAAGGCCTCATCTGCATTATCCATTTTAAAGCAGCTCTTTACAACTTCCAACAGTCATCTCTTCCCCCAAAGCATCCTGGGAAGTGTAGTTTGTGGAGGATGTCTGTTCCTGTGAGAGCCCTATTCCTATCACAGAGCTACAATTCTCAGAGTGGTTTAACAATTAATCCCTCTTTCCTGGGAACTCTGGGAAATGTAGTTCTGTGAGGAGAATAAGGATCTCCTAACAATTCCCAATCCCCACAACAAAGTAGAGTACCTGGAATTCTTTGGGGGAAGCCATGACTGTTTAGAGTGGTTCGGTACTGTTTTGAATACATAGTGCAGATGGGGCCTTAAAGCACCAATTTCATCTGAACTTTAGTCTCGATTCCATCTTCTTTTTTAACAGCTGCATTTGCAATCAGGACTCCTCTAAATCTTAAATTGTTTTTTTCCATTTATCATTTAGATGTTTTTCAGCATCTCAACTTGTCTTCCCTTTTCGCCTTCTCGATTCTCACCCCTCCCTGCTAGCCCTAGCACTTTATTTTGCTTCAGTGATTGTCTGGCTATTCCTTCCAACTTTGTAATTGATTAAGCACTTGGAGGAGATTGGGGCGCTGAACAAGATCTGTGTTCATCCATTTTTAAATTGGTTGTTGCAATGATGTGATCTAGAGAACCAGGGTGGTTGGTACCTATCAGCATGAATGTGGGGGAATCCAGTGTGTGTCAGCTGTAGAAAAGGCACACTAGGGATCTTTAGGAATGGGACTGAAAATTAAAGTGCTGTTACCACAGTAGCATCAAAGAAATCTATGGTGCAACCACATTTGGAATAATGTGTGCAGTTCTGGTCGCCTCACCTCAAAAAGGACATTGTAAAGCTTGAGAAGTTTCAGGAAAAGGCACCAGAAATGATCCAAGGGGATCGAGCAACTGCCCTATCAGGGAAGGCCACAACTTTTAGACCTTTAGCTTAGAGGTGTGTTAAGAAGGGACGTGGTGCTGGTATATAAAATGATTCATGCTCTGGAGAAAAAAGATTTTCTCCCTCATAATGCTAGAACACATGGGCATCCAATGATGTTGAATGTTGGAAGATTCAGGACAGACAAAAGAAAATAGTTTTTCTTGCAGTGCGTAGTTAAAGGAGAGAATTTGCTGCCACAGGATGCAGTGATAGCTTTAAATGAGGATTACACAAATGCATGGAGGATAAATCTAACAACAACAACAACAATAACAACAACATTATTTGTGCCCTGCCCATCTGATTGGGTTGCCCCAGGCACTCTGGGTGGCTTCCCATATATAAAAAAACAGGAAAATTAAACATTAAAAAGCTTCCCTATATAGGGGAAGAATAGAATCATAGAATTGTAGAGTTGGAAGGGACCCCAAGGGTCATCTAGTCCAACCCCCTGCAATGCAGGAATGTCAGCTAAAGCATCCATGACAGATGGCCACCCAACCTCTGCCTAAAAGGAGAATCCACCACTTCACAAGAGAGTCCGTTCCACTATCAAACAGCTCTTACTGTCAGAAAGCTCTTCCTGATGTTTAGTCAGAATTTCCTTTCCTGCAACCTGAAGCCACTGGTTCGAGTCCTGTCCTCCAGAGCAGGAGAAGACATAGCCGGCCGGTATGGCTGTGTTTCACTGCCTCACCTGTCAGAGGCAGTATGCTGGGAATCACAAGCAGGAATTGGAGGCTTCCCATGGGCATGTGGTTGGCCAATATGAGGACAAGATGCTGCACTGGGTGGGCAGGCAGGGCTTGGCAATTGCTTGGCTCTGAAGCTCACTAGGTATCCTTGGTCAAGACACTTACCTCACTTCTTATCCTAAACCATGGGTAGGCAGGCCAAATCGCCTTCTAAATCTGACCCGCGGACAGTCCGGGAATCAGTGTGTTTTTACATGAGTAGAATGTATGCTTTTATTTAAAATGCATCTCTGAGTTATTTGTGGGGCATAGGAATTCGTTTATCCCCCCCCCAAATATAGTTCGGCCCCCCCCCCCCCAAGGTCTGAGGGACAGTGGACCGGCCCCCTGCCGAAAAAGTTTGCTGATCCCTGTCCTAAACTAAGCGTGCTTTTAAAAGCATAGTCATGTTTCACTCCTCTAGATGAAACCTAATGGAAGGCAATTTCCTTTTTCTTTTCCAGACTCTGATATTGATGCTGCTACTGCCATGATGCTCTTGAATACTTCCATTGAAGAAGGCATTTTAGATTGTAAGTAAAAATAAGTTTTTGCTGCCTTTCTGTTTTTCAGTGCTGCTGCTGTATTAAATCCCTTTTCAAATGCAAAATTTTAGTTAGAGCGGTTGATGGTTTCTTAGAAAACACTTGAGGCCATTTATTTCTGGTTTGTTTGTTTGTTTGTTTTAAAAAGCCCTCCTTTAGAATATTGATTTGCGACATGAAATGAAATAATGTACACCCTGTTGGCTTGGTAGAAAGTCCCGTTGTGTCCAGTTGGACTTACTTGCAGGTAAACGTCTTTAGGATTACAGCACAAGCTAAATCTTACTTTGAAACAGTACCGCATCTTGGAATACGTATATGGCTTATTTATTTGTAAATGTAATTTTAAACACTGACAGCTCATATTAAACCATTAATGTTAAACTAACACGGGTGGTGCTGTGAGTTAAACCACAGAGCCTAGGACTTGCCGATCAGAAGGTCGGCGGTTCGAATCCCCGCGACGGGGAGAGCTCCTATTGTTCAGTCTCAGCTCCTGTCAACCTAGCAGTTCGAAAGGACATCAAAGTGCAAGTAGATAAATAGGTACCGCTCTGGCGGGAAGGTAAATGGCATTTCCATGCGCTGCTCTGGTTCACCAGAAGCGGCTTAGTCATGCTGGCCACATGACCCAGAAGCTGTACACCGGCTCCCTCGGCCAGTAAAGCGAGATGAGCGCTGCAACCCCAGAGTCGGTCACGACTGGACCTAATGGTCAGGGGTCCCTTTACCTTTAAGACAGTTTTAACGAAGCAGTTGGTTACTCTATTCAAATCCTTTACCCAAATTACGCTTTTATTCCCTCTAACCCAACCCCCCCATTCAGCCTCATCTACACTATAACTGGGGGTTCTGCTAGAAGCCTCTTTTCCAACCCTTTGCTAAGCTTTTGTCCTGCAGCAATGCCCTGGAAATATTCCCTGTAATACTCCTCCTACCTGTCACCGTTCAAAGATGTTCTTCACTTCTCCTCTTGGCACTGCAGACAGGCCTTTTCTCCCTGCCTTTTCAGCCTAGGGTGGCTAGTTGAAGTAGGCCCAGCAAGTCTTTGGTCACTGTGCCTCTCCTCCTCCCTCTCAGGTCTTCCTCCCCAATCCTCTCCTTCAGCTTCTTTCTTCTTCTGGCTCTCTGCTGACCAGTGCCGGGCTATATATACACTCCTCTGGCCCAACCCCAGCCAATCATGCAGTGTAACTGAAAATTCTAAACCTGCACCCACCAATCAAATGACACACGCCTTCTATCCTTCATTTGCATTCCGAGAATTCGAATGCCAACCCTTCCTCACAGCTGTCAGTTAAGGCCCTTTTCAGCCACAGTTAAACCAACTGTTGCCGGACCACACAGAAAACTTCCCACATAAATGTATGTTCCGAATCAAATGTTGGGAATGCCTTACACAATGCATGGGATTTCTCAACAACAGGGTCCAATAAATTCTGAAGGGCACCGTGGTGACTATTATTAATCTATTTATTAAATTTGCTTACCTCCCTTCATCTGTAGATATCGGAGAGGTTCGTGACATAAAAATACATAACCACAAATCAATAAGCCACCCCCCACTCTTGCCTTAGACTGTTCTAAGTGCACCAGTATTTATTATTTTTAATGATTTTATTGATACATCATGACAGCAACAACAAAACAGAAGAGAAAACAATACACGCACACACACACATGCACACACACACACACACACATGCACACACACACACACACACACACACAGAGCAATAAAAAGATATTAGAAATTAGATAATGACAATAAAAGTTACAAAAGTAACTAAATTTATTTATTATATCAGTTTGTTATGGGACGGGGGTGACACTGTGGTCTAAACCACTGAGCCTCTGGGCTTGCCGATCAGAAGGTCGGCGGTTCGAATCCCCACGACGGGGTGAGCTCCCGTTGCTCAGTCCCAGCTCCGGCCAACCTAGCAGTTTGAAAGCACGTCAAAGTGCAAGTCGATAAATAGGTACCGCTCCGGCGGGAAGGTAAACAGCGTTTCCGTGCACTTCTCTGGTTTTGCCAGAAGCGGCTTAGTCATGCTGGCCACATGACCCGGAAAAACTGTCTGCGGACAAACATTGGCTCCCTTGGCCAGTAAAGGTAGATGAGTGCTGCAACCCCAGAGTCATCTGCGACTGGACTTAACTGCCAGGGTTCCTTTACCTTTCTATATCTGTTTTTTAAACTGACAGTGTGTCCTTCCTTCGAAAGCAGCCCAGGGCACCAAACACATCTGTAATAAAAACACAATTAGAAATAAAGTGAAGACATATTTAAAGAAGGTTTGTGGCATCTAAAAAAACAGATAGTAACAAAATCATGTGTCTGGACAGGCCCGCCAAAACAGAAAACTTTTCAGCAGGGGTCTAAATCAGTGTTTCCCAAAGTGAGTGGCCTTGCCCCCCCCCAGGGGTGGCAGGATTGCCTGGGGGCGCTAAGGGGTCACAGAGGAGGCGGCAGGGGGACACTGGAGGTGTAAATAACTATCAGACTTTGGAAAGCTGGTATCACTGGATCAAATTCACCCAATTTAAAAAAATAACCACTGCACATAGTTTTAACTGCATTTTGGATAAATGTGGCATTAATGGTTACTGTTTTGAATTTTATCGTGCTATTATTTTCCTTCGTGGTTCATGGAAACTGCTATTCTGAATAATGCTTTTTGTAGGGTATGGGGCAATAGGGATGAGTTAATGGAGTTAAGTGGCCTGGAAATCTTTGGGAACCTCAGGTCTAAAAGATGGTGCTTGCCGAACGCTGGTATTGGAAACCTGACCCCTTTCATAGAATCATACAATTGTGGAGTTGGAAGGGTCATCTAGTCCAAACCCCCTGCAATGCAGGAATCTCAACTAAAGCATCCATGACAGATGGTCATCCAGTCTCTATTTAAAAACCTCCAAGGAAGGAGAGTCCACCACCTCTCGTGGGAGTCCGTTCCACTGATGAATGGCTCTTACTGTCAGACAGTTTTTCCTGATGTTTAGTCGGAATCTCCTTTCTTGTCGCTTGAAGCGGTCGGTTCGAGTTCTACCCTCCAGAGCAGGAGAAAACAAGCTTGCTCCCTCTGCCATGGGAAAGCCCTTAAGATATTTGAAGGTGGCTTTCGTTATCTCCTCTCAGTCTCCTCTTTTCCAGGCTAAACATAGCCAGCTGCTGAAAAGCCCGGCCAAAACATCTGGAGGGCATCAGGGTGGGGTGGGGAGGCACTGATCCCTCCCACTTCTGACAAGACTCTTTATTTTCCTCAGGTAAGAAGCCGCAGCCTCTCAAGCCGTCCAAGAAAAGGAATTACGTCAGCACGTTCCAAAGCCACGGCAAGGCAAGTCCCGGGGGGAGCGATTTCCCCGTCCCCAACATTGACCCCAACGAGGACCACAACTACAGCGCCAGCAGCGTGGCCTCGCAGCGCTGCGTGTCGCCCTCGAGTGTGTCTTCCCTGTCGTCCGTCGACGAGGTCTACGAGTTTGTCTCTGAGGCCAGCCGGGTGGGGAGCGAGGGCAGCGAAGGGTTCCACAGCGAGGTGGACACGGACGGAGACGACCGTGAAGAGGACGATGACGACGACCCCCTGGCCGATAGTGGCTACACCTCGCAGCCGTGCCTCGCCGCCTCGGACAAGGCCCAGCCTCGCAAGAAAGCCCTGGAGGAGCTCTGCCTAGAAATCGACGAGGAACTGAAAGAGGCGGCCGGGTCTCTGCTTCATCTAGCCGGGATTAGCCCCTGTCTAGGCTCCCTCATAAGTACTGCAAAGACCCATAGCCAGAAACGAAGGAGAAGGAACGACGTCACAGCCTGAGAAGTGTGTTTGGGGACGGGGCGGGGGGGGAGAAGATACGTCTATCAATAGAGATAAATGCATATTTTATTTTTTAGCGTGGCAATACTCCTCTACTTTTTACCCTTCACAAGGGAGATCAAAGCCATAAAAGGACTTTTTGTTCATGTATTTTTATTTTCACAGATTATAGTTTTGCAATTTGTTTCTTTTTTCTAATTGCAAAAGCGGTGGTTTTGAAGCATTGAAGAGCGGATTACAATTGTGCAAAACAGGTGGGGCGGGGGCAAACCAACCAACCAAACAAACCAACCAACCAACCAACACAGCAGTTCCTTCCCCCTGATAATTTTAGCAAAGTTGAATATTTGAGTTTATTGGAGGAGTGGGTGCCATTATCTCTGTCATCTCATACCTTGTACGTCTCTTTGGGTTTGGAACCTGGGGGCTTCATTTGACCTGTCTGAGTTCATAGGGCTCTGCGCAGAGAACAGGGCAGCCAACCAAATGTTGGGAGCTAGACTGCAGCTCCCTTCTGCCCTCCCCATTGGCTGTGCTGGCAGGGGTTGACGGGAGTTGTAGTCCAACAGCATCTAGAGGGCCACACATGCCCCATTTCCTCCAATGGGAGTGAAGAATTGTGCCTTGCTTCCTGGCGCACCTGTTCCGCAGCGAGGCCTGGTGTTTGTATGTTATGGCGCATAAAGTCCAATGTGTAGCCGGTCTTTCTCTAATTTTTCGGGGAGAGGGTGGAGTGGATGCAGTGCCTGCATTGAACTCTACACATGTAGTTCTCAGCCTGCATAATTTTTGGCCCTCAAAGATCAGTCGGTGGCGATCAAGCGGGAAAAGGCTACATGGACTGTCTCCTGTTCCAGACTGACATGCAATTCACAAATCCCAGGTGGGACTGAAAGTGGAGGGAGGTGCATTGGGAGCAGGAGAATAAGCAGGCGCAATCCTGCCCCCTCTCTCTGTGCCCACGGGCTCCTACCTCTGTCGGTTCTAGACCAGGGGTAGCCAACATGGTGCTCTTCCAGTTTTAGACTACATCTTCCACCCTTCTTGATCAATGTCCATGCTGGTTGGGGCTGATGGGACTTGGGAGTCCAGCAAGAACGGAAGGGCATGGAGTTGACTATCCCTGAGCTGGTTCTGACACCTTCACATGTTCAGATTTAAGTATTTGCAAACGCAGGATAAGGTCTACCAGCTTTCAGCTTGGCTTCCGTTGTTGCGTAATTGTCTCATGTGCAAGTCGAGGGTCTGGAATAACCTGAATACTAGACAACTGCCATCGTGGGCCAGTTACCGATTGACTCATGTCTGCAATAACACAGGGAGGGTGTTGGGAATGCAACATGTAAACGTGGATGTTTTTGAGACTCTTGAAGGGTTTATCTCCACTCTTATCCTCACCTTCCTTGGAACAGCACAAAATAAGGAGCTGGTTCCTTTTCTTTTCTTTTCTTTCTTTCTTTCTTTCTTTCTTTCTTTCTTTCTTTCTTTCTTTCTTTCTTATAGTTATTATATTTTAGATCTTCAGTGCACACTTTATTAGCAAACCCAATGTTCTTTTGGTCTCGATATCCAGATTGAGTGAAAAATGTTGACTGCTAAAATTGTAAATGACTGTTGCACAGAGAACTTGTAGTTACTTGTTCAGGTGAAGCATAATGAAATGGGTTTCTTTTGTTTTAAGGTTACGGTGGTTGATACTGGCCTACTTCTCACTGAGGAGAAAAGCTTGTTCTGGACTGGACCATTTTAGGCTACAGGTGAGGGCACACACAATTGATTACTGTTCTGCGTGAAGCAGAAAACCTCAAATAGAAAACTAGGTGTCCAGGGGAAGGACTCTAGCCTGGCTTTCTTCCTGACATCGAGTTCTTTTAAATGTAAAAATCATTCAAATCGTGGTGCAGCTTTACACTGTGTGAGCCCCCACCTGCAGTCAGAAGCAGAACCGTACAAACAGAGCTGGCAGCCTCAATGAGGACTAGGTTCTTGAATGCATTCTTACTCCACTTGGAAAACCGGCCTTTTTTTCTTCTCTTCTACTGTGTGCTTCAGTCTTGCACTGTATTAACCTAGCATCCCTCAAGAAGACAGTATATAATACGCAGCCTTAAAGGGCACCGTTTTCTAAACGTGTGCATGCGCAGAGTCACGCTCCCTCCTTAAGACTGTGAGAGGAGCGTAGGAAATGCCTGCGGTTGATGGTTAGCCGTCCGTCCCATCTTCCTTGGGGAGCAGTGACCGTTAGAATTCTGACTCCTGTTAAAATCAGCGGGAATTTTGCCATGGTTCGTGCAGCCAGAACGGCACCTTTCTTTTTATCCGTTATCACAGCAATAATATCCCCTGCCTTGTCAAGTAAGCCCAAGAGCTCTGTGCTTGCTCTTCCGCCAACACAGTATTCTAGCGCGTGCTTAAAATGTAACGTGGGAATGGTAAAGATGCGCCTGTGAAGCCCTGAGTGCGGGCTAACTCTAGGTAATGATCCAGAGACCTTCCATCTTCCGACACAGCCTTTTCTGTGCGATGACATATGCCTTGTGCATGGACTTCCACGGGAAACCTTTGTGTATTTTACCATTCCCACGCACCATAACACAGGTTGTTTGTGTCCTCCTGGGTCTTCTGTGGTGGCTGCTGTGTTGTTTGGCTGCTGTTAGGCAGCTGGAGGCATCGTTGCCTGAATGGTGCGGCCAGTCTGCCATCCAGGGGGCAGGTATGTAGTCCAGTCCAGACCTTTTGCTGTTCCTGGCACTTGTAATGATGAGTTTTGGAGACGGAGTTTTGGAGATTTATCACCGAGGGCGGTGGGGTGAATCCTGCACCCATGTCCTGTTGGGAAATGGCCCTGACTGGAGTGAAATGGTAGCCTGGGAAATGGATTGTCACAGTGCCACTAGAAAGATCTCCCATGTCAGTCCCGTCTGAGTCTCTCCAGGGAGGCACAGCCAAGCTCTTACCCCACTCCTGTTCCTTTCGGTGGATGCTTGTGCAGGAAACATTTCCACAAAGTGCGCCCTGTGGTTCTGAGAACCCCTTGAGCGTTCTTTTGCAACGATCAAAGCATTAGCGTAGCTCATTCTGCCTGGCATGGAGGGTCAGCTTGAAGTGCCACTTTTTAATTTCTTTCCTGTGTTTCCGAGTGTTGAGCAGTCACGAGCGGCTGGTTAAGCAAACCTCGCCTCCCCATTAGCAAAATGCTTCCAGGTTGGCAGAGAACGAAGGCGGGAAGCTAAACTTGTATTAATGGCGCAGAGCTTCTCTGGCTCCTTGGTGACTAAGCCAGAGGTGGTCAAGAGTTCTGATTTCACTGCCTCTTCATGAACGCAAGCCGCCTTCTACACTCTGCCAGCTTAATAATTCTTGAAACTATTCTGCGGACACCCCCGCCCCATCCCTCACGCCTTCTATATGTCTTGGGCTACCAGTTCCATTGCTGATGACCATTGGCCATATTGGGTGTGCTGATGGGAACTGGAGCTCAGCAAGATCCAGAAAGCATCCCATTGGCTACCCTTGCTGTGGAGTTTCAATGCCTTGGGCTGGGATCCAGTGAACCCAAACCAGGCTTTCTCCCAGCTCTGGACCTTGACGTGGTTTGCTGGATCCCAACTACTCTCAACTGCATAATCTGGTCAAGAGAATCTCCCAGTGTAGGCCTTACGTTTGCAAGGATTTATGTAGCATTCCACCCCCTCCTGGAATTTCAGAGGAAATCTTTCGTTCAAATGATAGTAAACTGTAAATGGCTCTTGCTCTGTAATCATGTTGCTAGTTTCTAGACAAAAAAAGTCTCTAATGCATGGGTGTTTGCACGCTCTCACCTGTTTGTACACCACTTTCTCTGATGTAAAAGTCTATAAACGCCAATGGTGCCCATCGTGTATGTTGCCTGCTGCTTCTCTTCTCCCCAGAGGTTCTGATGGATTGGCCAAAACAATCTTCTTGCTGAAAAGCCCTTTTAGAGCCGTTTCCTGTGTCACTGTTTTGCTTCCCAGAACTTCACGGCAACAAGTCAAACATGGGAAGGGTTTACAAGTGGGTCTACCTGCAAGTCAGACATGATGCTATGTGATTTATTTCTTTAAAAGTTTATAGGTTTTAAAAAGAAATTGAATACTCTCAAAGGACATCTTTAAGAAGTCCACTAGAACAAAAGAAAACAGAAGCCTGGCTTGGTAAGCCTCTGGTGGGGTAGTCAACCTGGTGATCTCTAGGTGTTTAAAACCACAGCTCACATCATCCCTGGCTATTGGCCAGACATTTAGAGGGTACCACATTGACTGCGCACAGCCCATGGGTTAAAATCCTTTAAATTTAAAAGTTCTTATTTGCTGTACAAAAAGGGTGTTCAGTGGCCCTCTTTGTGCAGGCTGTTCTTAAGGTTGTGGTGCCACGACCGAAAAGGCTCTGCTCTAAGTTTCGCTAGATCTCACCTCCGTAAAACAACACCCAGAGTGGAATCCTGCCTGCTGGTCTTGGGGTGGTTTATATGGGGGGAGGTCTTCCCCCAGATACGCTGAGCCAAGGCTGCTTGAAGACTCTGACTGCCATGTTTTCAAGGGCGCCCACAGGTCGTTTTGAATATTGGCTGTTGAAGATTTTAACAGAATGGAAACTAAAACCATTGGGAGCAGTTGAACAATACCCACAAAACTACTATTGTAGCAGCATGGTGATCAGTTTGTGTGTCATTAGGTGGGATTAATTTGCAAAATATTTTTCACTCAATAGAAACTACCGAAGCTGTAGATTTGGCAGAAATGCAGAGAAAGAAAGGGGCCAATAGATGCTCATGTCTGAACTTGCGAATGGCTCTAGACGGACACCCTTCCCATGTCATGGCTTTTGCCATAGGTGTGACTTGTGAGCCCACCTCCTTAAGTGAAAAACGATGTCCTACTAAGTGGTCTTGAGCACCTGCCGCATGGGGGTTGAATGTGAACTCATTGCAAATGGACAAGCTTGTAAATTAAGTGCAAATGCACATCTTTAAATTCCTGTATGTCGTATGTGCTGAAAAGAGGTGTCCCTCCCATTAACATTCGTCCAAAATAAGTGTTCAATAACTTACGTGGTGTGGAATTTGTTTTTGTACTAATACAGATAACGATAGGGCTGGATTTCATTTATTTTTTAAATAATAAAAAGGACGTGTTTCTTTCATTCTTGTGTATCTTTTGAAAGCTGGCAAGAACTAAACTCAGTTCCGGCTAAAATTGACCAGATTTCCAAATGAGCCTCCTTTCCCTCTAGAACTTGTTGGATCAGTCTTGTTGTCTTACACCTGACCTGTTCTGTCCGCCACCTTGCTCTTCTTCCCTTAACCCCTGCGTCCCTGCCTGCCAGAAATTGTCCCCCCTGCGTCCTCCCTCTTTATTAGTGAAGTATCTAGTGTCACTTTTGTGCCGGGAAATGTGCTGTACTTGTTAGCCGTTTCATTAATTAGCTTTTCTTAATTTTCCACGGACAAAGGCGGAGCAATAACATGGGAACATGTCCCCATGGCACGGGAACAAAAGTAGGAGGAACAAAACCTCCGCTGCAAGTTCGAATTAAAGGGCTGAAACTAGTGGCAGTGTAATGACGTCGTCGTCTGGTGCTTGGGATCTGATGGGATGCATTTGGATGACCCTGTATGCCATAAACCGTGTTTTACTGCGGTCAGGCAGTGGACTAGTGCAGGCTCCCCAGTTTTGTTCCTCCGTGCTTACTGTGTGGTATCTGAACTGGTGCTTAGGGTTTGTTTCTCTCCAAACAAACCATTGCCTGAAGCCAAGGTCTGCTCTTGTCTTCCTGATAGCGTCTTGTTTGGGAGTATGCAACCATGGGCGCTGGTGCAGACGCCATGGGATGCCAAGGCCCAGGGTTGCCTGAGCCTAGTGGAAGAGGGTAGCAGCAAGGAACTGGGTCTGTCCCAGCACTCTGCTCACGCACAGTAAGCCATGGTGCGCCTGAATGCTGCCCCTGGAAGGATGGAATTCTGCATTCCATCACTTCAACCAGTGTCATCCAACCTGCAGATGGGAAGTAGTGGGGTTTTTTTGTTTTGTTCACGTTAAAACCATCACCACTCCCTGCATGTAGAAAGTCAGCACCTTAGAGAGAGGTTTCGTACAACCCTCTTCCTGATAATGCTATGCGCATGAATCTTTTTTCATTTGGGGGGGTTGGTTGAAAAAAAATATCACAGACACACAACTCCCAAATTTTGAATGGCTCTGTCTGGAGTTTTACATACTTATTAGAACAGTTTGGAGACTGCGTGGTAACAGGTGAAGAGTTGATCCTTTTCCCTAATGCTTTGTGGGAAAAGTTCAGGGAAGGGAACTGCCACACTCGCATTCCCAGGGTGGCCAGAATTCACCCCTCCGATTCCCACAGCAGCTTGTACACAACAGCTCTGCCATCCTGGGGCAAACATGTGGTGTGAGCAAGTATTTGCTCCCCAATTTTTCAGCATTGGCGGGTCCGTGAACCCTGTCTGCCTGCTACTGTAGTTCGGATTATGTTCTTTTCCTTCGTGGGCTGTCAACCTGTGTGTCTTCCTATGGCAAGACTCTACGCAGACTTCTGTTCCAGCAAACGGAGAAAAGTTTCCAGCATTTCTCTATCTCAGCCCTTCCCCATCTCACTTTTCTGTGGCAAAGTCCTTTATTTCTTTGCATCTGGTTAGCTCTGGCGTAGCAGGGAAATACCCGATGATGTCTGGCGTTTCTGTTTCCCTTCCTTGAAAATTTGCTCCTTCCCTGCAGGTCTGGGACTTTGACCCTCTGCTGTTCCCAACAACACAGGTTAGGATGGCCACAAGGCAGAAGCAAACATTGGTAGAGAAGTATTAACGCAGGTCCCTCGCTCATGATAGTGGCAGGTTGCATACCTGTGCGTTTGCAAGTGCTGCTGACTTTGCTAGCCAGGGCATGAAACTAAGGGCAGTTGTTCTCTAAATGCACCTTGAAAGGATGTTAATGCCTTTTTAATTGTTCAGTGGTGCTTCTCCTTCCTCTTCCTTATTTGGCCTTTCCTGCCTATTAAAAGGCGCCGGTTTGCATACTGCCAACTGCAGAGTGCCTCAGCACCTACTTTTTCTCTTCCAAGAATAGCTGAGTCCCAGGTTGCACCTGGATTTACAAGCCTTCTTTTTGCCAGCACGACATGCCCTTTTAATATAAATGTTTTGAATGAGAATTGGTTGGTGACTTCAGAAGAAGTAACGTGGAGCAGTCCTCCTTAGGCTATACCGCTTTAGAGTGCAGATGTGTGCGTGTGTGTGAATCTGGCACATAGAAAACAAGCTCGTCTGTGAGAAGGCTAGGCTAGAACCTTTATCCTTGACATGTGAGCCTTTCGCTTGCAGGGAGTTTGTGCAGAGGTCATTAATAAATCCTGCCACCCCCGCCCCTTATGTTCTGCAGTGCAATTCCTGGATGACTGTGCCATATACTATTTTCTGTCCATGTAGCTCAGCTTTTAATTACCCTTCATTATTTTTATTGTTGCTATTATTATTGTTGTTGTTGTTGTTGTTGTTGTTATTGCTCAGTTCTTAATACAGGCTAATCTAGACCTATCAAGTCAAAAGGATGAACGAAACCTTTTTGTTGTTGTTGTTGCCACTATAAGGGTAGGAGCAGGTAGATCTCGTGGTTCAGCAATTGCAGGATCTCTTTGGAGAAAAGAGCTGCTACCCCTTGGGGACGCGAAAGCGTTGACAGTGACAGTGGCAGTATTCATGAAGATATACGTTGATGGTGTGTTAGGCTGTTTGTGTGAAAGGAGCCTCCCAATTTCAGTTTCTCCCATGCAATGTGTGGGACCACCCACCCTTCTGTTGAACTCCACTGCCTTGTTGCCACTGGTCAGGAAATTTGAGTGGCATAATGATTTGGGGGTGAGGAGGAGCTGCCCTATGCATTGTAGGGAGAGAAACAGAGGACACAGGCAATGCCATTGGCCGTAGCAATTCCGTGCCAAGTGTTCAAGTATAGTTCTGATGTTTGTGAGGTTTTGAGGGTTTCGGGTTCCTTTTTTTTGCTCTTTCCTTCATGCTTTTTAAACTTTGTAAATGAGTTGAAATCAGCAGCAGCAGGGGGGAGATGTTAAACGTAGCTTCCTCAAGCGCTAAAGATTGCCCTGGAGAGGTTTCTGGAAGAGGGTCGTCCCTACTTGAGATAACAACTGCCGGCTGTGCTGTGCAAATCTTTAGCTCTTTCATATTCCAGTGCTTAAATTATAGCTTCCAGGAGAATTGCAGGCAATCCTTTCTAGAGAAAAAAAAAGCCCAACTTTTTGAACTTGTATGGTTTTTGCAGCTTCTTTGTTTGGCTAAATCAAGCGCTTTGGTTAAAGCAAAGGATGCCCCGCCATGCTAATAATGGTGTAGTCAAAATATTTATTGAAAAAGAAGAGTAGAGTATTTTTTAAAATATTGTACCTGCCATTTATTGGGGGGGGAAATCGCATTCTCCACAACTTAACTGCCAGTGCCAATAAAAGGTCTGTTTTTAGAAATGTACATTTTCCCCCAGACTTAAAGTGCATAATTTAAAAAGTATTATGTTGCCATCTTACAGTGATATATGAAACCATTTACAATTGCCAATTCATTGTAACTATTATTTATTGAAGAGGTGGAAATTGTACGAATGCTTTCGGATCAAAGTAACTGGAGTTCTTTCTAATGATCCCCGTTTGCCTGTTTTCTTAGAATTTACTTAGAATAAAACTCTGCCAGTAGATAAAAACACCGTTCTAACCCCTTTATACCTTGAGCCCAGTTGAGTAGCTTGCCTGGTTTAAAGACAATTTTACAGATATTTTAGTTTTTGTATGCTAACCTCTATTAATTGAAATGTTTATGGAGTTTATTTTTACCAAAGAGATGCAATTCATTATGATAAAAGTATTTCAAAATAAACTTTGTTTTATAACATTCTTGAGTGATGTATTTTGTGGGTGACATTACAAGAGAACAAGGGAGGTGTTCATGGTGAGTTCCGGCACCTCTTTTTCTAGTTAAAATAGCACTGCGGATAGACAAGATTGCAGAGATTTAGACTTTTGAAGACTCGTTCCTGTAAATTCAATTACAGTTATCCTGCATATTTGACACTTCGCTGCTCGTTTTGATTTACAGTCGTACCTTGGTTGATGAACGCCTTGCGACTCGAACATTTTGGCTCCTGAATGCCGCAAACCCGGAAGTGATTGTTCCAGTTTGCGAACGTTCTTTGGAACCCGAACGTCCTCTGCGGCTTCCGATTGGCTGCAGGATCTTCTTGCAGCCAATTGGAAGCTACGCCTTGGTTTCCGAACGTTTTGGAAGTCGAATGGACTTCTGGAACGGATTCCGTTTGACTTCCGAGGTACCACTGTATTAGGCCATGGTGGGGGAGTGGTGGAGAGAGGATTCCTCTCCACATGAAATGTTTTGCTGCGGGTGGGTGCACAAGGCTGCCACTTTGCTGAAGCTAAGCAAGCTTAGGTCTGGTCAATGCCAGCACTGGGAGTCCTGGGAACCACAGAATCATAGGATCGTAGAGATGGAAGAGGCCCCAAGCGTCATCTGGTCCAACCACCTGCAATGCAGGAGGTTTCTGCTTTGGGTTCCAGCACATACATGCTTGCTTTGGGTTCCAGGATGGATGGAAGGAAGGCAGGATAGAAATTTAAGTGAGGGAGCAATGAACTAAGGGGAACCCCTTGCCTGTCCACTGTTTATCAGGCAGAGGCTCAGAGAAAATTCTGTTTCCCATGCACCTCTACCTATTTCTCCTTTTCGTTGGAATCCTTTGCTCTCAGTTCTTGAAGCCTCTCAGGAAAGGGGCAGCCATCTGCTTAACTTCAAGGAAGCATGTCAGCTGGTATGCTTGCTGATGCCATTGGGATCGAGGCTGAAACCACTGCTGCTGATGGTATCTCCACTTAGTCAAGGAACAGGCAGCTCCCTGCCCTTCAATAGTCTTGCAATTTGCTTGCCCCAGAACAGTACAATTCTAGTGTAAAGGTTCAGTCACACACGGAGGTATGCCAAGGACAGGATTCTCTCCCTCTCTGCCCCTCTATGTTTCTGAGGGGCTGAGGGCTGCCCAAGAGGAGGAGTTGTAGAGTTGGGAATGATCCCAAGGGTAATCCAGTCCAACCCCTTGCAATGCAGGAATCTCAATGCGTGGTCCCCCCTCCAATTTGAAACCCTACCAGACCCTGCTTAGCTTTGCAAACGAGCCAGCAGTTTTATTGCTGCATCATTAGGTAGTTGTTCCCCCTTAGAGCAGAAGTGGGGGTCATTTTTTTTCAGCCAGAGCACCACATTCCATCGTAAGTATACTTCCAAGGTCTGTATGCTGGGAATCAGAGGCAAACATGGGAAAAGGAAGTGAACAAGAAGAGATGTAACTCTCCACATCTGCACAGCAGGCTACCTTTTAGCCCTGCAAAAGTCAAGAGGTGTCTAGTAAGAACACAAGAGCTTTCTGGATCAGGCCAATGATTCATCTGGTGCAGGATCCTGCTCTCAGAGTGGCCAACTAGATACCCTTGGAAATCCTGCAAGCAAGACCCAAGCACACTAACACTCCTCCTATGGTTTGTTTTTGAGTACGTTTCCGAGCACAATTCAAAGTGTTGTTGCTGACCTTTAAAGCCCTAAATGGCCTCGGTCCAGTATATCTGAAGGAGCGTCTCCACCCCCATCGTTCTACCCGGACACTGAGGTCCAGCGCTGAGGGCCTTCTGGCAGTTCCCTCACTGCAAGAAGCAAAGCTACAGGGAACCAGGCAGAGGGCCTTCTTGGTAGTGGCGCCCGCCCTGTGGAACACCCTCCCACCAGATGTCCAAGAGAACAACAACTACCAGACTTTTAGAAGACATCTGAAGGCAGCCCTGTTTAGGGAAGCTTTTAATGTTTGATGTATTACTGTATTTTAATATTTTGTTGGAGGCCGCCCAGAGTGGCTGGGGAGGCCCAGCCAGATGGGCGGGGTATAAATAATAAATTATTATTTGCAGCAACTGAATTTCAGGAAGAGACTGCCTCACATAGGCATCATGGCTAGTGGCCACTGAAAGCCGTATCCTCCATTAGTTTCTCCAATGTGTGTGTGCTGAAACCAGGGCCGGCCCACCCATGAGGTGGTCTGGGGCAGTCACATCAGGCAGCGGAATCCTTAGGGACAGTGCCCCTGTGAGCACTCCACCAACCTGTCAGAGAAGCAAGGAGAAGCCGATGTGGTGGCCAGTTCCAGTGAGATCTTGCTGAGCTCTTGTGAGCACTTTCTGCTGCTGCTGCTTCTCCTCACATCTCTGGAGTCAATCCAGGTAAATAAGGCTTGGGATGAGGAGAGGCAGCGCCATTTCGCCTGGTGGGGTCTATGGCTTGCAGAAGCCCTTTGTACTTCTGGCCAGAGAGAGAGAAGCTTGGAGGACTATCTGTGGGTCCCAGGCCTGAGCCTTTCCTCCTTTGCCCTGGAGAAACTGCCTTAGTAAGCCACAAGGTCCTTCTTTGGGAATTTCCCTTGGAACTGGTTTCAAAAGTAGTTCCCTTTCTTTGTAAAAGAAAATTTTTGGAGCTCTTGTCAAGCGGTATGATGTCATCTCCACCCAATCATAACCTGCTTTGTGTGAGCAGAAGGTTGACTCTCTAGGGGAAGTACCCCGTGAATGACAGTAGCATCCCATGCTGCAGTTGCTAGGCAACTGAGCCAGCTTTCGGCAAGACCTAATTTTAAAGGGTTTAACTCTAGAAGAGCCAGGATTCATCGTACCTAGAGTGGTTTCTGGGCTGTTTGTGGATATGTTGTTGTTGTTGTTGAAGAAATGGTTTCGGGGAGGATTAGAACATTTGCTCTGTATTTAAGTAACGTACACTAGAGAAATATTTACCCTTACATTGGGAGGGCTGGGAAGTCAGGCTGAAATCACTGTTGCATACATGCCCTGGCAAATTCAGTATGGAGACACATTTCCGCCTTCTACAATGTCCTTGTCAGTGAAGACTTGGCAGAGGCCAGATCTGCTCCCCAAAAGGGAGTGATATACTTTTCTGAATAAGAGATAAAGGCAGCCTATAACAGACCCTCCAAGTGCCTCTATTTTCCAGGGACAGTCCTGGATTCATAGAAACCGTCCTGGAATGTCTGGCTTTTCCTTATGACATCCCTGTTTTCATCGGAGAAATGTTGGAGGGCAATGAATTATCCGACCCCTGAGCCATCTGAAGGCAGCACTGCATAGGGAAGTTTTTTTAAATGTTTAATGCTTTGTTATGTATTTATATATACTGGAAGCTGCCCAGGCTGGGTGGAGCAAGCCAGTTAGATGGGTGGGGTATAAATAGTACAACAAGAACAACAACAACTATTGTTATTATTATTTGTTGTTGTTGTTTGTTGTTGAATAGGACTTCCCTATTTTCACTGGAGAAATGTTGGAGCGTATGCTTTGCTTATATGCAAGCAAGCAAATGGTTGTGCTTGCAGATCCCATTGGAATAGTGGCTACAAAAAGTCCTGCTGGTGGAGACCAGAGTGTGTCAAGCAAGATGCAGCTTTTGCTAGGCCTGATTTTAATATGTGGTACTAGGGAACAGCAACTGGGGCACCAGCACTCTGGCAGAGCCTATCCCTGATGCCAACGAAGGTGCCCATAAAGTTTTGAGGTTATCCAATCAGTGCCAGGCCCAGGTACTGACTGCCACTTTTAAGTGACCCACAATGCCCTGGACTGAACCTACTTCAGGGCATAGTGAGAAATGAAACGTAGACTCCCAGCTACTTGGCCCGTATCAGGAATAAAGGGAGATGCCTTAAACCAAGTTATTACAGGATCTGAAAACCATACACATGTACAATAAACTGGAGTCGTTGTCAAATGCCTCTCCCTCTCTATTTTAAAATGATGCAATGTGGTTTATTTGGCCCCAGTATCATATTAGTAAAGTGCTTTTTGCAAGTATGGAGGATTAAAATAAGCTTAGGATAGAAGTGCAGAACAGAGGGTTATATTTGCCTTACACGGGATCTTGCTGTGGCAACATCAGCAGCCCATAATGCTTCGCTAGCATCACAATATTTTATGGAATTTAAGTGTAACCAAGCACACACCTGTCTGTACATTCTGCTCTCCCCCTCATGCCTGGTTTCTAAGTACAGTAAAGAATAACTTCCTTCTAAGTACAGTAAAGAATAACTGGGTTTGGAGATTTAAAAGGCACTGCCCCTACAAGAGAGATTTGTCAAGACTGTCATGGGAAAGCATGTACATTTTGCTGCTCAGCCTTACTGTTGCTATGATAACAGAAACAAAACAGCCGTTTGGAGCATTGCAGCATCGGTTTCTGTGGGGCTGGGTTCAGCTGGAGCTGCTGGCTTTGGATGACTCACAATGGCCGTTTCCCAACAATTTCTGGTTCTCTCCCCACACCCTCCCCAGTTCACAGAAAACTGTAGTGAAAGTCTCAGAACCTGTAAACGAACATTACTGGACAGAAGGAAGAACTTTAATACATGGTGCATTAACTTGTGATGTTTGCGGTCATATAATTTGGTGACGGACCCAAGCTAGGATGGGTTAAAAAAAAAAATTAAGGATAGGTCATGATAAACCTTGAACCTTCACTTTACAGAATCAAGGTAGCACTGAGTACTAGATTCCAGATACAACCTACAGTCATACCTTGGTTTTCGAACGGCCTAGTTCTCAAACGTTTTGGCTCCCAAACACCGCAAAGATGGAAGTGACTGTTCCGGTTTGGGAACTATTTTTGGAAGCCGAACATTCCTGCAGCCAATCAGAAGCCGCTCTTTGGGTTTCAAACATTTTGGAAGTTGAATGGACTTCCGGAATGGATTCCATTTGACTTCCAAGGTACAACTGTACAGGCTATGACCATAAGCTTCAACCCCTTCTTGTGAGTTTCCAGAGATATTGGGGAATTTTTGTTTTGGTTATTGCTTCATTTATGAATCGCTTCCTGCCAATTCAATACATCGCTCAGCCCTGGGTGATACATAATGTATGGGGAACTGACCCTTGCTCTGATGCAGCAAGAACTCTGTAAGCTGCTCTGTGAACCTTTTTCAGATGACGAGGGGTGTTTAGAAATACTTCAAGTAAATAGGTAATAAAAGGTTTTCTTCCTTGCAAAGTGGGTCCTGGGTCCAAACTGAGACCACACTGGGGAACCATCCCCCTTTCCCTATTTGGGGCCCATCCAGACACAGACCACTCAACACACCTGATATTTACTTTTTAAAAGCCATTCACACAATTGCTAATTGTATGAGTGGTGACTTGTCTAGTTTCGGCCTTAGTCACATAACCAACTTTAGTTGAATTCGGAGCTTCTGTTTTATTTCTAAAAGTACTGTACAGAAAAGCGGAGCTTACGTTCCAATCACAGACAAAAAGCTCCCCCTAGTGAACTTCAAGATAAAGAGCAAATTGGGTTATTCACAGGGAATGTGTAAAACGTTAATTGGGTTTCGGTATCCAGAGAAGTGACTTAAATCTTCAAAAACTTTTGTAGGCACAGCTCAAAATTAAACAGGCACCTCTGGAATCTCTGTCAAAGTTTAAGCCTTTTCTACCTGTAACAACAGCTACAAATTGCCATCATGACCTGGACTTAGTTGCTGCATGCATTTTCTCATGATATTTTTCTGTGCTATCTGGGTTTACACCACTGTTGCTCCTACCACATACTCTGTCTCCATACCATTGTTGTACTTGGCATTCTGCTGGAGTAGTGAGGCTTCTAAGTTAGGCAATAAAATAGTAGTGCAGCACAGATGTCAGCACTGAAATTATATTCAAATGAAACAGCCACCACCAAACAGGATTAAAAGATCTAAAGTCCCGAGCAACTGAAAAGATTTTCACCTGGTGCCAAAAAGGCATCAAGCGCAATGCCACGCAAGCCTTCCTGGGGGAATCATTAGGAACTTGGGGTGTCACATCCGAAAATGACTGTCCCAGGGTACCACCCACCTCCCTTCCAATGACAGGTAACTGCACGGCAGGTATTAGCACCTGGTACCCTTGGGCAGGTCATTGGGCCCTGGCAGTCCCCACTAATCCTGGGCCTGTTTGCCACAGCCTTCGTTGTCTGCCAATTGCAGGGTGGTCAGTGGGAGACCACCCATATCAGAAGAGCCTTCCTGGTCCTGGATGCAGCCAAAGGACTACCTGGTCCAGCATCCTGGTTTTCTCACAGTGGCCAAGCAGATAACCACTGTGGGAAGCCTGAAAGCAGAGCCAGTGTGGTGTAATGGTTAGAGCAGTGGTGCACCACACTTGTTGTGCAAAGAGGATGGCCAGTGTGGCAGGAAGATTCAAGGACAATCAAAGAAATATTTAAACATTTAAGTGTAGTGTAGTATAGTATTTTATTATTATTTGCAGAATATATTTTCTGAAAAAATTAAAGGTCAGAAGAGAAAGGCTTATTTGCATAGGTCTAATTTGAGTGTTTTGATTAGACCTACTATAAATAAGATTACCCAACGAAAGCAAGCTCACTCATTGAGTTTGTACACATAGTTAAGGTACATAAGTAACAAGGCTCATTTATATCTTGGGAATGATTCATTTTCTTTTGTTTTATACTTTCTGGTTGCCCCATTATCATACTATAAAGTAGTTGTCTACATTATAAATCAACCACTGCTAGGAGTTTTATTTTTGTTTTCCAATGTATTTCTTATCAATTAAAAATTCAGTGTGGAGTGAGCAAATTCTTATTCTGAAAATGTGGTCCAGAGCAAAAAGCTTGAGAACCACTGAGTTAGCATTGGGACTATGAACTGAGAGACCAGGGTTCGAATCCCCACTTGGCCATGAAACTCATTGGGTATGCCCTGCGGAGGACCTTAAGGTCCATAAATAACAACACTTTGGAGGTCCCGAGCCTGAAGAAGGTTAGATTGGTTTCAACTAGGGCCAGGGCCTTTTCAGCACTGGTCCCGATTTGGTGGAACACTCTGTCACAAGAGACCAGGGCCCTGTGGGATTTGACATCTTTCTGCAGGACCTGTTCCGCCTGGCCTTCGGCTTGGACTCACTCTGACCCCTTATATGGGATTTGGTATATAAATTTTCCCTTGGCTTTTTTGCTGGCCCATGTAGGACCAGCATGGATAGCTGGCTCGGGTTAATATCTGATGTTTCCTCCCTTTATGGTCTTGATTTATGGGCTACTACTAAAATGAGGCTGCATTTTAAGCTGAATTTTAAGCCGTATTTTAATTAACTGTTTCCCCCCCTCTATTACGTTTTATGGATATTTGGTGTTAGCTGCCCTGAGCCCAGCCCTGGCTGAGTACAAATAAAAAATTATTATTGTTGTTGTTATTATCATCTTAGGCCAGCCACCAACGCAACCTACCTTACAAGGTTGTTGGAAGGGATCCCAAGGGTCATCACCTTGTACACCACCTTGAGCTTTTTTTGGAAGAAATGGTAGTATGTAAATGTTTTAAATAAGAATAGCAGCCCTGCCGTTCTCAGCAACTGGCATTCAGAGGTACGCTGCTGCCTCAAACACAGCAGGGAGAATAGTGGGTAGGCACTGGCGACCTTCACCTCACTGCATTTGCCTCATCTGCCCAAAATGTTATCCATCACTTTGGCGAGGGCCACCCAAACCACATTGTCTTCAATAATGCTGTGCTCAGGAGCGAAGACTCCTAAAGCGCCTGGATAGCCCAGTTGGTAAGAGCCTGGTGCTGATAATGACCAAGGATGCAGGTTCGATACCCGCATGGGACAGCTGCCTATGCTGGCATTGCAGGGGGTTGGGCTAGATGACCCTCAGCGGTCCCTTCCAACTCTAGGATTCTATGGTTTGTGTCCTCTCAAGATGCCCACAGTGCAACCCTATGGAGAGGCTACTTCGTGCGACAGGTTTTCCTTCCCAAGTCAGCTCAGTAGTGCGATTCTGACCCTCCCTGCTGGGAAGCAAGGCCCGCCAAATTCAAGGGTCGCTCGCAGCCTAAGCCCGTGGAGAAAAGGGCCTCCCCTCTAGGCATTAGCCCAGCCAGCGAAGCCCCAGCTCCGGCCTTTTGTGTTCCCAGCCCTGGGGGAAAAAAAATCTACGGCTGCCATGGCAACGCAGCCCCGCTGCATTCTGGGAGGCGTCGTCCATCGCCGCGGCCCGTGGGGGAGACCCCGTAGCCACTGAGCCGAACCGCCATAGAAGACGCCCCACGCACGGCGACCAGGGCGCCGGTTACCATGGCGACAGTAGCGGCGCGCGCGCGCAGAGGGCGCCCGCAATCACATGTTCCGCCCCGACTTCCGTTGGCCGTTCGCCGTCCGCGAGAAAACGGGGAGCGGCCGTTTATGGTTCAAGCCCCGCTCCCCTCACCCGGCAGTGCCTACTGCGGCAGTGGCGCTTTCACGTCGCCTACTTCCCCCCTCCCGACCCGCTCCCTTTTCAACCGCCGCTGGTCGGGTAGGGGATCCAAGATGGCGGACCGGCGGGCGCCGGGCCGAGGCTGCGCGGTGACGTTAGCGCGCCAGCTCCGCCCGAACCCGGAAGTGCGTCTCCCGCTGTGGGCTGAGCGGCGGCGGGGCGGCTCTGCGGATAGCGGGTCTCCCCGTCCCTCAGCCGCGCCTGCGGTGAGCGGCCATGGCGGCGGCTGCCGAGCTGCAAGGGAAGTACCAGAAGCTGGCTCAGGAGTATTCCAAGGTATTGGGCCGCGCCGCCGCCCCTCGACGCGGAGGCCTCCTCGCGGGGCTACCTCGTAGCGACGCCCCCGCCCCAGGTCCCTTCATACTGAGGGGACCCTCGCAAGGGTACGGGAGCCCCGCAGGGTCAGTTTTCGCGGACCCCGCTCGCCTCCGCCCTGGCTCCGCCGCTTCCTCCTCCCTGCCTCAGTCCTGTTGCAGCCGGGCAGAGACGGGCGCGGAATGACAGGTCTCTCCTCCCGTGGGAGGGCAAGCAGAGATGTTTATTTGGGCGTGAAGGACCAAGGCTCAGTTGCAGCGCACATGCTTGGCGTGCAGAAGGCTTCCGTCCTTCGCAGTTCCAGGTGGTTGTTTTAATTAACGGAAGCTGCTCGTATTTGAGAGCCCCCGCACATTGTAGCAGACGGTACTGGGCTAGATGGGCAAATAGTATGGCAGGTTGCTATTATTATTATTGAATTTATATACCGCCCTCTACCCAGAGTTCTCAGGGCAGTTCACAGAGCAAAATCAAAATATAGTATAAAACCACAAAATATAAAATCAAAATAAAAGCAACCCAGTAACCGCCTCCAACCCCCCCCCCATTTTAAAAGGGCATAAGAGGTTCCTGAGTGTGTACAGTGGATGCTCGGTTTGCGAACGTGATCCGTGCGGGAGGCACATTTGTAACCCACAGCACCGTGTCTGTGCATGGCGAGTTGCAATTTGGCGCTTCTGCGCATGCGTGGCTGTCAAAACCCGGAAGTAACCTGTTCTGGTAGTTCTGGGTTTCAGCACATCCATAACCCGAAAAAATGCAACCTGAAGGTCTGTAACCGGAGGTATGACTGTACCTGCAAATCGGCATGGTGCGGGGAGCCAGGGGTCAGCAGTTAAAGGTTCCTGGATCAAATCCAGCCTGTTGGTACTTGCCCATCCCAATGTCTAACCCAGGGCAGAAGGGAGGGTGTAGGGGGGATGGCAGATACACATACCTCCCCCCCTTTTTTCAGAGATGAGGATATGGCTGTCAATAGCCACTAGCCAGAAAAGCTTACATTTTGTCTTCACTGTTGGAGGCGAGTATGTTTCTCAAAAGCAGGTGCTGAAAATCGCAACTGACCAGAGCACTGTTGCACTCAGGTCCTGCCTGTGGATTTTCCATAAGCTTCTGGTAGGCCACTGTGAGAATAGGATGCTGAATTAGATGGGCTCCTAAGATCTTTGCATTCCTTGCAGGGGGACAGCTGGATGCTGAATAAAGAGTATACTTTCTGCACAGCTGCTTTCTTGCATTCGCTGTGATGGTGGCTGTTGTTTTCTGTTTCGTGTACTTAGGGAATATTAATGCAGGAGCTGTCCATACCAGCCCTTAGTGCTGATACAGTGCTGGGGCTGTTGCCTTTTACAAAGCAGTTGCTTGTCCTGCAAAAAAACAACAAAGTGATTACTGTATCCTTAGGCACTTTCATATGCATGGGTGTGCTCAGCTAGCCCTTGTATATTAAAAATATCAATAAAAAGCATTTTAAAAGCTTAGTAGCATCTTAAAATCTAACTAGCTTTTATGATGTAAATTTTCATTGACTGAAGTGTTAAAAAGTCTTATTTGTGATACTAACACTTCTTACAGGGTTGATGCTGAAGCTCTTCGATGTGACAATCTCCCTCTTATAATATGACCAATGACTTCTAATTCTGACACTAACATTTGTGTGTTAATTCCACAGCAGCAAGTCTACACTATCGGTACACTACATGCTTTCATAGTTCAGTTTCTCAGGAGATGGACACATACACATATGAATATTTGTTTTGAGATACTTCCTGCTACCAGTCTCTCTTGGTAGTGATACAGATTCTCTGTCATGAGGAAGTATATATACTTCCTTAGTGCTGGTTTTGAAGTGCCATCTGTTTTTCCTGTCTTTTCAACATCTTCTGCTATTAATATTGAGACAGAGTGTCCCCTGCACACAGGGCTAACTTGAAGTTGCTTCTTTGCACCTTAAGAATAACAGTCTCTTATTAGTATAGTGATGCCCTCCTTGGTAGTGAGAGTTACCAGCTATAGATTACGTGGATCTCTTGATTCTCCTGTCCAGATACAACTTTTTCTTTTTTCTTTTTAACATTGCTGCTGATTTATTGCTATCCTTCATATTTTTTGTCTTTAGTGTTGGTGAGATGTTCAGTCAGACTTCCCTTTTTCTCCCTACTTCCCTAGCACATCTGATTCATTCCTTAAGGCAGAGCTCTCCAAACTTTTCATGTTGGTGACACTTTTTAGACATGCATCATTTCGCGATGCAGTAATTCAGTTTTGCTAGCAAACCGGAGGTTAAACTAACCCCTTCTTTCCAACCCCAGGAGGAGCGCAAGGAATGTTCACATTACACACCTACATATCGACACAGTTTGGAAAGCGCTGCCTTAAGGCTTCCATCTACAACAGCTGAGAGGAAGAGATAATGGCAGTGATTCTAACAGTGCCTAATGAAAAAAGAGCTCAGGTTTGCCTGAATCAAGACCCCCTATCCTGAGTACTATACCTAACTACTAGGTACATGAGACTACTATGGCCATTCAGTGATAGATAACGTGGGTTAGAAGAGTTTGCTTTCACCCCCAAAGGCATGGTCTCCCAAGATGGATGCCAACAGAAGAGATGAACCTGTTTGGAGCAAAACATACGCTGGTAATCCTATAGATCAGGTTCGTTCAACTTCCAAGAGTCTGCAATCTACTCCCAGTATAAAAAAAAACTGGCTGTGATCTACCCATTGTCATAGTCAGGAATAATTGTTGAGCTTTTTTAAGGTGAGGACTGACCTTGTTGAGCTTTTTTTGGGGATCAATAAGGACTGCACGGGCGCAGTTGACCAGGGACATGCACGCGATCGACAGTAGATCGTGATCGACCTGTTGGACATGCCTGCTATACATAAAGAAGCACCACTATGTGTTGTAGTGTGGAAATAAGAAACAAAACAGTTAATGGCTTAAAAATGTGTATTTTGCATGCCACGTCAATTGGGAAAGTAATTTGTCGTTTAAATGCCTTGTTCACCAGTGTCATTAATATTTTATCAAAATAAGCACTAAAATTCATTTTCCTAGTCGTGTAAATATGCACACAAAGGAACACTGGCTATCAAATGCACTCCCATTCTGAAAAGCTTGAAGTGGGATTTGGACTCTTTCAGCCACCATCCCCCAAAGAGAAAATGTTTGATTTTTTTGAAGAGCAAGGACAGCCTGTTTTAATGTTTGGTATGATTTTTAAAACTGTAATTTAAATGAAACATTGCAAGTGTCATGTACTGCTGCTGTTGAATGTTTCCTACATCAGCTTTGTTAACGAGTAACTCCTGAATGTCTGCTGAGGAACGCTGTGTGTTGATGGGGATTCTAGGGACATTTTCTAGTTTTCGGGTCAGCGCCTTGCGTGTCAATGCTCATGCCTGCTGCATTTTGTGATAGTTGCATGTGAACTTAGAACACAGCCCACACAACATTCCCCTGCACCTTCATATTGAAGAGAAAGACCAGTTGCAGCAGGCAATATATTTTTCAGGGAGCCATACTTATTACTATCCATCTAATTGGGGATTTGGAACCATTGATAGGCAACTGAAGTGGCCGATTCCAAGTCAGATCACCAGTTGGTCCAGCTCAGTTTTGTCTACCCTCACTGCTAAAGGCTCTTCACGGTTTCAGGCAGAGAAACTTGCCCAGCCCCACCTGGGGATGTCAGGGGTTGAACTTAGGACCTTCTGCAGCAGAGCATGTGTTCTGCTACTGAGATGGAGACCTTCCCTGGTAAATAGTTTGCAGATCATTCTGTGGTCACTTCTGAGTCCAATAGACCCGCAAAGCTCCTGATTCTTCTACTTCAAAAATCACTGGGCTACTGAAACACACTGAACCAATGCCATCAAATTCTCCATGGAGCCAATATCTCCAGACCTTTTGTAGCTAAACGTACTTTAGCAACCACAATCAGATTTGCACTGGAAGTTCTCTGTTTTTAGCTTGGCAATGCCCTTCGCATCTTGAAAAAATTAGGTGGCTTAACTGACTTGCTCAAGTCTAAAATTTAATTTAGATTCTATATTATGAGCTTACAAATAACGTTTATGCTTTTTCTGTGGTCCTCTGAGTGTGCTGCTTATTTTCCTAGAGAAAGGCAAGATTTTGCAGGTGGCTAATGATCAGCTCGATGCAACCTCATTGCTTCATCACTGAGTTAATGATTTCTCATTGTCTCTCTTTTGCAGCTTCGAGCTCAGAACCATGTACTGAAAAAGGGTGTGGTGGATGAGCAAGCAAATTCAGCATCACTGAAGGTATGCTTTTCAAACAATGAAGTGAAAATGAGCTTGATTCTGACATTTACTGCTTGCTTACATGACACAGTTCTGTGCAGATCTGCCTTGTTTGTACAGGGTTGGCACTAGCTCCATGTCATGCATACATTCAAGGGCCAGGCTGTTTTTTTGTTGACATATAAGGTGTTAAACATCTTTTGGATTTTTGAAGAACACACACCACAGCACGTATTGATAGAATCTTACAGAGATCTGTTGCTGCTGCTTCTGCAGAAGAAGCCTCTCTGCCGGCAAGTGAGGGTGAGGCCAATGAAAGCCAGCCTTCTGTTTTCCACCACTACTGCTACTGGAGAGAGGACCACTAGCTGTCAGCTGCAGAGGGAGGGGCAGAATCCCACATCTGCTTTCCAGGACTGTTACCAACATAACTCTTAACTGACAGCACCCAAGGGACTTGCCAAATTCTGTTCTCCAAGATTGCTTCAAGAATCATCATATGATTTCTTTTGTCTGGGTGGTACTCACTGAAGTAGTTCCATTAGTGCAAGGACTTTTGGCTGTGCAACAGAAATTCCTGCCTCTCCTCTTTCTCTATCTGTGCCCTAAATCTGTTCTGGGGGTCTCCCCAAACCTGCAGAACAGATTTGGGGAGATCGTGCCAGGAGTGGAAGTTGTGCAAATGGAAGCCCTTGCACTAATGGAATTGCTTTGTTGGAGATCGCTCTTTGTTATGATTTTCTACCAAATTACTGTAACTGGCTTGTGCAATGGTAATGTTTTCAGCTTCCTTGAAAGTGCCGTTGGAAAGGCCGGTATCAATCCAATAAGTATATGAATAAGGAACGAAATGAATTCAATCCTCGTAGTTCCTCATTTCTTCCTTTCTCTTGCTGCTATAAGGGTGGATAAATAATTCGCCACCTGGTTTTCATAAAGTGGTTTATGTTCCTCCCTCCCTCTCTGAAGCTGTGCAAGAAAGCTGCACAGAGGGGCTGGAAAAAAAAAAAGACATTTGCCTAACTCTCCTGCAGTACTGCCAGCCTGGTTGAATGTGTATATTGTGATACAGCCAGAATCAACATGCTTATCCAAAAGATTGCTTTTATTTTGAATAGCAGATTAACAGGGTTGGGAAAATCTCAGGAGGAAGAATAGCAATTTAGAAACATAGAAAGCTGCTTTATACTTCATCAGGCCCATTAGTCCATCTAGCTCAATATTGTCTACACTGACTGGCAGTGGCTCTCCAGAGTTTCAGATGGGAGCTTTCCCCAACTTTACATGAGGACACCAAGAATTTGAACCTTGGACCTTCTGCATGCAAGGCAGATCCTCTACCTCTGAGTTACTTAAAATAGCAATAGCAAAATACCTAAGGTTGCTTAAAATAGATGCTACTAGTTAAGAATTCAAATTCCTTTATTTCTCTTTTAAACTAGTCTTATGCTGGGTTTTCATTTCAGAATTTCAGTCTTTTATTCCAGTATTGCTATGGAAGATAGCATCTGCTATGCCTCTCCCAACCCATAACGCAGTGTGTAATCTCTTCCCTGTATACGGTCTGCAGATTTATATGGAAAGAGTAAATAAGAATTTGCTTTTACTATTGTTGGTGCAGTAGGGTAGTTAAAGTGCAGAAAGGAATTGATTAGCGTTTAAAGATCTCATAGATCCCCTTCTATCTTTTCCTGGTGGGTGGAGAAAGTGCACTGTGGGTTGGATGCCCTGTAAAGACAGGGGATGGGAAGTGTTCTTTCTTTAAAAAATTAGGACAGCTTCCTGCTTTGTAAAAAAGAAAATCTTGTCGGAATCTATTGTGATAAAACTGCTTCTCCCAAACGTAGGAACAACTGAAAATGAAGGACCAGTCGCTCAGAAAGCTGCAGCAGGAAATGGACAGTCTGACCTTTCGAAACCAACAGCTGGCAAAGAGGGTAGAGCTGCTTCAGGATGAACTTGTCCTAAGTGAATCTAAAGGCAAGAAGAACAAGGTGGGTACCTACCTGAATCAACCTGTGCAAGTATTTTTGTGAAGCAGCATTTCCCCAGCCTTCTGTTGGTTGAGGTATAACCCGCTGAAGTATCAGGCTTTGCTCTTGGATCCGAAAATAAGTTTCTTCATGAGCTGTTGTTTGGGTCAGGGAGCACGGCTGGCTCTGTGACGTGGCAGAATTACCCACTCCAGCAGTTGGAGGGCTAGTTTGAAGGAGGGCAAGGCAGAGGAATGACTCATGCAGAGGGGCAGTGGGGAACCTCTTCTATGAATGTGTTCTGTTGACTCATATAAGTCTGTATTTATTGAGGCTAGAGAAAGCACCATTGCACATACTGTAAATATGGGTAGGATTGCTTTGTGAATATATCCGTTTCTTTTGGTGCACCAGGCTGAAGTGGCTGGTCCAAGGTCACCTAGGAAGTGTTTCTTGAAAGCAGGCTTTCCCAGGCAAAGAGTTGACAAGTAATCAGGTGGCAACAGCTGATCTTGCTCCTCACTACCATCACCCTTTTCTCCCTTATCTTCTTGAGGCCAGAAGGAGAAGGAGGATAAGCAAGTGAGCTGCCATGGTCAGATTCAAGGGATTCTGAACATTGGGCTCCCTGATGAAATTTAGGCCTCAGCAGGTGCCTCTGGTGTCTTCCCTGTTTGGCATTCCCGGTTACTGCTTGGTCTTCTCTGCTCTTCCTATTAGATACTGATAATGCAATCTTAATGCATATTTACTCTGAAGGTAGCCCCACTGTGCTTTTTGGGTATTGCTCCAAGGTAATTGTGCATTGGGTTGCTGTCTAAGAGGTTTCTTTCCAGCTGTATTATCTGATTCCACCCCCCCTTCTCTCTCTGTCACTATTTTAGTATTTGATGTGTCCTAAAATTGACTTTGTCCATGGAGTTTTCTTGGCAGTGATACTGGAGTGGCTTGCCAGTTCCTGCTCCCGGTGGATCACGTTTAGTCAAAACTCTCCACTATGACCTGTCCATTTTGGGTGGCCCTGCACAGCATAACTCATAGCTTCTCTGAGTTATTCAAGCCCCTTCGCCACGGCAAGGCAGTGATCCATGAAGGAGTGTCTTGTGGAAGACAGGCGTGCCTGGCATGTTCTAGTCCATGGGGTCACAAAGAGTCGGACACGACTAAATGACTAAACAACAACAACAAAAATGGACTGGTTATTTATTACAATTATACCATGCCCTTCCTCTGAGGAACCCTGAGTACCATATTATGCTTGATTCCCAGGCACTTATCTGGGCAGTACCCAGGACTGGACCCCCTTAGCTTGAGCAACTAAACTGCGTAATGTGCCTTCTTGCCATTTGATGCAATCTCTGAAAGCAGATGTTGCCAGATTAGTTGAAGCCAGTTCGTTGCTCGTTTCCTGCTTCTCATTAAATCGTTATGACTAGCACATTTTATAGGACCCGTGGTGCAGGATCTTCAATAAAAGCAAGAGGAGGAAGCAAGCCAAGCATTGCCTGCATTCTCTCCGTTATACAATTGAGGAAGTTGCGCAAAATTACGGCCTTCTGGGCAGACAGCAAAATAGATAAAGGGAAATTTAGGAGAGTGGGGTGCCCTCAGAGGTTGATGTGCTGCCATAGAGAACTTGAACTGGGAGCTCTGGGTTCAGGAGTCCATGTTGCTCGCTGCTTCCATGAAACTGTGGCCCTCCAGATGTTGCTCAACTACAACTCCCAACTTTGGCCATGCTTGCTGGGGCTGCTGGGAACTGTTGTCCAGCAACATCTGGAGGGCCAAAAGTTCTCCATACCTAGCCTAACCTATTCAGGGAAGAGCTAATGTCAATCCCTAAGGAGCTGAGCTACAGATCAGGAACTCCCAAGTTGAAAACTCACTCTCTAGTCCATTCTATAGTAACTCTAAAGAAATCCCATGTATGAAAACCGTAAGCAGTTCCAATATTTTGCTGTACTAACTATCCACAGGAGCTATGATTATAGAGTAGTCTTTAAGTACATTCAGTAAGCAGGAATGCTTTTGCTTTCTCTTAGAAGACCGGTGAACCCGCATCCCAGTTAAGCCAAGAACAGAAAAACGTATTTGATGAAGACCTTCAGAAGAAAATAGAAGAGAACGAGCGGCTGCATATTCAGGTGTGTAATTTGGTAGTACACAATATATTCTATGCCTATTTAAATTCCATGGCAACTTGTACAGGAGGGGGTGCCATTGTGATGCCCATGTGCCCACAGAGGCCTTCTCTGGCACTCACAGGAGTCCCTCCCCTGCCCCCTCCCTAAAATTAGGCATGAAAGAAACATCTTGTAGCAAATAAAAAAGGTTGCATGGACTTGGTTATGGTGTTTGTGTATGTGTGTGTGTTGCCCACAACAGTTTATCCAGTTTGGAAAAGGTGTCCACCAAAAAAGGTTAGCAGCCCTGGTGGGTAAGACTTTTAGAACAAATCATTAAAGGCTGTCTTTTAGGCAAGATTGGCCAATTTGTTCAGTGACTCTGCTGTGTTTTGAAATACTTCGGTTTGTGCCCATGAACTCTGGTAGTCCACAAGGAGCAGTGCTCTCTAGAAATGTATAACTTCTAAGAAACATTAAACAACAGAATGACCCATCTGCCTTGTGCCAGTTCTGCATTTTGGAACTTTGTTTCTCACAGTGACCTGACTTGTCTGTTTCAAGATGCCCGGCTTTCTTTGAATCCAAAAAAATGCCAGATTTGTACTAAGTGAATGCAAGACACTTGGTACATCATAGAATCAGAACAAATCCAGTATTCTCTAATGTAAAGGTAAAGGGACCCCTGAACATTAGGTCCAGTCGTGACCGACTCTGGGGTTGTGGCGCTCGTCTCTCTTTATTGGCCGAGGGAGCCGGCGTACAGCTTCCGGGTCATGTGGCCAGCATGACTAAGCCGCTTCTGGCGAACCAGAGCGGCACACAGAAACGCCGTTTACCTTCCCGCCGGAGCGGTACCTATTTATCTACTTGCACTTTAACGTGCTTTTGAACTGCTAGGTTGGCAGGAGCAGGGACCGAGCAACGGGAGCTCACGCTGTCATGGGGATTCAAACCGCCGACCTTCTGATCAGCAAGTCCTAGGCTCAGTGGTTTAACACACAGCGCCACCCGCGTCCCATTCTCTAATGTAGGGGTGAGAAATCTGAGGCCCAGAGGCTACGTATGGATCTCCAAGCCTCTCTGTCTGGCCCCCTGGACTCCCCAGGCCACCCTCCTCCCTGACTCTGCTTTACACCCACCTCCAGCACTTTTGCATGCTCTTGAACTCTGACAGTGACTCTTGCTTGCCTGGGTGGAGAACAGAGAGAGAGGAGCGTGTGTAGAAACTAGCCTACTGTACCAAGGTGAAAATTTACATTCATTGCTCTGCCCACTTTTGGCTGAGGTCCTGCTCAGAAGAGAATGTAACTCTCTGGCTGAAAAAAGATTCCACACTTCTGATCTAGTCCAAGCCCATTGTGCTTCCCCTGGGGGGAGACACCTTGCCCCGGTCATCAACTCACTCTCTCCTCTGGAGTCATAAAACATTTCTCTGTTGCTTTGGAGGGTAGGGAAGAGATGCAGGAAAGACTCTGGGGCTATTTTGCCGTTTTATTTCACTAACAACAATTATAACACTACTTTATTGTATAAACAAAGCAAAAACCTCAGAATTTTACAAGGAAATGTTTTGTCCCCGTTTCTCTTTCCCTCTTGCCTTTTCCCAAGTGGTTTCTGGACTCGAAGACCAGAGGGAGCAGAGACAAAAGGTGCACATATGGAATAGTCTCTTCATCTTTTTGTGTCTTTTTTGAGCAAAAGCAGCTCAAGTGAGGAGAGGGAAGCAGTAGCTGAATCCTCTGTTCCTCTTTCCCAGGGAAAAGCTTGAGATGAGTGCCAGAGTCTGCTGTTTGTAGAGACGAAATGTTGGCTTGAGGGCAGGGAGGCTCACTGGTAAAACTAGTTGCCAACAAGTGGCATGTATAACATGTGGCTTTCACTCCATTACTGAAGTCGTTTGTCCTAAATGCATCTGTTGGTGTCTCTGCTGTTTGGATAATGCATAGATTGATCTGTGGCTGGCTGGTCTCCTGTCTTCTAGAAAGCTGCTTGGGCTACATCATCTTTCAGTTTTTCTTTGCTGACCAGCCTTTGCTGTACACATAGCTTAATGGTAGAGCACCTGCTTTGAATGCAAAAGGTCCCAGGTTAAATCCTCGGCGTCTCCAGGTAGGGCTGGGAAAAACTCATGTCTGAAACCCTGGAGAGCCCCTGCCAGTCACAAAACACAATTCTAAGCTAGGTGGATCAATAGTCTGACTCTGTAAGGCAGCTTCCGTTCCTATGTAATCTGCAATGGCCATGACCCCTTCACCTGGCATAGGTCCCTGTCTTCCTGACTAGACACATTTACTAGCCATACTATCTTTCCTTTCTCATAAATGTTCTAGTGATAACCAAAATACCTCCAAATGTAATGCTCAGAAAGCTATACATATTTAAGCTTACTCCATTCACACACCAGCTTCTTTCATTCTTTCTCATTTCCAGACTCTGGTCAAATTGTTTCTGCAGGTTTTTTTTCCTTAGTTGCTCCTTTTTCATCTTAAAGCTAAATTCTCCCCTGCAGATTAGCACCTGTGGTCTCAGTGGAGCCAGATAACTCTTCTCTTGCTGCTGTGCATAAAGTTACTTTTGTGTAAATGTGCATTTGCACTTAAATGCATTAGGAACTCTTAAAGTAAAAAAAAAATGGGCATGGCTGTTGCTCCCTTCATCTCAGTACCTCATTGTTTAAATTTACTGAATGTCCATTTTTGAGGGGTATATCCCCATTTTTTCTTTATAACAACCCTGTGCTGTAAGGCTGTGAGGTAGTGACTGGCCTAGAAAGCTTTATGGTTGAACCAAATTTGAATCTGGCTCTCCCCGTTATATGTCCAATACCATGTGGACACTCGCTTTACATTAAACATTTCTTAATTTTAATTTTTTGCTGAATGTGATTTGTTTCTCCTCTTTAGCACTGGTTCTAATAATTGCTGGTATTTCGAACTTCTTCATTAAAAATATAATTTTTAAAAATCTACTTTACCTGTCTGCAGGAGAGCTAATTCAGAAGCAGAGCTTCCCCATGTTTTCAGTGTATGTGCCTGTCCAGCTTCCAAAGACAGACAAGGCTAGAGATTTTGGTAGTTGTGGAGGAAGTGCTCAAATGTTATACTTGTTGGGGGGTGGGGGGTGGAATGGTAAAATAATAATAATGATAAAGGTTTAAAAAAACAAAAAACCAAGAAGGTGAGAAACCAGATATTGAAGTTGTGTGAATTTTCAGCATCTGTGTTCGAAGGATTCAGTATTGGGTCATGTCAGCATTAGATAATCTGTGATTAGGAGCTCCTGTGATTTTTACAAAAGTGGGTATAAGCAGCAGGGGTGTCGTGGTAAACGTATGTTTATATATCTTCAGAGAGATTATTAATGCCTTGATCCTTATCTGTTTTCTTTCTCCCCGCCCCCCTGGCCAGGGTCACTTATATTAACTTAATAAAAAACAAAACCACAGGAGAATCTGAGCACAAATGCCCTGCATCACATCTAGTTTGGCCCTCTCTTGTTTTTTCCTCAGTTCAAGAGCCAAAGTACCAGTATAGTAGAAGTGTACCACTTTGGCAAAGTAAGAGTTTTCGGCCTACGACGTTCCTGGAAACAATGGTGCCAGAAATTACTTACGAGCTGCAGTCCTAGGGGCATGTGCTTGTTCCAGTGTAGCCTTGGATCTGAGCTGCCAGCCCTCCCCTGGGTGATGCTCTGTGACGTCAGACTCTCCCTTCTTGTTTCAGTTCTTTGAAGCCAATGAGAAACACAATCTTTTGGAAACTGAGCTGAGGAGCAAGCTGGAGGTCTTGGAGATGGAGGCAGCGCAGCACCAAGCCGTGGTGGATGGCCTCACTCGGAAGTACATGGACACAATAGAGAAACTGCAAAGCGATAAAGCCAAGTTAGAAGTAAGTATCAAAGCTGTGTGTACCCCTGTCCCAGATCTCAGACCACCAAGGCCTATCCATCTCATGTTGTTGGCCTCTTTGGGACTGGGAAAATTCTTCCTTTTTCAATCAATGTTTTATTTGCAGGTTGAGTGACTGTTTTAATTATACTCGTGTTCTTAAATTCTTTTACCCGGTGCTGATGTAACTACTCATTTTTTGTTTGATTGTTGTCATTCAACAGTGATTTATGTGCTCTTTGGTGCAGAACTGTGGTTCATAAATGCTTAAAGTAATAAGACATACTCAAAATCTCTGTGTGGAGTTGGTTGTGCAAATAGCTATTGACAGCTCTGTTCTCCCTACTTACCTTTAGATCAAATCTCAAACGCTAGAGAGAGAAGCCAAGGACTGCAGGGTTCGAACAGAAGAATGGTAATGCTCTTGACCTCTTTAAAAAATAAAGACGTGATCAGGAATTCCATTTTATTGAGGCATATAGTGTTGTAAAACAATTATTGCTTTGTTGTCATCTTAGCATGGGCATGGGCATAAGGAGCAACCTTATACGGAGTCAGACCAGTTCTCGTGTGTTATTAATTAAGGTACCCTATAGGTCCAGGGTAGGGACGCGGGTGGTGCTGTGGTCTAAACCACAGAGCCTAGGGCTTGCCGATCGGAAGGTTGGCGGTTTGAATCCCCGCAACGGGGTGAGCTCCCGTTGCTCGGTCCCAGCTCCTGCCAACCTAGCAGTTTGAAAGCAAATCAAAGTGCAAGTAGATAAATAGGTACCGCTCCGGCGGGAAGGTAAATGGCGTTTCCGTGCACTGCTCTGGTTTCACCAGAAGCAGCTTAGTCATTCTGGCCACATGACCCAGAAAAACTGTTTGCGGACAAACGTCGGCTTCCTTGGCCAGTAAAGCGAGATGAGCGCTGCAACCCCAGAGTCGTTCGTGACTGGACTTAACTGTCAGGGGTCCTTTACCTTTTTTTTATAGGTCCAGGGTGGGGAAATCTTTGCCTGCCAGGGGGTCCAGTTTGGCCCATCAGGATTTTTCCCATACTCACCTGCCCATCATCAGCTGACATAACTGGTGAAACGTCATGGGAAATGTATGCATTTGGTTTTTTCAGCTTCAAGTAAGCACCCCAAAACCCAATAGTTAATATTGTTGCCTTATTTTTATCACCCAGCCAGCAGCAGTTAAAGCACCTTCATGCGGACTTGAGCAGCAGATTGGGGGAGTCCTTGAACATCATCAGTGAAAAAGTTCCTTTCAATGATACCAGTAGGTACTGCATGGATTACCTTTGTTGTGTGCTAAAAAGAAACTATAGAAAACTGAAAAGCTGAGATTTCACCATCCCAATCCATCAAAAATAATTGAATTTAGTTTTGCTCAGTCAGCAAGCAGACTTTGGCTGGCATTATGCTTGATAAGGCACACAGGGCTGCCGCTGAAAATGGCAGTGCTGTGTTAAATTTCCATCTCAGTTTCTGTAGTGTGTAGTACAACTCAACCAATGCATGGATGCAATTACACAAATTTTCTGCCTATGCCAACAAATAAGGAACAGGAGTAGTGAAACGTACGCAGTAATTGCACCAAGACAGGTACAGGTACCTGTTAAGTGATGGGCAGGGCAAGGCGACAGATAGCTGCCCTGTGCTCCTAGTAACAGATTGTCTCTCTCATGCACAGTCTTCTGGGAATGCCATAACATTCTACATACAATCACATGAGGGATGATGCAGTGAAAATTGCTGTTAGGGCAGGGTAGCTGGGGGTAATCAAACAATTGCTGGCCACAGAATGAGCCACTGAATGGTGCTTGTCTCTCTTCTTTATTATTCCTTCATTAACATTAAAAGTAAAGGCTTGTTCGTGTCCCCCTCCCATGCCAAGAGATGCAGAGCCAGGTAGCACATCAGAGAAAAGTCCTGATCCGCTTGTTTATCCTCTGCGGCTTGCTTGAATAGCTGAAACCATCCATTGCAGGGGCTTTTTGTACTTAAGACTCATCCACTTTCTACATACCCTCTAAAGACACAGACCGGCAACCCATGGTCTTCCCTGTACTTCCCAGCTTTGTGTTAGTCACTGCTTTGTTGTATTCCTGTTTACGAGAGCATATAAATGAGTGGGAGAGGCTGGAGACATCCCAGAGAGAGGTAGACTCTCTGCTATGAATGTGTATGAATGAGAGAGGGGAGAAAAAGGGGTGTTCCTGCCAACATTGGCTTTTGCAGGCCCCAATCACTTTTCTCAAGGGAATGCAGTCTCCGTTCCCATAATAGTTGCCTGCCCTTGCCCTTAGGGTCAGGAATGCTCTTGTAAACTGGCTGTTGTGCTCTAAGTTCAGATTGTTAATGGCACCTAGATAGGTATTTACTGTAGATGCTCCTCTTATCCCGGTAGGCAGTTCCTAAGCTTTGGTGGTTGGTTTTTTTTAAGGCTAGCTGGTTGGCAATTAAGCAAGTTGTGGGGTTTAGGTTTAATTGTCTTTTATTCCCCCAATTTAGCTTTGACGTGGCTGGGCGTTGTATAAGTTGTCTTGAATTTATTGTTACCACCTGAGCATCCAGAAACTTAATTAGCTTACGGTGACAAGGTGTGTGGCAAATGTTGCAAGTCTGCCAAGCGGAACTACTGAAATAGATGCTTGTCTTATGGATTAATGCCTACCATTAATTTAGGTGTCTCATTTGCATTGCTTACTAAGAAATCCATGTGCCTAATATAAATGGCTTTGTGCACTGTATTTGCTAAAAAAACCTGTAAATTAGGAAGTTCTCAATTCAAATTTCAGTTCTTTGTGGCCTTAAGGTGGCCTTAAACATCTCTTCCATTTATTTATACGGATATTCCTGGCCTACCTGGTATTTGAGACAGAAAGGTGGGTTATAGTTTTAACAATATCATGCTACTATATTGTTGAAAAAGAACTTTAGAAATCCTAAGGTGATTGGGGTTGAAATGTGTTATTCCGTAATGACATATGCACCTGCCAATATCCTATTCATTTATTTGAATTTTTAGCCTTTACTAGCTCTAGGAGTCAGATGTTCAGCTTGAAAAAGATGCTTCTCTGTTCTTGAATGGCTTAACAGTCTAAGGCAATGTAGGAGGATCGGAGAGAGAAAATAATTGCTGTAATACTTTGATTCTTTTCGTAGGGTCTAGCCAGTATAATGCTTTGAATGTGCCATTACACAGTAGAAGACGACAGGTGAGTAATAAACCTAAATTATTAACCTAAAAAGTTTGCAACATCTTTGGCTCAAGGCTTTGGGATGGTGCAGAGCAAATAATAGAACCATAGAACTGTAAAGCTGGGATGCTGGTTCTCTCTTAGCTATGGGTGGAAAAAAGTAAGAAGCAAAGTGGGAGGAGGAACATTTTAATATCCAATGCATTTCAGACCTCTCAGGCACCTCATCAGGGACTGAAGTTTAGTCTTTTGTTATACTGGCTTCAATTTCCTCATGCTGTGGAAGATTATACAAGAGATTAAACTTCTGTATTTGGAACTCCTTGATGAAGAACCTGGGAGATCTGAAACTTGTTGGATATTAAGCATTTTCCCCCAAAGTCCTTTGCTTCTTGCCCACCCCATTTGCCTGGGGTTTCCCATCTTGCCAGATCTTGGTTAATGCCTCCCAAGTAATCATGGCTGCAAAAGGGGGGGATTTAGGTAAAAGCTGTGTAAGATCGTCTGTCGGTGGCAACTTGACATAAGAGTCAAAAGAGCAGCCACCTGTTTTCAGAGGTAGAACGGGCTCTCCCAGAATTCTGCTCCTTGGAGATGGCAAAAAGTCATTTGTCTCTGTCCCACCCACCAAGACTGAAAAAGAGCTTGGCATTAGTGCTGTAGATGAGGGACAGAAGTACAGCACTGCTCCAACTCTCCAGGTTGAGATTTTAATACGGTAAAACTTGCTGCTGTCCAAGTCTTTGCACGTGGTCTTCTAAACAATTAAAATGATAGAAGGATGCCTAGTAGAATACTATTTGTGAAGTATATTGGCTTTCATTCCCACCACAAAATGCATTCTGGTTTTGTTGCTGAAAAATGAATGAGAAGCACCAAGATCTTTTTGGCCATGGCCCCGGCCTGGTGGAACACTCTCTCACAAGAGACTAGGGCCCTGCGGGTTTGACATCTTTCCGCAGGGCCTGCAAGACAGAGCTGTTCTGCCAGGTCTTTGGTCGGGGTTCAGTCTGATTCTTTCTGTATAATAACAAGCATTCAAGAGGCCTCCTAGCCTGCTCACAGGTTCTTTATAAGACTAGTGCTAACAGTTGGCCCTGGAGAATATTAACCACTCTCAATTTTACCCATGGACTGCCATCTGTCCATATTTTAATTTGCTCTGAACTAATTTTAAGAAGTATTTTAACTAATTGATTGCCTGTTCTTATGTTCTTAGTATACTGTCTTAGTTTCATGATGTTAGCCCCCCTGAGCCTGGCTCCGGCCGGGGAGGGCAGGGTACAAAGAAAAATTTATTATTATTATCATCAAGATTGTGCCCTGATACAATTAGATCACAGTGCTATTATTCTGCTTCTCCAACAGAAGAACCTTTGCAGCAGGGAGGAGGTCTGTCATATATGAATCTTCTGTTTGTTCAGTTAGGAGCAGTTCTGGGAAAGGCCTTTTGTAAAAGAGATTGCTCTCCATCAAAATAAGAGTGAGCTGCATCACTGCTCTTTGTACCTTGCAGTTGAAGCTGCGTGACCTTGCTGGCCAAGCGCTGGCCTTTGTTCAAGACCTGGTGACGGCCCTTCTGAATTTCCATACCTACACAGAACAGCGAGTCCAGATTTTCCCTGTTGATTCCGCCACAGATACAATATCGCCATTAAATCAGAAGGTAAGCTGGCTGGGGGTGAGCTTTACGTAAAGAGATTAAAGTGGACATACGATAAGCACACTATGTGCCACCTTGCTACATTTTTCTACAGCGGATGGAATGTAGCTGTTAAAACAATCTCCTTTTTTATTTGTGCAAAATTGTACAGAATGGGGTGAAAGTTTCTCTCCACACATTTCTGCCAAGGCAACACTATGGCTCCTTTGTATGCAAAGGATTCCAGGTTCAATCCCTGGCACCTCCAGCTGAAAGAGCAGTTCTCTCTCTGTCCAGGATGCTGGAAAGCCAGTTGAAGAATAAAAATAAAAATAATAATTCCCAGATTCTTTTTTTTTTTTTTAAACTTTCTTATGTGATGTTGGGCAGTAATGTTCTGAGCTTTTGCTGCTGCATTGCTTTTATATGTATTCTGTTTTGAAAATATTTAACAGTAAGGTGCCTTAGGGAACTCTGTAGTGATGAAGCTGTGGGTTATAATTAAATAGTCGCAGGATATGGTTTTGTAAATAAAATAAAATAAATCTTAACTTCCCTTGGCCAAAATGCCTTCACAGAGTTTTGCTTCAGGGTTTCTGAATGTTCCCTTTCTCTTACTTTCTCCCCCTCCCAGTCACCATAAAAGGTAAAGGGACCCCTGACCATTAGGTCCAGTCGTGGCCGACTCTGGGGTTGCCGCGCTCATCTCGCTTTATTGGCCGAGGGAGCCGGCGTACAGCTTCCGGGTCATGTGGCCAGCATGACTAAGCTCCTTCTGGCGAACCAGAGCAGCGCACGGAAATGCCGTTTACCTTCCCGCTGGAGCCGTACCTATTCATCTACTTGCACTTTGATGTGCTTTCAAACTGCTAGGTTGGCAGGAGCAGGGACCAAGCAACGGGAGCTCACCCCGTTGCGGGGATTCGAACCGCCGACCTTCCTAGGCTCTGTGGTTTAACCCTCTGCATCCCTCCCAGTCCCCATAGTCCAAAATAATCTGTCCCCCGCACCCCTGGCATACAGCAGTTCAAAAGCAGTGCTGGTAATCTGTTTTAATGCCAAATAGTTCTGTGACTTCACAAGCAGTGCCTGCTGGAACCACTGACGGGTCTCTCTTGGTTCAGTTTTCGCAGTACCTTCATGAAAACGCATCCTACATTCGCCCCCTGGAAGAAGGAATGCTACACTTATTTGAGAGCATCACTGAGGACACTGTCACAGTTCTGGTAATATGGTTGTCTTTGTTGTCACATTCCATGTCTGAGACAGGTTGCTACTAAATACCTGAGAGACAATTTCTTCTTTTCTCTTCAAAGGAGACAACTGTGAAATTGAAATCCTTTTCTGATTACTTAGCATCTTATGTCTGCTTTCTCAGGAAGATTCTTCCTTATCAGTTGAAAAGGTACTTTCCTCCTTTTTGATCCACACAATGGGAGCTATAATTCAGTGTGCTGCTCATCACTTATGTTAAGAGTCTGAGAGCAGCATGGCAACATACCTCTGGTTCTTGAGAATGTTCATAATGATGGTTGACAATGAATATTTCAAAGGTGTCGGCGGGAGGTGGGGAGTTACTTTATCATAGCAACTGTCATTATCTGTCTGAGAGGGCATTGCTTCCAGTGTTAGATCGCTTAATGTGACTCAGGATCTCTTGTGCAGTGTGTTATCGAATGGTCATACATTAATTACAATGGATCTACTTTATGACTAACACTGAATATCACTCAGAGTTTTAGCAGCTTTCGTATAAATGTCATTCTCCCCCACGCATCTTGTTAGAGAGCCATCTTCATATTTATTTGTGTATATATATTTGGGCATTTTTACCTCACTCTTTAGGGACGTGGGTGGCGCTGTGGGTTAAACCACACAGCCTAGGACTTGCCGATCAGAAGGTCGGCGGTTTGAATCCCCGCGACGGGGTGCGCTGCCGTTGCTCTGTTCCTGCTCCTGCCAACCTAGCAGTTCGAAAGCACATCAGAGTGCAAGTAGATAAATAGGTATCGCTGCGGCAGGAAGGTAAACGGCGTTTCCGTGCGCTGCTCTGGTTCGCCAGAAGCGGCTTAGTCACGCTGGCCACATGACCCGGAAGCTGTACGCCATCTCCCTCGGCCAATAAAGCGAGATGAGCGCTGCAACCCCAGAGTCAGTCACGACTGGACCTAATGGTTAGGGGTCCCTTTACCTTTACCTCACTCTTTAACCCAAAAAAGTTGCAAGACTGACTTACAGAGATCAATAAGAAGACAGCCCCTATCCTCAGACTTACTATCAAAAATACATAGCACAAGAGGAAAATATTTTGGAAGGGAGAAGGAAAGAAACCTCAAGCACTAGTTCTTAGTTACAAAGTTTTTAAAATAATCAACTGCAGCAGAAAGTTTTTCAAAGAGAGACAGAAACAAAAGTTGTTGGTCTCTCAGCTGAGCCAATGGAATGGCCTTGTATTCTTCTCTTCCTCACCGACCTATAGCCTGCAGTAATGGATGCCGCAAGGTGAAAGTGATGAAGGCGCCTGACAAAGTTAAAAGCAGAACTGTTTGCGAGTTTAGTAATTTTAACTGATTATTTGTCTGCCTTTTAAATTTTATGTATAAACATATAACTCACCTTTCCAACACAAAGTGTCAGAGGCAATGTACAATGCTAAGAACTCAGACACCTAAAACCAATAAAATAGTAAAGAGAAAGGAATGTAAACAGCAGCATTTCAACCAGTTGCTTAAATTTATGTATCATTGAAGCATTGATATGGGTTCCTTTTTGACATTTTGAACAAACCCTCAATAGCCACTTTTTCAGAAAAGTGCCCCACAATGTTTATCTCATCTTTTCTGAATATCGTGTATTTTTTTTAAAAAAAACAACCGCTACCACCATAATACTCACTTTTAAAAACATAAATTCATATGTTCCTAGTTTGGAAGAAGAGTGTGAATCTTCTCTTTGCACAGCTGCGTTAAGAGCCAGGAACATGGAGCTGCAGAGAGACATGAAGAAGCTGACTGCAGTCTTTGAGAAGTTGCACACGTACATTAATCTTCTTGCCTTACCTAGTAAGTAGCAGCAGCAGACCAGGGCAGATGAAATACCGTATTGCAGGATCTAAAATTTCAAAATTCGGTGCGATAAGTATTGAATCTGGTGGGTGGGTGTTTCTGTTTTTGCCAGACCGACATCAAATTACATGCATGTCATTGCCTGCTTTTATTGTATGAAAGGATCTGGGGTATCTAGGGATTTGTAGGCCATGGTGAGCAGTTACCTTTTTGTCACTAGTATGACTCTAATATAAATATTTAAAAATTATGCTCCAGTGATCAATCCCCCGGTTGTGTACCTTTCCTGGGCTTTTCCAGATACAACAATGCTAGTATATATATATTTCTTTTGAACTGAACTTCCTTAAATTGTAGGTACAGTGTTTTTATATGTGTACTGAGGTTGGAATCAACATTGAATAAGAGTGAGACTTGTATTTTACAGAAAGCGGACGAGAAACGGTTCAAGGGATTTTGTTGGAATACTCCATAATTTGATTATGGGTAGTAGTATTTATAGGATTCCCTCCCCAGCCTCATCCAAATTCTCCACTTGACCAGGAATCTGAACTTCACGTGAACTTCAAAAATTTAAGGGACTCGGGTTTCTTCCCTGTTTTGGACTGAGGAAGCTGGATAATGCTGATTGCATATTGCTCTTTTATGGCAGCCTTTGCCAACCTAGTTCCCTGCAGTTGGTCGTTCTGGCTAGGGGTGATGAGCGTTGCAGCTCAAAACATGCAGAGGGCACCAAGTTCGTGAAGGCTACTTTATGAACTCCTTCACAGAATTGTATAGTTGGAAGGAAACCCAGGGGTCACCTAGTCCAACTGACTGCAATGCAAAAATGCCCCCATCCTTTTAATGAAACCAGGCCTCTTCTAAATTGTTTTGCTAGCAGGAACTATTCTATATGGCAAATGCCCTTTTTCTCCTTGACGCTTGTCATTACATTTGGATTTTCTGCTCTTTGTACAACTTCCAGGCACAAATCCAGACCGTCTGCTTCGTACAAACTTCAGCTCTCTGCTCACATACATTGCTTCGACCCTTAATGGATTTCACGATGTCATGAAAGGTGAGACTGGCTGAAGGATATACAGCTTTTTTTTTTATTAAAAAAATGACACGTTAGCACTCTGGTCACTTAACACTTTATGGGTGGTGGGTGGATGTCATAAAGATTTAATGGCCTTTGCATGGTCGGCCTACCTAGTATGTGCATCAACAAAAGGGAGAAACAAAATATACTCAAATACAGTGTTGTTGTTTTTTACTGATACAAGTTTTCAGCCATATGCAAAAATAACAATAAATACTGGTAATGTATCTTTGTAATAACCCTGTGAAATGGGTCCGGGGTGGCCTACATTGACTTTTACCGTGGAGTGGGGATTTGAACCCGAGTCTTTCTCGTTGAAACCTAATGATCCCTCCACTACTCAGTACTGGCTCTCCACTGAAGTCAGGGGAAAGTGTTGCAAGAAAATATCCACAGGATTGGACTGTTAAGGTTTGAAGCACAAGGTTTATAGTGAAATTAAGTACTGCTAGCATAATGTAAAGGGTTCTGCCTAACTACACTGAAACAGAAGGTGTGCAGTCCATTTTCGTTAAGGGCAATATTCAATAATGAAACGGTTCTAGCTACTTCCTACTATATTCTTCTTTCCTGCTGTCTAGGTGTGCCAGGCAATTGGGATTTGCTCAAAATATAGCTAGCTCAGTGGTAGAGCACATGCTTTGCATGCGGAAAGTTTAATCTCTGTAGGATTGTCTCCACAGATAGTCGTATCTATCTTTTGAAAGTGCTTTCCTAGGTAGAAAAAAGTGACATTTAGGAAGAAATGGGATTTTCTGACTGGATCTGAATGAGAGGTTCGGAGGGCGATGTGCACACCTGATGCAAGTTAATTCTTTCTGGTTTTAGATATTTATAAGCATTATAGTCAAAAAGCTGCTTTGGAGCAAGAGCTCCCCACAGCCACGCAGAAGCTCATCACCACCAACGACTGCATCTTATCATCTGTGGTAGCATTAACAAACGGAGCCGGCAAGGTAACTTCTTTTCTTACACAAAGTGCCCATCACTGCTGCCTAAATCAGCATTGTGAAACTAACACGAGCTTGCAGCCCTTCTATGATGTATCTGTATCTAAATTCATGCAAAAGTTCCCTTTTATTGTCACAAATTGGGAATCTTTATAAAGGAGAAAGTTGTTGTTCTTGTGATGGATTCCTTGAGGGTAAAGCTTAGGTAGTATAAAATTGTGCAGCCAGAAAGTATGTTCATAAGGATGCAACGACATAAGAACCCACAGGATCAGGCCAGTGACCCATCTAGTCCAGCATCCTGTTCTCACAGTGGCCAACCAGATGCCTGTGGGAAGACCCTAAGCAGGGCATGAGTGCAAAAGCACTCAGTTGTGACTCCCAGCAACTGGTATTCAGAGACACACTGCCTCCAGTATTGGAGGGAGAACAACAACAACAACAACAACAACAGCAACAATTTATTTATACCCCACCTACCTATCTGGCTGGGTTTCCCCAGCCACTCTGGGCAGCTTCCAACAAAATATTAAAATACAATAGTGCGTCAAACATTAAAAGCTTCCCTAAACAGGGCTGCCTTCAGATGTCTTCTAAAAATCTGGTAGTTGTTTTTCTCTTTGACATCTGGTGGGAGGGCGTTGCACAGGGCGGGTGCCACTACTGAGAAGGCCCTCTGACTGGTTCCCTGTAACTTGGCTTCTTGCAGTGAGGGAACCGTCAGAAGGCCCTCGGCACTGGACCTCAGTGTCCAGGCAGAATGGTGGGGGTGGAGATGCTACTTCAGGTATACTGGACCGAGGCCGTTTAGGGCTTTAATGGTCAGCATTAACACTTTGAATTGTGCACCAAAACGTACTGGGAGCCGATGTAACCATCACTGCTTTGAAATGTCCCCCCGCCCCCGAATCAAGCAATATATAGTTTTAAAGGAATAAATGAATAGTAGTCATTGATGGCTTTATCATTAATGGATTTGTGTTATCCTCTTTTTAAACCAGCAAAGCTAGTTGCCGTCACATCACCTTGGAGCAAAATCCATGGTTTAAAATGTGGGCTGTGTGAAGAAATATTTCATTTTCACTGTCCTGAATCTCTTAACAGCTCAGATGGGTTTGGTTTTCTAGTATTACAGTGGTACCTCGGGTTACATACGCTTCAGGTTACATACATACGCTTCAGGTTACAGACTCTGCTAACCCAGAAATAGTACCTTGGGTTAAGAACTTTGCTTCAGGATGAGAACAGAAATCGTGCTCTGGTGGCGCGGCAGCAGCAGGAGGCCCCATTATCTAAAGTGGTGCTTCAGGTTAAGAACAGTTTCAGGTTAAGAACGGACCTCCGGAACCAATTAAGTACTTAACTCTAGGTACCACTGTATATGAGAAGGAGGGAACCTTCACTGTAGGCATGACCTTGCACACCTCTGCCATGTCATGCCATGTCCCCACAACTCACAAAAACAAACCTAAAAAGCCGCAAATGCTGCAACCCGCTGTTTATCTAAAATGTAAGCAAATGGTTCCAAGCTCCTTGTGATTTTGCTGAAGTAGGATGAAGTGGAACACATAATCTCAGGACTCTCTCTGCATCTCATTCTTCTAGCTGCAAACTTGCCCAGTATTTTAAATCTCTGCATTTGTATGTTTAGGTTGCTTCATTCTTCAGCAATAACTTAGACTGCTTCACTGCATCGCTGAGCTATGGGCCTAAGGGAGGAATGGAGTTTATCAACCCCCTCTCGGCGGAGTGCATGCTTCAGTACAAGAAGAAAGCAGCTGCTTACATGAGATTGCTGAAGAAGGTTTGTGCCTGTTCAAGAACAATAGCTGTAGCGCAGTGACTTGGATCGCTTGGACACGCTCTAAAAATCCTTTTGATGTGGGATTGGATTCTCTCCGCCCATGAAGAAGTGGTTCTTTGTTGCTGATGAAACCATTTTTTGTTCCCGAGCTGTATACTTGCTTGGGGCAGAGCTGCAGGAAAAATTGTGGAGTGTGATGATTGTTGGATAAATACGAGACCAATATACTCTCTCTCTGTTTATGGAAATATGGCTGGGTGGGGCAGACTGTATGGATGGAATGTCATTATTAGTCTGCGTGGAAAAATCTCGGCAGGGTGGTCTCACAGCTTAGTAGTCGAATAGAGATGATGGACATTTGTTAGCAGGACAGGTTCAATATGTTTGCATAGGCCAAGGTTTGTTTGGGGATAGAGCTAATTAGGAGTTTAGTGTAACTAGAGCTGTTGAAAAGTTTGATGAGGCCACTGCAGGCTTCTTGTCTTACTTGTCTCACTGGTACCAGAGAGCAGGAGGGACATGAGTGCATCTTTTGTTATGCCACAAATTTCAGTCTTGGGCTACTTTGGGACTTTGGAGTTTCTGTAGTTTTCTAAGCCACAAACTTGTATTGTAGGACTAGAACCCTTCTCCTTGCACAGAACCCCGCCACATCCCATCATATCACACTTTAAACAAAATATGGAGGAGCACTCAAACACTGTATAAAGTTCACTCCACCTCTTCTCTGAAGTGGTGCGGTTCAGTGGCAAATAAATCACATGAATCTGCTGACTTGTGTTTTTTCAGTCCCAAACTAGTCTAATGAAGTGTGAATTGCGGTGAAAAATTAAAAACTCAAGCCGCTGTAAGTTAGTTGATTGCTTGTGGGTGTGGGTGGGTGAGGTTTTTGCTTATAGCTGGAAAAAAAGTGGCAGTGGAGGCAGCTCCCAAATTTTAGTTCAGTTGAGTGGGATTCTTGGTCATTAGCTAGGGGCTGCTAGGACAGACGTGTTGCATGCTGACTCCCGTAGCATCCCATTAGACTCCTTGTCACCCTGTTTCAGCCTCTCTCTTACTATTTTCACACCATCCTAATCCCACCCCCTTCTTTCTGCCTGCTGCCAGCATCTCCCACAACTCTTTTGTTACCTTCATGCTTATATGACAGAACTTCTGATGGTGTTTCCAGCTGAAAAACCTGCCGTCCGAATGACATGCAGCTGTTTTCATTCATTGTTTGAGATCCGGTCCACGCATGGAATGCACAGTGGCCTTCCTCTGTTGCTTTCTGCCCAAGGCACTTTAGAGCAATGCTGCAGCTGTGTGTTTTCTCTTTGTTCTTTGCCTCCCCCCCTCCAAAAGTGTAATATACCAGGCGCAGATCTCTGCCACCAAGGGCCTGGAAAGCATCAACAAATACTTTTGCTAGCGAGGGAGGGAGGGCAAGCGGGCGGGGGAACTTAACGCTTCCCATATGTAACCCAACTCACTGAAGTCATGTATATCTTTTGGCTCTAGCCATGTTGCGATTCAGTGCCTTATGAAGAGGCCTTGGCCAACCGCAGAGTTCTTCTGAGTTCCACGGAGAGCAGAGAAGGCCTTGCACAGCAGGTATTCAGTCGTCCGACACGTAGCTGTTCCTAAGCTTAGTGCGCTCACTGAAACTGTATTAAATTTGATAGTCTCACTGTCCTAACATCATTTAATGCTCATGGCAATGCATCTCTAAATAGGGAATTGATGGGTGAGTGTTTGCAAACTGTGCCAATTTTGAATTTGTTCCTTTGTAAGCCTGATCCACACATTATTATTATTATTATACCTCACCAGCCACTCTGGGTGGCATCCAATACAAAGAAAAATTTTATTTTGTATTTACATACTTACTTTTAATGGATTTTTTTCCACAAGATGTGTACCTGTAAACAAAATATTAGTAAAAAAAAGTAGTTTCTAAATGCATTTTATTTTAAAATATTTTAAAAACAAATTTGAATAAGTTATCGAGTCAAAAAATGCATCACAAGATTTGTGCTGTGTGAAATTTGGAGGATAATGATGTTAGTTTGCATAGTGTGTATTGGGTTTAAGGTAAAGGTAAAGGTACCCCTGCCCATACGGGCCAGTCGTGTCCGACTCTAGGGTTGTGCGCCCATCTCACTCAAGAGGCCGGGGGCCAGCGCTGTCCGGAGACACTTCCGGGTCACGTGGCCAGCGTGACGAAGCTGCTCTGGTGAGCCAGCACCAGCGCAGCACACGGAAACGCCGTTTACCTTCCCGCTATAAAGCGGTACCTATTTATCTACTTGCACTTAAGGGTGCTTTGAAACTGCTAGGTGGGCAGGAGCTGGGACCGAAAGACGGGAGCTCACCCTGCCGACGGGAAAGACGGGAATCCACCCCGGCGGATTTGAACCGCCGACCATGCAATCGGCAAGCCCTAGGCGCTGAGGTTTAGTTTGCATTAAAAATTCGCAAAGACTGACTATCTCAAGCATCCCTTGTCTAACTAGTGAAAGGGTTATGCTTGGCTCTAGACTTCTGCATGCAATCCAGGCTTGGGAGTGCAGAACAAGCCTGCCATAAAGCTCAGTAGCACTGTCTGATATGGTTATTCTTCTCTACATGTGACGGCTTGGATCAAATCTCTGATTATCTGCTGTCCTACTTCGCTTCCACCTTTCTTTGGCCTCAGGCTTATTGTAAAAAAGAAAAAAGGAAGGTCAAATGTGTATGAAATTGGACATTCCCCCCACCAGAACTCAGCAGACAGAAAAGGCGAATGGACACAAAGCTTTTTTTTTATTGGCATGCATTCTCTGTTTATTTTGTGTCATCTTATTGCTGGTGGGGTGAGTGAAGAGAACCTCTAACACAAATGGTGCTGTTGTCAGGTCTATATGCTGCCAAACATGTTGTCCAGCTTGGAAATTTGGCTTCAGGAACCAGGTTTCCAGCTAGATGGCCAGTTGACCTAGTGGCTAAAAGCCCAAAGTTGATCTCTGAGTAGTCCTCTTGCAGTTCGTAATTCTCTCCAATTCATGTTGTGCTAGAATTTAATTCAAGCTGTTCTATAAAATGGCTAGTAAATAGATAGGAATACATAATGTGAACCCCCAAATATATTTCTTCCTCTGGCTTTTGGAGAATAATGTAAAACCACAACACTTATCCAGGGCGAATACTCTATTTAGCCAAACTTGTCATAGTTGCATGGAAGCCAGTCTAATGGACTTGGGCTATGCTCTTCTTGGGTGTTTAAAAATAAACCTTTATCTCCTTAGTTTGTAAAACTTTATCTGGTCTGTCACCGCAGGCATCCGTTTCCTCCGTTCTGCAGATGAATTTGTTTGGTTCATATAGTCAGCTGTGCATCTTGCACATTACGCTATCTTAAGTTTACATTCTTAAGTGAAGGAAACATTATTTGTTTAAAGGTTTGTAAAAATGTGAGCTGCCTGTCACATCCTGAGTTTCATATGGGTTCCTTGCTCTCTTCCATTTTTCTGTTCCCTCCTGTGTTTTTTCCCTGTTTTTAAATAGCCAGAATCGCAGCGCTCAGATGGAAACCTTCCTTACAGTTTTTGGCATTATGGATGGCAGAAACTTTTCAGCGCAAGCTGTGAGCCTTCAGGGCACACATTTAAGCATGTCAAAGCTACAGGTTGTTGCTTTTGTTGCCTCTTCTCTGCTCCAGATACAACCTGCTCAAGCAATGATTCAACTTGCTATGCACGCACTTTTAGATACCCTTTAACTTCCCATTTGTTCACTTCCCGGTGCTAATTCTTGCTGTTCTCTAGGTCCAGCAGAGCTTAGAGAAGATTACAAAACTGGAGCAGGAGAAAGAACACTGGATGCTGGAGGCCCAGCTGGCCAAAATTAGGTTGGAGAAGGAAAACAAAAGAGTAAGCGATAAGCTCAGAAACTCTGTGGGCAACCAGAGGATTGAGGCACCCCAGGAAAGCCTCTTCACACTGAATGCAGATGAACAGGAGAAGGAGGATGCTGCAGAGAAGGCTTTGAGGGAACCAGTTCAAACTGCAAGTCTCGTAAGTGCACCTTACTCCCAGTGATGTGGGTTGGAAATTGGGCAACTGGAATGACTACAATACTAGCTAAATCTAAAATTAACATTGTAATTAACATTTTTCAGGCGAGTGACCCTAGAAACCACATATATATTCTTGTACACAGCTCTCATGGCCTTCATTCTCCTCAAAAAAGTCACCCCAAACCCTGGATAATGTAATGGGAGTGAATATAATTGAATTCTCAGGTCCTAAAGTGTTTACAAGTATAAATGAGGAACTCCAGTTTAATGTGCTGAATGTGGTGCATGGAAGGCAGGGGTGGGAGGGAAGCAAGTAGCCACAAGGTTCATCCACGATGCCTTGAACAAAACGCCTAAATGTGGCCAACGTGTCTTGATTTTATCTCACATTTGTTTTCCTCTTTTCCATTGAAAAGCTCAGCACAACATGAATGAAGTAACACCATTTTATTCTAGACTGAGAAATATCCACTTGCCCAAGGTCACCAAGTGAGCTTCATGGCAGGGATTCAGATCCCAGGTGTCCCTTTGTGATACCACACTGGTTCTGTTACTTTGGACGGTGTTCAAAATGGTTTTTTTTCTGTCCAGAGTTTGATGTTTTCAGGACTTCATTAGGGTAAATTCCATCCCGGTCCCCTATCTTGAAAACCTTCATTTCACCTTGGTAAAGCTTTCATGCAGCAGCAGAGCTAAACTTTTTGGTGCTAAGGTGTGGGATTTGTGATCTTGCCCATATCAATCAATCAATCAATCAATCAATCAATCAATCAGTCAATGTTTATTATGGCAAACAGCCAGCTTACCCATGTCAAATACCTGGTAATCTGATATATTAAACCTAAGTAATGTTACATAGGCCTTAGAGTTGGAAATTATGCATGTTGACATTTCTGAGTGTCTTTTAGGATTCCGTGTTTGTTTGGAACTGACACACTTGCAAGCTGATCCCACTGAATAGTTTTTCATTTTTATTGGGGGGAAACACCATGGGCAAAGTTTAAGTTGCCCATGTTGAAGCCCTATTGATTCAAGTGAGGAAAGGGGGAGCATATACTTATCTTTCATAGTAAGATTAGTGCAGCTTAATAAAAGTAATTACCTTTTTCAAACTTTGGAGCAAAAGCCAGTTAAACTTACTTTGGAGCCATTGAAACCAACTTCATTTAAATGAACTTTTGAATCAGAAAATGAATGTACTACTTTGAGCTGATTCTGTCATCCTAATATTTTTCTAGGTCGGGATGTTGATAACCACTGAAAATGAAGAGGTATGTTTTTTAATATGACAGAGTCGTGCTGGCATAATTTTACAACTGTGTGCTCCTGGTCAAAACACTGTAATGTAAAAATATCCCTCTGGGATGGGGCCTTCCAGATCTTGGACTTCCAGCTCTTGTCAGGTTTAGCCAGCATTGTCAATGAATAGCAAGTGATGGGAGTTGTAGTCCAACAAGATATGCAGAGCCAAAGATTCCCTGTCTCTGATGTAGCTGCTGTTCAGTTTACTTTGTCAGATGAACTGTACCCTTTCCCACCATTTCTTTGGTCTTAATCTTCCTTGCTTCTTGACATTTTGGTGCAGAATTCCACTTATCTGGGGCAGTGGCAATTACATTACTGCAATCTACACTGGTCCTTTCCCCGCACCCCATCCCTCATTTTGAGCTCACTTAGGCACAAAATGAAAACCTTGTTGTTTACCCAAGTCTTTGAAATGTAATCAGCATTCTTTCTGGCGCTGCTGCTTCATATATGATGTTGTTAATGTCCTCTTGTTGTGCTGCCATTGGGAGAAAAGGCAGGATATATGTACGAGGAAATGAATAAATACATTTTATGACATTTCCTATTCTGCCAGGAGCTTATCTTGCTGTGATTATGGAAACATGTGATACTCCAGGAAATGGTGGAGTGCAGTTTGACAGCAATGTTGTTGACTGTCCCAGTTATCAATAGGAGAACTTGCCCCATCTCTCCCCTCGCCACGACCAACTGCTGATGGATTAGAGCAGTCTCCATCTAATCTGGTATCCATGTTATAACAATGGCCAGACAGATATCACTGGCAAAGCATGCAGATAATGACCTTCTTGTGTTTGCTTCCTGCATCTAGTACTAAGATGCGTGCTGCCTCTGCACATGAATCGTAATAGCTAATAACTATTCTTATGTTACCCTTTGTAGGCCCCAGAAGCCGACACCCGGGAAGACTTGATAAAGAACCATTACATGGCAAGAATAGTGGAGCTTACATCTCAGTTGCAGCTGGCTGACAGCAAGTCTGTACATTTCCATGCAGAGGTGAGTGCGCGAGTACTTTCCTACTTTGAAAATGCAAACTTCGTCTTACAGTGAAGGTTCCCTTTTTGCACTGGAGGATATGATAAGTGACTTCATTCCACCATCTGCGGCTGCAGGGCTTTTTGAAGCTTCAGCTTTTACAAGCAGGCAGTCCCCTCTTAGTTTTGGAAATACAGTGGTACCTCGGGTTAAGTACTTAATTGGTTCCGGAGGTCCGTTCTTAACCTGAAACTGTTCTGAAGCACCACTTTAGCTAATGGGGCCTCCTGCTGCTGCAGCGCCGCCGGAGCATGATTTCTGTTCTCATCCTGAAGCAAAGTTCTTAACACCTGAGGTACTATTTCTGGGTTAGCAGAGTCTGTAACCTGAAGCGTATGTCACCTAAAGCGTATGTAACCCGAGGTACCACTGTACTACAGTGAATGAAGATACAGTGGACGCTCAGGTTGCGAACGTGATCCGTGCAGGATGCACGTTCGCAACCTGCAGCGTTCGCAACCTGCAGCGGTGCGTCTGTGCATGCGCGGGTTGTGATTTGGCACTTCTGCACATGTGCAAAGCGCCATTTAGCACTTCTGCGCATGCGTGACCGCCGAAACTCGGAAGTAACCTGTTCCAGTACTTCCGGGTTTCAGTGGTCCATAACCTGAAAAAACACAACCTGAAGCGTCTGTAACCCGAGGTACGACTGTATTGCGGCTCAGTCAATAATGTGATCTGTAATCTTACTGAGGAACGGCTGCAGCCTAGTCATAGAGCTCACTTGCTTTGCGTGCGGAAGGTCCAAAGTTCAGTCCATCCAGCAGCTCCAGCTAGAGCTGGGAGTAGACCCTGCTTGAAATCCTGAAGAGCCACTGGGCTAGATGGACCAGGTGTTTGGAGAAAACAGTTCAGACATAAATTTGCCGTGTGGCCTTGAGGAGCGCTGAGTCCCATATGTAAAATGGGGGAAACAACCTACCTCACCGGGCTGATGTGATGAATGAGTGAAGGGCAGTAAAGCCCCCACTGTATGAGTGAAGGTGCTATTGATTTTTAAATAATAATTGTCCGCATAAAAGACGGCCTAAATAAACTAACATGGCTTATTTGTGTGTGTTGGCAGTGCCGGGCACTTGCAAAGCGTCTCGCTCTGACTGAGAAATCTAAAGAATCATCACTGGAAGAGGTGAGACAGGCTAGACAGAGCATCACCAGGTTGCAGGTAAGTTTGTTTAACCACATGGCTCTGTGTGTGCATTAGAGTTGTGCATGGCCGCCTTGATCTGGGGCCTGAACCAACCTGGAACAACCTAGGACTCAACAGATCTGGGCCTTGAACTGAATCCCTGGAGATTTCACAGTGTTTTATTAGACTTTTAAGAGCCTGACTAAATATATGGAAGGATGGGGTGAGGAGACACAGGCCTATGCATCTCCTTCTCCTCCCCCTTACTCTCTGCTTGAATTAACCCCTTTTGACAGTCCTGGATCACTCTGGGTGGACCTGATCCAGTCTGGGTCTGCCTCAACCCACTCCGGCATAATTGTGGGTTAACCCAAAGCTGCCTGGTTCAGAATCCAGGATTCGGCCAGAGCGGTTAGCTCTAGTGTGTACAATGGTACCTTGGTTTTCAGACTTTATCCGTTCCGGAAGTCTTTTCCAAAGCGTTCCAGAACCAAGGCACCCTTTCCCATAGAAAGCAATGCAAAATGGATTAATCCATTCCAGACTTTTAAAAACAACCCCTGAAACAGCAATTCAACACAAATTTTACTAATGAGACCATTGATCCATAAAATGAAAGCAATAAACAATGTACTACAGTCACACAATCAATCAATCAGTAGCTGAACTGGGTTCCACACTCACAAAAACAAAACAAAAAAAGCTGCAAAAACAAAAACAAAATAAATTGCAAAAACAGACCTCAGCGCAACACTCAAAACGGAAGAGTGGCACTCAAGTCGAAGTATACCACTCAAAACAGAGCACATTCGGCTTCCAAAAAAGGTTCGCAAACGAAGTTCCAAGTTGTTGGAGAACCAAGGCATTTGAGAACCAAGGCACCACTGTATATATTACGAGAACCTGTGAGCAAATTTACGTGGACCCTGCCCGCCACACCCACACCAAAATGTTGCAGAATAGTTATTTTCTATGCCCACTAGAATGGTTCCAAGCATTAAAAGAGCCAACTCAGTTAAAGGTCAAGGTGTCCTTTTGGATATGGCAAAAGGATATCTCTGATGACCTCCATTCTGCAGTATACTTCAGAGTTCTCCTTGGAAGAAACTTCCTAACTAGGTCTGAGTAAACCGCTATTAACTTTTATTTTGCACTATTCTTGTATTTATACTTGTTTATTTACAAATGTATTTGTGGAAGTTGTGGGATATAAATAAACCGACGATGTCTGTGACCTTTCAGGATGAATTGACGACGACCAAGAGAAGTTATGAGGATCAGTTAAGCATGATGAGCGACCACCTCTGCAGTATGAACGAAACCTTATCCAAACAACGGGAGGAAATAGATACACTAAAGCTGGCTAGTAAGGTAAGTAATCTTGTTGCGTGGGCTGCAGGCCAGGTTTCCTGCAAGTTGCTAGTATTTCCTATCCTTTCTTGGTCACTTAGGATAGTACACTTATACACACACACACACACATATTCCTGGAGTGTGTGCAGGGGCCATGCCAATCTTGTTTTTACATTTTTGGAATAATGTAAATGTAAACGATGATATTTTTCCTTTTATTCTATTCTTTTCTTGCGCTATGCTGCCTCTTTTCTCCCTCATATGCCATTTTCCCTTTCCTCACTCCTTGTTTTCTTTTTTCCTGACAAGCAAACGGTCTTGGCTATAAAGTATAATAATATATTTTTAAAAATAATTACTGGGTGTGTCGGATGTTGGGCTATGTCATCTGAAGGATTGCTTCAGTTTCCAAAAGCAACAAATGGGAGATTATATCAGATGGGTTTCTGAATCAATGAAGCCATATACAACAAATGTCTTCTTCTTTTTTTTTAGTTTGAGTTCATAGCTTCTTTCAAGCACGCTTGTCAATTTCTGGTATAATATCACACTAAGAGCTACATGCTGCCTAATTAACTAAATCCCTCTTTAGAGAAGGGCTGGGGAGAGAAGAACAAAGTGTGAGCTCTTCGTTGGTGGACTCAGGAAAATACTCCTCCTGATTCTCTGTCCATCTCTGCTGTTGCTTAATATCTAGCTGTGTCCAAAGTGTTGTACAGAAATTGAAGGTCCCCTACTCAGAAGCCATACAGTTTTTATTAGAAGACAAGGCAGTGATTGTGGGGGGACAGGTTAAGAAATGATATCTATGATAAAGAATAAAAAGAGGATGAATGGTAAAGAAGTTGCTGGACCTTGAGAATTCACATGAGTACCAAGAGGGAAGTAGCTTGGCAAATAAGGGAGGCTGATCAAACCATGTAGTATAGGAGATGGAGAAGTTGAGAACTGGAGCTGGCAGTGGAAGAGGGCTGAATGAGAAATGTGTAGACCCTTTGGATCTTGAAATATGGGTCCCCCCAACAAAATTTAAAATTCGGCTTTGTAATTCGGAATTTATGTGATATGATTTAATTTGATGTGATTGGCCAGTTAATAAAAAATATTTTTTTTAAAAAAGAGAGAAATGCATAGATAAAGGGCCTTGATTGAGTATTGCAGTTGTGAGTCACAGCATTTGGGCAGAGGCCTCAGTTAGGCAGACTGTACAAGGGCAAATAGGCCAATGGTCTGGCCTGGTATGGCAGCTTTATATGTTCATGTGGATTTACAATGGGACACAAATAGGGAAACGTTCACGCAATCCAGTTAGTGGGAATTCTAATTGTCCTGTCCGCTTTTTGTCTTTTCCCGTCCTTCATTTAGATTCTGACAACCAGTTTTCCTACCATGTAGTGGCTTTTTGCAGCAAGATATACACACAACTGGAACTAAGTGCGGAATGAGATGGCACAGCCCAATATGGATTTTGCTGGTTTTGAGTTTACCCTTCTGCAGACAGAGGGCCATAGGGACATAGGAAGCTGCCTTATATTGAGTCAGGCCTTTGGTCCATCTCGCTCTGACTTGGTAGAGGTTCTCCAGGATTTCAGGCAGGGTTTTCCTGGCCCTACCCTGGGGTGCTGGGCACTGAACTTGGGGCCTTCTGCTCGCCCAGCAGATGCTCTGCCGCTGAGCTATGGCCCTTCTTATGGCCTTTTGATACAGAAGTCACATGTTGATACTTTGCAGTACAGCCTTGGGGCATGTGCACTTTCCTCACCCAGCCTATGTGCCCTATTGTTGTTGTTGTTGTTGTTTAGTCATTTAGTCGTGTCCAACTCTTCATGACCCCATGGACCAGAGCACACCAGGCACTCCTGTCTTCCACTGCCTCCCACAGTTTGGTCAGACTCATGTTTGTAGCTTCGAGAACACTGTCCAACCATCTCGTCCTCTGTCGCCCCTTCTCCTTGTGCCCTCAATCTTCCCCAACATCAGGGTCTTTTCCAGGAAGTCTTCTCTTCTCATGAGGTGGCCAAAGTATTGGAGCCTCAGCTTCACGATCTGTCCTTCCAGTGAGCACTCAGGGCTGATTTCCTTAAGAATGGATGTGTTTGATCTTCTTGCAGTCCATGGGACTCTCAAGACTCTCCTCCAGCACCATAATTCAAAAGCATCAATTCTTCGGCGATCAGCCTTCTTTATGGTCCAGCTCTCACTTCCATACTTCACTATCGGGAAAACCATGGCTTTAACTATACGGACCTTTGTTGGCAAGGTGATGTCTCTGCTTTTTAAGATGCTGTCTAGGTTTGCCATCGCCTTTGCCCCAAGGAGCAGGCGTCTTTTAATTTTGTGACTGCTGTCACCATCTGCAGTGATCATGGAGCCCAAGAAAGTAAAATCTCTCATTGCCTCCATTTCTTCCCCTTCTATTTGCCAGGAGGTGATGGGCCCTATTAGGAAGGAGCAGTTTAGTATTAGTAGTAGTTCGTACAGGCTATGTAAAGTATAGTGTTTTTGCACCTGCATGCGCTAACAGTATTTCTGCTTGATGCTTCTGTTTAGTATCAGCACTGTTCTGGATGCCACTTAGAATGCAGCAGTGATATGGTAGTGGAGGAGACTTAGTCAGAGACTACCCCCTCAGTCTCCAAAGGCGAGTGGAAAGGATGAGAGTTTGGTTTTGGGTTTTGTTTTGTTTTTTTTAAAGGGGTTTTAAAAACACATTTATAGGCTGCCCTTTTCCAAGTACTTGATACAGTATTGCCAGAGGTTATGGCAATAGGATGGGAATTGATGCTAGAGGGTATGGAACAGGCTTTTCAGGGTCAGGAGAAGCTTTCCAGATGAAGTAATTCTGAAAGAAGCAAAAGAAATGTCTTAATGGACGGGAGGCTGTTCTAGCCCACACATGACTCCTCCTGAAATGCTGAAGCCTTGTTGATGACGGGCAGGAAGCTTGTTGCGTAGAGCAATCAATTCATGAGTCATGAGTTTTTACATGGAGTGGAGGGGGAGAGAGACAGACTGTTGTTAAAAGACCTTGCCCTTGGCTAGCACACTTGGTTGGAGAGCACTCAGAAACAAATTGCAGGCTGATCAGTGGGAAATCAGATTCCTGGGGGAAGAAGCAATGGGTGAGCCTATACAGGAAAAGTTTGAGCCCCATACATAGAAACAAGACACAGGAGCATGCCTTAATATTGCCTACACAGACTGGCAGCAGCTCTCCAGGGTTTTAGGCGGGAGTCTCTCTCAGGCCTAGCTAGAGATACTGGGGATTGAACCTGGGACCTTCTGCAAGCAAAACATAAGCTCTGCTACCGAGCTACAGCCCTTCCCTTGGGGAACACCAACAGAGGTCCCCCTCCCCACAAATCTCAGTGATTGGGCTGGGATATAAGGACTCAGATACTCTGGACCCAAGTAGTGAAGCACCTTGTAAATGAATACAAAAATCTTAGACCTGGCCTGATAACAAATGGCCAGCGAGTGCCTATTTTTATTTATGCATTACCTACATGGTAGAATGGGACGCGGCTGGAGCTGAGGTCTAAACCGCAGAGCCCACGGCTTGCCGATCGGAAGGTCGGTGGTTCAAATCCCCGCGACGGGGTGAGCTCCCGTTGTTCGGTCCCTGCTCCTGCCAACCTAGCAGTTCGAAAGCATGTCAAAGTGCAAGTAGATAAATAGGTACCGCTCCGGCGGGAAGGTAAACGGCGTTTCCGTGTGCTGCTCTGGTTCGCCAGAAGCAGCTTAGTTATTCTGGCCAAATGACCCGGAAGCTGTATGCCGGCTCCCTCGGCCAATAAAGCGAGATGAGCGCCGCAACGCCAGAGTCGGTCACGACTGGACCTAATGGTCAGGGGTCCCTTTACCTTTTTACATGGTAGAATGGGAAGCGGGTGGCGCTGAGGTCTAAACTACAGAATCTAGGGCTTGCCGATCGGAAGGTCAGCGGTTCAAATCCCTGCAATGGGGTGAGCTCCCGTTGTTCGGTCCCAGCTCCTGCCAACCTAGCAGTTCGAAAGCATGTCAAAGTGCAAGTAGATAAATAGGTACCGCTCTGGCGGGAAGGTAAATGGCGTTTCCGTGCACTGCTCTGGTTTGCCAGAAGCGGCTTAGTCATGCTGGCCACATGACCCGGAAGCTGTACGCCAGCTCCCTCGGCCAGTAAAGTGAGATGAGCGCCTCTACCCCAGAGTCGTCCACAACTGGACCTAATGGTCAGAGGTCCCTTTATTTTTTTACATGGTAGAATAATCACTTTCCAGCTTCAATCCCCTCCACGAACATCGCCTCTGTTCCATGAAATCTTTGTCTTTACCCCTGTAATGCCCCCACCCCAAAACTGAAATGCAGCCAAAGTACTGTAAACTAAGGGCAGACAGAAATTAGAGGAGAGAATCAGCTGGTAGATCTCTGGGCATTTGCAGTAGATCGGAAAGAGTTTCTTGACTACAAGAAAGCATTCTATATTAGTTTCCCTTCTCTGATCTGTTGTAACTCAGATTTGTTCATCCGTGTGTTTGTTATCATCCCAGTTTATGGCTCATGGGATGCAGGATGTGATTGGCTTTGCCCCCTGAACCAACATATTTTACCTTACTGCAACCCCTATGTTTACCATTTTTCACATGACTACTATTGAAGGACCCTAGGGTTCTATTAAGTGTAGTGTTAAACAGATCGTTCTATCAGTGCAGGTACCCTTGATTGTCTTATCCTGCATGAGGCTTGGTTAGAAGCCTTTTCTTCTTGTTGAAACTGACATTTTTCCCATAAAGAGATAAGAGTCTGTTTTACTAGAATTTCACCAATGTGTGCACAAAACACAATGTACAATGTGTACAATGTACAAAGCAGGAGTCCATACTAAGGGTCTCTAAAATACTAATGTCCAACTCATCTGTGATGCATGATCCTTTTTGTAAACCACTTTGATATTTTTTAAAATCAAATGGTATATTAAATAGAAGTATGAATGAATGAATGAATGAATGCACGCACTGCATGCAGGTGCTGTTGGATCAGGCCAGGGAATTATTTGCAGGAACCCCAGTGACCCACAAGCATTAGGCAATCTCCTAGAAACAAGTATTTTGAAATTCTTAGAAAATATAATAAATGGAATGGCCCCTTCTTTTCTCAGAATGGCCTACAATCCAGCAGAGGGTTCTGGTTGGTGGAAGTGTGTGTGCGACAGTTTGTAATATTTCCCCCCCGCCCAGTTCCCAATCCCTTTGTAGTACCTCCTTTGACAGTTTCAGAGCGTTTCCCAACTTTTGGGTGGAGCAGCACACGGAGTTTCAGGGGAAGAGTAAAATTCTGCTGCTCACAGGATGCTCCCTTCATTGGAAGAGAACTCAGGATCTAAGTCTCTAGTGTGGGGCATTGGCATTTTAGTTGTTACTTTGAGGGACATATTTACAGTAATGTGATCCACCTTCAGTCCTAGGGATATCTGTTGTTTTTTTACAGATTAATAGAAAAATGGGAAAGATCTCTGCTTGGCCCTGAAGAGCTGCTGTCAGTAAGGCTACTAGGCAGAAGTGTGCCAGATGGACAAATTGCCTGACCGCAACAGGCAGCACCCTATGTTCTGCTGATCTCCTGTGTTCTCTTTTTGATCTAGGGAAATTCCAAGAAGAACAAAAATCGATAGTATTGGTCGTCCAACTGACCTTTGGATGTTGCTGATGCACAGAAACACAGATGCCGAAACTGATGTTCAGCTGGCAAAATGCCTCTTGGACTGGACATGGCTGCAGTGGTGGGATTACCAGTGTTTGATTTGCTGTTGCATTTGGATTTGAGACAGCACCAGATTTGGTTGCCAGTGTAATGCAAACTGGACTTGGCGTGTTCAGTAGAGCAGATGGGGAAAATAGGCACTCCATGGATAACTTGCATAGGAATGAACCATAACTTTTTACCATACCACTTTGTAACTGCTTTTAGTTTCCTTGTACAAACTTCCCAGATTTTGTATATTTGAGTGCATATGGAGATGAACAAATCTGACACCAGTGTGGTACTTGTCTCTTTCTGCCTAAGAGGTTGTCATTCCTACCCGTCCATTCCTTTCTGTGAATTAAAAGAAAAAGCCCAGAGCTATCAGTGTTTTTCAGTGATGTCCACCTGTGCAGTTATTGTAAAAAAAAATACTACTGATTCCGGTCTTCTCTTCTAGACTAGCTTAGATTGCCTTAGAGAGGCAATCTCAGTACATTTATATTGAAGCATTCAATGCGGCTGTGACTATTCATATTAACTGTAATGAACTATTAAAAGTGTACAGTAGTGGTCCTTTTTTAAAAAAATCAAGTGCAGAAAGTGGGCCAAAGAAGGTGTTCTTGAATCGTGCTGAAGGGTGATATTTTGTCTGTTTCTGTTTGTCACTTTTCTCATAAGCCGGTGATAGAGAAATGACTGTCCACAGCTGGAGGAAGATGTGAGAAAAACAAACAGTGCTGACAAGTGGCTTCTTGCAAAGACCTTTCATTTCAATAGGAGTGGGACAGTACGCATGATGGGCCATCACTATTTCTGTTTCAAACGCAGCTTGTTGCATTGAAGCAGGCTAAGAAATCACTGAATCAGCAAAGCTGTGCAGAGAAGAGCTGGTTCAAATACTGATGTAAACCTTCACGTGGGTCTGTGGTGCTGTTCTTTTGGAGCCTGCCTGCCTTCCCCATCTGCAACCACATAGTAACTTGCCCGTTTTTAAAACTTCCTTTTTCCTCTTGAGGGGTGGGGTGGAGATTCTTTTGCACGCTCACCCAAGTTTCACATTACAACTTCCATGTGGCAACGTAGGCTCTTAATCCCTGAAATGCAGCAATGCCTTGCTGCTTGAAGCTTACCTTGGCACTTTCAAAGTCTGAGCCAGTCCCTTGCTGAAGATTGTTCTGTGGCATTTTGGAATCGCCCAAATGACGTCTTGGTGTTCTAAAAATTTATTCCCATTCCAAGTTTTCTTCCTTGGGAAGATTTTTTACACTAACCTGAGGTCTTTTCAACACAGTATTCCATGGGAGTTCCTCGCCATTCACAAGAAACTCCACTACTGAATATTTCACAATGAACTACTTCTGTAGCCCCGTAAGAGATAGTAGCTGTCCTATGTTCAAGGGTTACTTCATTGTATCAACCATGTCAATGTGTATTACGAGCATAGAATAAATATACTGCCATGTTAAAACTTTCGCTGTCAGACTTTTATGTTTGTGTGCTCCTGCGTTAGATGTGGTTTTGAGCAAAACTGCCTTTGGACATGTCCGTGTGTCCTGACTTTTAATGGTTTTTAAGATTTTTAGCTGCAGTGTTTAAGATAATACTGTATGACTAAGCACTGGTTAGTGGGAGGATGGAAGATTGAATGTTGAAAGGCAGTGTGCTTTGAAAAAGATTACTGCACTCAATGGTTAATTTTAAACGACTGCTTTTAAAGGCAGAATCCAGTCTCAAACCACGCAAAAGCATAAAGGTGTTGCATGTAAGAAAATTACTGTATTTTTTGCTCTATAAGACTCACTTTTTCTCTCCTAAAAAGTAAGGGGAAATGTGTGTGCGTCTTATGGAGCGAATGCAGGCTGCGCAGCTATCACAGAAGCCAGAACAGCAAGAGGGATTGCTGCTTTCACTGCGCAGTGATCCCTCTTGCTGTTCTGGCTCCTGAGATTCAGATTTTTTTTTCTTGTTTTCCTCCTCCAAAAACTAGGTGCGTCTTGTGGTCTGGTGCGTCTTATAGAGCGAAAAATACGGTAATTAGATTTATTTGATTTCAAAAGTGATTGAAAATACAAGCTACTGTAAGGTAATGATAGTTTTACAACTGACACTCCAAGTTATGTAACTGGTCACATTACATTTCTAATTCCTCATCATCTCATCTCTGCTCAGAGATCAAGATAGGACAGAGCTAAAAGAAAACTTTGGTAGAGAATTCATGAAGAGTGCATTATGTATGGATTTATTTAGTTTTGGATATATGCTGATCTACATCAGAAAAGGAAGTGGTAGGCTCTCTGTAGAATTGGAATGTTTCCAGGGTCAGCTGGTGGTTTTTGAAGGGGGACAGACCAGATGTCGGCAGCAGCTTCATCTCTGGCAGGTCCTCCACCTCTCCTTGTCCATCACTCTCCAGGTGGCACTTGTAAAAAGTACGGACCATTTGGGCAGCATGATGTTAAGTCATCATCAGAATCTGCAATGTTGGGACCTCTTTCATTTCCTGTCACATACCTGTTTCCCCCAATTTCTAGTTCAGCTTTTTTTCTGAGTTATGGTGTCCAAACCCTGGAACACAGCTCTTTATATAGCAAAGTGCTGCAGTTGGCTGCAAAAATTTGCAAAATTCCATGCAGGTATAGGTTTCTTTTTTCCCTTTTTTTTAGAGGCACACACTTACAGGGCGCCGCCTCCTGTCCCTGCCTTGGCTGACAAGTGATATACAAATGCATTGGATAAGTAAGGAGTGCTAGGTTATTTTTTGCTGGATTTCTTCTATGTCTAGCCAGAGCTATCAAGTTGATAAGGAATGAATTAAGTCATGCAATCTTAACAAACAGTAGCAATGAAGCAACAGTTCTAATAAGAGCCCATCTCATGTTTGCAGCACACAAGCAAGCCGTTCTACATCTTCCGCTGCTGCATGCCCTTGTTGACACGCACACATTCTCTTACATGGGCACACCAAAAGCTCTTGCATATATTTGTGTTTATGCAAATAGATGTGCAGTGGGCAGTAGTGTAAAGGAGACCTGTGTGAAATGAGGCCAAAAGTTTCAGGTCACTCGCCCCTCTTGGTGAAAGGACTAAAGGCCTTTAAAGTGAAAGGAAGATTCAAGGAAAGGGGTATTCCCCCTTGTTGTCGTGGTCTGCAGCCTCTGTCTAACAACGTCCTTATGCCAGGTTGTGGGGTTTTTTTTCCAGCCTGAGAGCTGCATTCCTTTCAAGGGAAAATGTGCAGGGGCCACACACCAGTTGTCAATGTGGTCAGAGGCAAAAGTAGCCACTAAGAAGTGCTAGGTGGAAGAAAATAGGGGTGGGTGTAAAAGAAGGTCTTGGTGCTCATTGGAGAATGCTGCCAGTCAGTGCAGATAATACAGAGTTAGATGGACCAATTGCCTGACTTGAGATGTCCCTTGTTTTAGTTTCTAACTTTTTAAAGCTGCAACATACGTGAATACACACTTTTCTTGCTTATTCATTATTGAAAGCGCTTTGGTTTTTTTAAAAAAGATATTTATTGAGATTTTCAGAATGTTACAAAAAATTAAAAAAATAAAATAGAAGCAGAAGAGAATACAAAGAATAAAAATAGTTATAAGAAAAAATTCCAAATGAGAAAAAAAAGGACAGGAAAAAAGAAAAAAAGAAGAATGCAAAAATCACAAAACTTTAAAAACATTTAAAAACAAATTCATTATTTTCAAATCCTTAACTGTCATTACCTTCTTTCTTAGACCTCCTCCTCCTCCCTTTCTTTGTATCCTAGTTATTAATTATCCCAGCAAATCCTTGACCTTATCTTTCTATAATAAAATAAACCTTAACACTTAAAACTTAAATCTTATCCTTACCAACTTCTCATAATCATAATATTCTTTCATAATTCTTTAAACATCTTTGCTAAAGCCAAGTATTTTCATTCCAACATTTTCCTATCATTCATCAATTTTATAAAACAGTTCTAATAGTAGAAAAAAGAGGTATAAACAGATCCAATCTTCATCCAGCGTCCCTTCCTCCTGGTTCCGGGTTTTGTCAGTCCTTATTCCCGTCAATCTAGCCCATTAACCTGGCAACCTTATGTCCGAGGCCCTCAAGTCTCTTCCATGACCCTTCCGTGGCTCTTCTTCATATTTGTAACTGTATTTTCCCTTGTCTCTTGCTCGTGGTAACTCCAGCTTGACAATGTTTTTAATCCTTCTCAACAGATCAGCCCCTTTTCCATGTTCAACAATGAATTCCATGTAGTATTTAAAAGCATGTTTCAAAGGCCCTCCAAAATTGAGAGCCCCCACAGTCCCAAACATCTCACGGCCCGTTGCCATATTTGAAAAGTCCAAACATCCCAGCATAGGGGGGTCAATCCAGCCCCCCATTTCCAAACCAAGCCAAACTTTTCCTTTCCAGATATGGCTTTTTCCAAGTTCATTTGTCAAATCCAAAAATCATATTCCTGTTGGGCCTGTTCTGTCAAAACACACTCCTGATTTAATGTCAAAAACTCCTGTTCTGTCAAGACACACTCCTGATTTAAATCCTGAGTGGGCTCCACATATTTTCCCACTGTCTGTTCAAAGTTTCCCACTGCCTGTTCAAAATTTCTAGTCGAAGTCGCCATCCAATTCACCTTCTCGTGTAATTGTTCCAGTAGATCGTTTGTTTTATAGAGAGCATACAACAAGGCTTCTGAATACATTGTCCCACAAGGTCAGATACTTGTTCCCACGGTTGTAATCTGTAACAGCTGTCGACTCCCTGGAGTTAGTTACAGTTTCACAGTTACAATTTCACAGACTCCCCCTAGGGGGAAGACTTCTATTTATTCTTGCAACAAAGTTTCCTTTTTAAGATACTTTGTCCATATATAATCCTTTAAAATGCGAAAGGGAACAGTGGAATCACTAGGTTTCTCTTCTTTTAGCCATCTGTCAAAAACACTTGTCTTTGGTTAATGAACTTCACACGTCAGTCCTGACAGCCCGCTCCAGGATCAGGACGGAGGAAAGTTACTTCACTTTAAAGTCACTTTAAACAGTCCAAAAAGATCCCCCCCTTCTCCTGGTGTCGAAGGGGGGTTCCACAATTTTAAATGGTGAAATCCAATCTTTTAAAAGCGATTTTCTGAGCTCTAGTTTAAGTTGCCTTTGCTTTATTCTGTTTACAAAAGAACGGAAGGATGACTTCCTGTTTAGACCTTCCCGTTCCGTACCAAATTCAAGTAAATTTTTAAAGTCCGATTCTTTTCTACTCGCAAGTCCTTATTTGATGTCCAATTGTTCAAAGTCTAAGTACTCACGGGTGCTTATTTTAAAGTCCAAATTGTCCCAGGAAAAAGGCAGCGCTCTCCGGCAACAGCTATGCGGCTTCGCTCCACGGAAATAGCAGTTGACTCACAGCACCGCGCCACTCCCCCTCTTCACTTCGGAGCCCGTTAGTGGGTTCCTTAGCAGGTTGGGGGGGCGCTAAAGGTGCCCGCCGAGTCCCATGGTCACAGGCTTCATCCGCCTGTGATTTTTAAGTGGGTCCCCGCTTCGCCGTAGCGGAGAAGACCCGTTTTCCACGGAGCTAGTCCCTCCAGTTCAGAGGGAGTCCGCCATTGCCGGTGGCGCCACCCCGGAAGTCACTATTATTGAAAGCGCTTTGTGATTCTTGAGATTAACTGATCAGAAACAGAGTAATTGTGCTTGAACTTTATAGCTTGAAGTCATGATAAATACTGTGTGTGAAAGATGGAAATTAGGATGGAATTGTGCAGAGGGCAATTAACTGACCTTGAGCCTTGACAGTGTCCAAATTTTCTACCATTCTCTGTCACACACATGTATTGATGTATACTGACCATTGTTGGTACAATCCAATGTGTCTGATGTTGGTTAGCAATTCTGGAATTATTTAAGCCACCACACATGGATTTTAAACAACTTGAATGCTACTTAGATTAAAGACCTAGGCTTGCTGGAATGACCCCTTTTCCCCTTCATATACTCCTCTTGTGTACCTCTTGTGTACTGTACTGGGAGAAAATCTGAGCCCTAAATTGTTTCCTAATCCATTTAGTTTAGCATTAGTGTTTCTTCTTTCTCTGTTGTGAAACTGCTGTTGTCAAATTGGCTGCCCTGCAACTGCTCAGAACTGTTTGTGCTCCTCTTATCTGGGCCAGTAGAGGCAAAGTGGCTGAGAATTCTTCAGCTGTGTGCTTGGAATGTTATTAGAAATCTGTTGTTTGTCTAGAAAATAGCTTGGAATTGGGAAGTAAGAAATGGGTGCTTGCAGAATGGTTTGTGCTTGCTGATTTTATTGTGAAATGATTATGGCCAAGGTCTGCAAGCCTTAAGGGTAGATTAATCAACAAAACAATCAGTTGATGAATCATTAAGATGTACACTAAATGATGAAAGCCTAAAGACATATTTCAGGACTGGCCCCGCTATTGGGCAGACGGCCACCTCAGGTGACAAAGCTGGGGATAGGGGGCAGGGCAGGCAGGGAGTAGCAGCCACACAGCCTACCCTGTGTCTCCTTAAGTTAGCCAGCTGCCCTCCTGTACAGTAGAGGAAGATGTCTCATTGCAACTATTGATACAAGATTCAACTGCCAGTCTCATCAGTTTCTGTATTTTGAACTGGGTGGGGTGTGGAAGCATCTTCTCTCTCACCTCAGATAGGAAAAAATCTTTGTCTACGCCCAGGTACATATGAACATTTCATCTTCTTTAAAGGGGCAATAATATAGACCTCTTAAGTATTTTTATTTTAATATGATTTATAAAGAATATATTTGTGTGTATGTGTGTGTGTGTGTGTGTGAGAGAGAGAGAGAGAGAGAGAGAATATATATGAGTCTTACTGAACCAGGCCAGCGGCTCATCATAGTTCAGGATCCTGTTTTCACAGTGACCAACCGGATTCCCATGAGAAGAAGCCTGTAAGCAGGACTTGAGTGCAACAGCCCTTGTGCTTACAATCAAGTTTCTGTTGTGCCCACTATGTCTCTGCAGTAAGGCCAAGCACTCCAGCTTCCCCAGCTTGGTTCAGATGCATCTAGCATTAGCATATGAACATCTTTATATGGAGTCTCTCTCCAAATATGTCTGGCACATGCATTTTTCAGCTGCACTGGCTCCCGGTGGAGTACAGGATCAGGTTAAGGTGCTGATTTTAACCTTTAAAGCCCTATATGGCCTAGGACCCTCGTACCCACGGGACCACCTCTCCTGGTATGTCCCACGGAGGACCTTACGGTCTTCAAACAAAAACATCTTGGAGGTCCCGGGCCACAGAGAGGTTAGGCTGGCCTCAACCAGAGCCAGGGCTTTTTCAGCTGTGGCCCCGATCTGGTGGAACACTCTGTCACAAGAGACTAGGGCCCTGTGGGACTTGACATCTTTCCGCAGGGCCTGCAAGACAGAGCTGTTCCACCAGGCCTTTGGCCAAGGCACAGTCTGACCGCCTCCTTTGGTAATCCTCATAGAACTCTAGCCCAATGGTTGCCATTAATTTGGAATTGATTTTAGAATGCTGTGTTACTTTTATTGTTGTTAGCCGCTCTGAGCCCAGCTTTGGCTGGGGAGGGCGGGATATAAATAAAAATTTATTATTATTGTTGTTGTTGTTGGCCTCTTTGAATTACTGTGGCTGTGCCACTGCTCTCTCAATGCCTAGTTCTAGCTCTTCCACAACTGAATCATAGAATTGTAGAGTTGGAAGGGACCACAAGGGTCATCTAGTCCAACCTCCTGCGATGGCTAGAATGTTTTGTCCAACATGGGGCTTCAATCCATGGCCCTGAGATTAAGAGTCTTGTGCTCTACTGACTGAGCTATCCCAGGTCATATTCTTAAACATTTTCTGATTCCAAACTAGGGACTCTTCAGCTCCTGTCAACTTCACCTCTGCAATCGGTTTAAAAGATGCTCTACCACATATTTTATTTTAAGCTCCACCTGTCTGATTCCATCCACGTTCAAGTACAGCTCATCATTTTGTACAGGGCCAGCTTGTCCCCAAACATACCCATCTTGCCTAACAAATCCAAACCCCTCATCCCAGCACCACTGTCTTATCCATGCATTGAGGCTCTGCAAGTACAATGGGTGGTGGCATTTCAGAAAAAATGCACATTTGAAGGTCCTGGCTTCAGTACTAATTTTAGCAGCTAAAACTCCAGTATGTAGGAATTCCTTATCAGGCAAGTGGTTGTGAAAAAGGATTGCTATCAATAGAAAGTTTGAAAAAGCAACAACTCCATGGGGTTAGTATGTATGAAATACCCCAAAGTGATTTAACAATAAAACCAGCAATAAATATATATATAAAACAATTTCAAATCCAATAAAAATACAGATTGGGATAAAATTCTCTGGGTAGAAGGCTTGTTGAAAAAGAAAGGTGCTGAAAATACAATAGAGATGGCAGCTCTCTGAGATGTGGGGAGGGGGGTCATTCTAAAGGGCAGGTTCTGCCAGAAAAAGGGCCTGGTTCCTATATCTGACAGAAAAGAGCTCATGAAGAGGCACCTGCAGGAGCACTTCTGCAGCGTGCAGTGATTGGCTGGGTATAAAAGTGATGAAAAGGATCCTTTACGTCAGTACATTAGTACCAATATCTTGAACATAGACCAAGGTCTAAGTAGTCAATCAGTTAGTGGATTTAATGGATCTAATTGTTCAAGTTATTGATCTTAGATCCATTAACTGATTTATTATTTGCATAAATCGTTATAATTTACCTAATTGTTCATCTTATGGTGAACTTGTAGACTCCTGGGCTTTCACTTGTAGAGCCAGCATCCTTGGATTCAAACACCTGCATTACATTGTGTTTGTGTGTGTGTGTGTGTGTGTGTGTGTGTGTGTCAGTCAGTGTCCTTGGGCTTTCTTCTGTTTTGTGTTGTCCACTCAATCTATGTCTGTCTCTCAGGACTCAGAAATTGTGGGATATCACGTGGCTTAACTTTTGTTCTCAAGATAATCCAGGCAGTTTTGTAGAGACCACAAAGGCATTTTCAGCATAGTGAAGCAGCATTCCATATCTGTGTGTGTGGGAAGCTCACATTCTTGAATCTTGAAGCATTTTGTGCAGAGTTGAAGATTTGTGTCTAAATGTCATTGCAATTCCTGCTCTGTGGAAGCAGGGCCAGTCGAGTGTGTGTGTGTGGGGGGGGGTGTGATATATGTATACTGCACAATTCTCTAAGGCATAAGAAGCGTCATGTGAAAACTCAAATTAGAAAAATGCAGCCTCAGTATTATCTTTTCCCAGCAGGGTTTATTGACCCAATGTACAGTCCATTCACTTTGCTGGTTTAGAAGAGAAGCTTGTTCAGCAGTCACTAGGTTCCCTAAGCCCACAAATACTTTGACTACCAGACATATTGACAGTACACTCAGCTCAGCTGGAACTCTGTATATGCTCTGGAACTCTGTGTTTGTTTTGGCTTGGCTCTGACCAAAAGAGCATGGTGTCACTGCAGTGGAATTAGAGGAAACAGCACTGTTTTAAATAGAATCTCCTGCAGCAGTTGCCCACAATGCAGGTACAAGCCTCATTAGTCCCTGGAACCAGTACCATATTGAATGCATACATATACCTCCATTCAGCAATTAATTAACTCTGAGAAAGAAAAGTCTCCACCAATAACTGGATTTAGTCTAGATTTGCATTGCTTAAGCCAGGCATGGCCAAACTTGGCCCTCCAGCTGTTTTGGGACTACAACTACCATCATCCCTAGCTAACAGGAACAGTGGTCAGGAATGATGGGAATTGTAGTCCCAAGACAACTGGAGGGCCAAGTTTGGCCATGTCTGGCTTAAGTAATATCTTCACTTTTCCACACAAGGGTTACCTCAGTCACCTGGTTGTGAGTTTTTATTGATTAGAGATCCCTTGTAACCTCCCTGATACACCACAGCAAGAAAGTTGCACTGCAGTGCCTGGTGACAGCTCACTACCTGTGTCTTTTGTATTATTATTAATAATTTGATGTATTACCCAGCTTTCACCATAAGATCCCAGGGTGTGGGACATAGCAATTTAAAACACGTTAAAATCAGTGTAACACAGTTGTCACTTCTGTCTACTTCTATCTTTAATGAGCTCACCCTTTTTCTTAGAGCTAACACTAGTGCTCTGGCCTATCTAGATCTCTTAAGCTTGCCTCCTCTCCCTGCCTCTCAACCATATATGCTGTTTTCTTTGGATTACTCAGGATCCTGGTGGGAATAACAAGCCAGTGGTATCTCAGCATGAAAGCTTTTTCTGTTTTCTTAACTTTATTGTGAGGTTTTGAAGTAGGCAAGTTGGACAGGCATGATGGCCGACTTACTGACCTCATCAGTGTCTATTGAGGGCATCCTTTCAGGAGTAGAGAAAATTTCATGCTTATTTTATCTAATTCAGAGTTTCCTTACAATTCCCATCATTGCTGACCATTGGTCCTGCTAGCTAGGGATGATGGAAATTGTAGCCCAAAAACAGCTGGAGACCCAAGTTTGGGAAACCCCGATCTACTTGTTAAACTGCTGAAATTTGCAGTTTAAATTGCTGTCAGAAACTCTGAATTCAGTCACAACTGGGCACTCGCAAATCATGGTAAAACTCAGGAGACTACTACTCTTGATTATCTCTTTCAAGGAGGGTAATTATTTGCATATCATGTCTCCTTCATATTTCTATCTTTCCCATTTCTGTAGTATAAGGTAAAGGGACCCCTGACCATTAGGTTCAGTCGTGACCCACTCTGGGGTTGTGGTGCTCATCTCACTTTATTGGCCAAGGGAGCCGGCATACAGCTTCCGGGTCATGTGGCCAGCATGACTAAGCCACTTCTGGCAAACCAGAGCAGCACACAGAAATGCCGTTTACCTTCCCACCGGAGCAGTACCTCTTTCTCTACTTGCACTTTGATGTGCTTTCGAACTGCTAGGTTGGCAGGAGCAGGGACCGAGCAACGGGAGCTCACTCCATCGTGGGGATTCAAACCGCTGACCTTCTGATCGGCAAGTCCTAGGCTCTGTGGTTTAACCCACAGAGGCCCCCCGCGTCCCATAATTGTCCCTAAATTCTTGTGTATGTATAGACACGTTGGTAGATCTGTTAGCATACACACATGAAGTTGTCTTACTTCTGAGATCACAGTAGTCAAATTATTTATGCTGACATCAATGGCGTGAGCATCAGTTTCTCTTGTAGACCTCTGAAAGAATGTAATCTTGAATCAGATGCTGTATGTGTCTCATAGAAGCTTCAGGGTGAGTAAATTAAAGAACCCCTCCCTCAGTGCTGCTTCCCATATAAAATGAACTGCCCAAACAGAACTTATTTGCAGGTGGTAAAGTTAGGAGGTGGTGGGATTCATTGAATATTCTTTGGAGACGGCATTGGTGGGGATGGAATTCTCCAACATTTTTGAGATAGTCAAAATAGAAAATTTATATGAAACTTCTTTTATGATAAATCTTGGTTCATTTAATACTGAATGAAACTGTTAGATCATATTGGGGGCGGGAGGAAGCAGCAGGCGAAGAGGAGGGAGATTGGAAGGAGCAGGAGTCAAGTCTATTGCTTTCTTCAGCAAGATTAAAGTAATATTAAACAATCTGCACCAATTTACTCAGTGGCAGATATAGACTTTTTTTTGGCCAAATATTCTCTGAGCCAGTGCGTAGGCAGTGAAAAGCTATGTGTGTGACCTCTGTTGCTGTTTACCCTGAGGAAATAAGTGGGGAAAAGAGACCTTTGTACATACTTTGACTCCTGCAGCAGTGAATAAGTGGCAGGATCTTCCAGTAGTTTTCCAGTTCAAAATAAGTTGATTCAAAATGCTGATCAGTGTGTCCCTATCAAGAAAGGGTACAGCTTAGTTATCCCTTATGGTACAGCCACTGTCACATTTGCCCTCCTTAAGCACAGATAGCTGGAAAAACAGTGTGAGCATTTGTATGTGGGAGGGTGGTAGTGGAACACTGGAGAGGGAAAAAAGGAGTTGCATTCAGGGGCTTAATAAGAACAGAACTGCACTTTTGCCCCAAAGACATGCGTAAATCTGCAAAGCCGTAAGTGATTTGATGCTTCAGCGCTTTAATGTAAACTGGAGAAAGGACAGGAAATGAAACAAGATTACGTTGTAATGGCAGATTAATGGCCCTGCAGGTTTTAAATTCAGCAGCCCCATTCTCTGCTTGTTTTAAGTTTCAGAACAAGGAGTAATTGTTTGAAAGAATCTCTGCAATGGGTGAGGGTGGGAGGTGGCACATAAGAGAACTCCATTATTATCTTGTACCTATGAAAGACTTGACCTTTGAGGGCAATGCTAAACAGCAGTGGGAGGAAAAAATAGATTCGTTGCCCAAATCCTCACTGCTTTCTGCTTTATATGTGCTATCAAACCTTGCTTGCTAGGCCAGCTGCAGGCATTTTGCTGCCTGAGGTGACGGACAAGAGGGAGTCCCCTCCCAATTGCATGTACCAAAAGTAGCCAGACTGACCTTACTTCAACAATGGCAACAGGACTGAATCCTCCACATTTGAGGGCAGCAGGTTAGCTTAGCGGGTGCAGGGCAAGCTATGCATCGTACACACAGCCCTGTCTTCCCAACAACGTGCCTTCACTCCCCTGCCTCCATTTTGATCCCTGTATGGGACAGCTGCATATTCTTGCATTGCAGGGGATTGGACTAGATGATCCAGAGGATCCCTTGCAACTCTAGAATTCTAAGATCTGCTGCCTGAAACAGCCATCTCACCCTACCTAACAGTGGGGCCAATCCTGCAGCATCAATGGCCAAAGAGCTTTGCAAGCATGGAGCTGTTTCTTTATGGCTCCTTGTGTTAACACTTGTTCATTTCTTGTAAAGCAACATAATTCAGCTGGTCAGATACAATTTAAAGTTGCTAATACAGCAAAATAAATTAGTTGTAAATCTGTTCAGCTTTAATAAATGAAAACCTGGGCTGCAATCCTGTGCCTACTTACAAGGGAATGTGGCCCACTGAACTTGATAGTGCTCATTTCTAACCAATCCTGTGCATGCCTGCAAAAGGATTTGAATCTTGAAGGGAATGGAAAGGGAGCCAATATAAAGATGCATTTTTTTGCTTAGGAAATAGTCCAGCTGATTGTGTGTGTGACATGCCAGATGAGGAAGAGTAATCCAGCTGAGGAAGTGGAACTGGGTCACTGAATTTTGCTCATAGGCTCCCTGGACCTCTTGTGTAATTTGGGTTCCCTCTGACCCCGCTGTTTACAACCTGCCTCCAACGGACTGTAACCTATGCAGACTCATGTCATGATAGATTTGTTAAACCTTTAAGGCAGGGGTCAGCAACCTTTTTCAGCCGTGGGCCGGTCCACCGTCCCTCAGACCATGTGGTGGGCCAGACTATATTTTTTGGGGGGGGGAATGAATTCCTATGCCTCACAAATAACCCAGAGATGCATTTTAAATAAAAGCACACATTCTACTCATGCAAAAACAGCAGGCAGGCCCCACGAATAACCCAGAGATGTATTTTAAAGAAAAGGACACATTCTACTCATGTAAAAACATGCTGATTCCCACACCATCTGCGGGCCAGATTGAGAAGGCGATTGGGCCACATCTGGCCCACGGGCCTTAGGTTGCCTACCCCTGCTTTAAGGCACCACAGAAGTTTCCCTTCTTCAGCATTTGAATCCCAATGCCTGGGAATAAACCCATTGACAGGCAGGTATTCAATTGATCAGGAACTTCACAAGGAGGGAGGAAAGCAGCAAGTCTTCACAGGAACACAGGAAGCTGCTTTGTACCGATCGACCCATTGGCCCATCTAGTCTGGTATGGTCTACACTGACCAGCAGCAGCTCTCCAGGGTTTCATGCAGGGGCCTCTCCCAGCCCTACCTGCAGTTGCCAGGGGTTGAAACTGGGACCTTCTGCATGGATGGGTATACATGTGGCATGCCACATCTGAATGTTTCTCCCACATCAAATGACAAAGGAACAAAGTGCGGAATAAAGGTTGTTGCAGGAATTTATGTATAGGTTGGGGGGGGGTGGCCCCTCCAGCAGATATCATGCACCTGCCGCCCACTACCAAAACCAGCACAATCACTTTTGTGATTTGTCCTCACAAAACACTTCATCACAGTTTCTTCCTATCTATTTAAAGGGCCTTTGTTGCAAGATACCAAATGTAACAATTCACTGATAAATGTATCTATGTACTGGCTCACTGGGAAAACTTCAGAAATTCATATAGACATGTGAGCTCAGCTACTCAGCAGCCCCTCTGCCTGAATGATAATTCCTGGCATCCTGATACCTGAGTGCCAGACAGGTAGCCATTCCAGAAATAACAAACCCAGATGAAGACAAAAGGGTGTGATTAACGTGGCTGGGAAACAGGGAAATGTAAATATGTTTTTTGTTACACTTGGTGGGTGTTTGGTGGAGGGCAAGGAGAACCATGGGGCAGGGTCCAGGATGCTCAGAGCCACCAGACCTCCCCTTTCATGATGTAACCATGATGTATTAGTGATGGAGTTTGGGGGGGGTGTAACATGGGGATTAACGGACATGGGTTGCACTGTGGGTTAAACCACACAGCCTAGGACTTGCCGATCAGAAGGTTGGCGGTTCGAATCCCCGCAATGGGGTGAGCTCCCATTGTTCAGTCCCAGCTCCTGCCAACTTAGCAGTTCGAAAGCACGTCAAAGTGCAAGTAGATAAATAGGTACCGCTCCAGCGCGAAGGTAAACGGCGTTTCTGTGCGCTGCTCTGGTTCGCCAGAAGCGGCTTAGTCATGCTGGCCACATGACCCGGAAGCTGTTACGCCGGCTCCCTCGGCCAAAAAAGCGAGATGAGAACCGCAACCCCAGAGTTGGTCACGACTGGACCTAATGGTCAGGGGTCCCTTTGCCTTTAACATGGGGATTAGCAGCTAATAAAAGTTTGGGGGCTCTTTTGTTTGGGGCTTCCATCTTGTTCCACCTTGTGGCAGGTGGGAGTCCTGTCGTGACAGTCTTCAATAAAGACCAAACCTACTGGCTGCTGTTTTGCTCTGGTATTCCTGGCTGGTGCCCTTGTTTTTTGTCCTCAGATTTCTCCGTGAACAAGGTCCACATGGGGGTCCTGCTGTCCCTGTGTATCCTGCCCCCTGAGGCCCCCAACCTCACCTTGCTTCATGGTGGCCAGGCCCTGCTTGAGAAGTCCCTACTTCCTAACCCCCCCCCCCCAAGCATAGAGGTGCTTTTCGCCTCAGGCCCTTCCAAAAGGCGCCAAAATCCCCACCACTCCCATCAAACAAAAACAAATCCTAGGGAGTGACTGCGCCTGCGCCCAGATGGCTCGAGCTGGCCAGACGAGTAGGCGGAGCTTACCCATCCCGCTCCCGCTCCCGCCTCACTCCAGTTCCTTAGATGCACCTCGTCAGGGAGCTGAAAAGCGCTCTTTCTCTCTGTCGGTCGACGTTGGATGCGCATGCGCATTCCCCTTCTCGTCGCGCGCTGGTGGCTTTTGACAGTTAAAAAAGGAGCGCGAGGGCCGGGCGGGAGGGGGAGGAGGGGGCGGGGCCTCCCGTCCTGAAGTTTTGAGGAGAGAAGGAGGGAGCGGGCGGCGACTCTGCTCGGCTCCGCGCCAGGCGAGGCTGGGGTTTGGGTCCCGGCCAGCCTTCCCCCGGGTAGAGTCTGCCGTCTTCATTCTCTCCCTGCTGCGTCCCCTCAGTGCGCTCGCCGGAGCTCTGAGAGGCGCCCGCGCCGGTAAGGATGGCGGGTGGGCGCTTCTCCCTTCGGAAAGAGGGGCGTCCGAGGGGACGGGTGTGAGGGAGGGGAGGGTGAGGCAACTGGTGCAGCCCCTGCCTGCGGGGTGGGGTGGGGTGGGGGGGTTATAATGGTGCGATTAGGTCTGGGCTTAACTGTCTCACAGGAACCCACCCCCCAATTTATATGGCTGCTCGGACTTCCAATGGGGTCGGGGGTGGGGGCTCCTCCTGAAGTTTCTGCTGGTTGGGGGGTGGGGGCTGTGGACCGTGTGGACATCTGCTTCAAATCCCTACCCCGAGGGTAACTATTGGGGGAAATTCGTGGAAGACCCCCCCCCGCTTCTCTCTCCAGGGGGAGAAGGAGGTGGGGGGGGGGGACACCACTTCGTTTATTGCCATTGCCAGCAAGGCAGATGCCTCACACGCGTTTTACTGAAATTGCCGCAGGCGAACGTTTTGCATTTCACCTCAGTGTTTACATTCCCCCCCCCCCCCCTGCAGAAAAGGATAACTGCAACAACACTTCGCGCATCTGATTCGGTCCGCCAAAGCTTTATGCCACGTTTAGTGCTTTTAAGGCGCCCCCCCCCCCCGAGACGCTCTTTTTGATTCTGTTGTAATTCTCGGTTCGCTTATATGCGAGACCGAGCCCTTTATGGGACATTGTGAAATTTACTTCCAAGTAAAAGTGCACAGGACTTCGGTTGTTCCCTTCCGATTTTAGGGAAGCAGCTCTGGTCCTGCAAGAGTAGTTCTATGCTGGTGGTTTTACCGCATCTCCTTCGTTTCAAAGCCTGCTTGTTAAATTTAAAGTTGCCCCTCGTTTCAGAGTTTGTGTTTGTGCAAGCATACACTTTGGTTGAGCTGGATAGACCACATACAATACATACCTTTTCGGGGGGGGGGCCCGAAAAAAACTATTCTTCCCATTAATAATCTCTGTCGCTCCAAAGGGCAAGACCAGAACCAAGGTGTGGAAAGTTCAAGAAAGCAGATTGTGGCTAAACATTAGAAGAAACATCCTAACAATAAGAGCTATTCAACACTGGAAAAGACTGCCTTCCTTCACTAGATGTATTTGAGCACACCCATCTGTCAGGGATGCTATTTCTGCATACTGCACTGCAGTTCCTATACTAAGCAACGGGTTGGATTAGATGACCTCCACAGTCCTTTCTAACTCTATTAATTCTATTTTCTCCATAGCTGTTGGATGCTGCTTTTATTTCAAGCCTTTCTTTGCTGTTTGACATTACAAGTCACCCCATCCTCTGCCCCCCTCACTAACTGGACTGGAACAACTGCCATCACTTTTTCCTGTTCTTGCAGTGGCTAGAAGCTATTTATATCCTTATCTTTACCCACCAAGGGTGTGGACAAAGCTGGTTAGTACAGTGGTACCAAGGGTTAAGTACTTAATTCGTTCCGAAGGTCCGTTCTTAACCTGAAACTGTTCTTAACCTGAAGTACCACTTTAGCTAATGGGGCCTCCCGCTGCTGCTGCGCCTCCGGAGTCCGATTTCTCTTCTCATCCTGAAGCAAAGTTCTTAACCTGAAGCACTATTTCTGGGTTAGCGGAGTCTGTAACCTGAAGCGTATGTAACCTGAAGCGTATGTAACCCGAGGTACCACTGTATAAGTTATTTTACCTAGTGTTGTCCTGACCACTAAATGGTTTAAAGAATGTCAAAATGATGGCTCCCCACTCCAGTGCTTTGATCCAGAGGTGAATAGGAGGCTATAATCTGTGTTTGTGATTGTGAGTATTTATTTATCTGCTATAAGCATGCTTTGCAAGCAACGGAAAAATTAGCCCTGCACTATTCCAGGTGCCTGATTAGGGTGAAATGGCAGTGGCTAAAATGTGTTGGATGACCTTGAGAGTGAAATTGTAGGGATGCACTTCATTTGGAGGGTTATGGTTATTTAAAAGAGTAATGGTATAGAAAGTTTGTCCTTTTTCTACACAGTAGAAATACTTGCATTCCAAACTCTGCAGCTCTGCAGTGAGTGCTTTCCTTTAATAGCTTATTTGTGAAAGGTTTGTAAATAGCAATCTTCAAGTATTAAATCTGAGGGGTCACTTTCTCAAAATCCAAAGATTCAGCCTGTCTTCTCCTTCAGGGCCAAACACTGACTTTCTTCTAGGCTTCCTTTCTCTTTTATAGGCAATTGTAGTTACTTTGTGTGCTGAATCTGCTACTTTGAAAAGGGTAAAAATATTTGAAGTTGCCATGTGAATACATCGATACAGTACCAGAATTGCTTGTCCCTAAATATTTGTAGCCATGTTAGCCGGTTACAGCACAGCTGAAAATTTTAAGGTGCCACAAGACTTTGTTTTCCTCCCTGATGGTTGGCTAATGATTTGAGAATGATGCAAGTTCTTTATCTTGTATTTTCTCCTTTGTTTTCCTTTAACTAGGTGAAGCAAGTGAGCAGATGTATTTTGTTTTGGTAGTGATGTATTATTATTTTTCTCTCAGGGTGGGGTGTGGGGAGTGGGAACAAATAGGGGTGGAAAGTGGGATGAAATATATTGGGAAATTAATATTGGAAACAAATGGTCTTTTGGGAGAATCAAAAGGTGAAATGTTTTGGGAGAAGGTTAATTGGCAAAGAAATTGTTTTGGGAACCTGGCTTGTGCTTCAGATTCCAACTTTGCTCTGCTCACAGTGTGTTGTCTTGGGCAAGCCACTTGATTTTATCTGGTTCTGTACTCCAGTTTCCAGTACTGGCTCATCAGATATCTCTGGGAAACTTACAAACATGACATGAGGGCAGCATCCACAACTGGTATTCAGAGGTATACGATGTACATGGAAAACCGGGGTGGAGCAGAGTTAAGGGAAAGCATTGTGGGAGTGGCTTTCTAGCATATATGGGGCATATAACAGTCCCAATTTTGGAGGTAATAGCTACCCCTGGTTGTGAGATAACACTGCATTCTTTGACTTTTTGCTGGGTGCTAGCTCAGGAAAATGTGTTTTCTCTGTTTCAGTATTTTTGAAAGTGAAACAGTGCACCTGAGTGTTTGTGTATGTGTTGGCATGCTTCTGTTTGAGTTATTATATATATTAAACTTTGTACAGTAATAACATCTAATACGTATAGCAATTCATAAACACTTTTTATAGGATGGAAGACATGTTAAGTATATGTAGAGCAATTCTCTACCCAAGTTGGGATCAACCATATACAAACTTGTCTACATGTTAGCCAATATATTATAGGTTGCCCACAACTGGCACAAGATTTAAGTGTCTTTAACTAGGGGCATGCCTGATAAAACAGAGGTTCAGGTAGGGCAGCTAGTTGCCATTAGCTAACCAAAACGATTAGCACAATCTTTCACCAAAAGAGGCAGAAGGGAGGTTAGAGGTAATGTTCCAAAAGTGCAGGGATGTTTGATGCCACCATACCTGGTAACAAATAAATCATTTTATCTTGTTTTACAGACAAGACTCAGGCCAAGAAACCTGCCTAATTGGAGTTTGGCAGGTGTTTGAACCCTGTGCTCCAAATACAGATTTGTTCACCACTAGTCTGTGCTGAGTTTATTACATCCTATGCTTACAGTCACCATTTAGGTTTGTTATATATTGTTGTACAGAAGCTTTAAAATGACTTTAGCTTCATGAAAACTTTGCAAAACAGTGCCAATATAGTCAACCTCAGAGCAAACAACTTTGTGGTAACATTAGTTTCTGAATGCCAAGCTACAAATCTTGGGTTTTAATTTTCAGCTGGCACAGAGCCCCAGAGCTTGCTGTGGTCAACGGGAGTGGAAATTTTTGTCTGAAAAGCCTTCACAGTGGCAGGAGGGAGCATTTGGCTGTACAAAATGCTAAGAAATGGAGAGGTTTTGGAACATCAGCTTTCCACTAACACACTTGAGGGTATTGGATCACGTGGCTAGGTTTTTTAAATACTCGTTCCTTAATTACAAAATTATTAATTTCTGTTCTGCTGCTTTAGAAAGGATAGGTTTTATGGGAGGCTTACTTGTGTTAGTGGCTGTGCTTGAAGTTGTCAGCATTTTCTGTTGCCAACCAGTATTCATGGTGGTTAAAATACAGTCATAAGGGCTGGGAAGAATGACTGTACTAAATTGCTTGCTGACCAGCATTCCTACTTAGTTGCAAGTTAGCTGTTTTTCAAAGCTAGCTTTAGTACTGGGCTTATACAAACTACTAGTTGTTATCCTTATTCCCCTTTGTTTTCATTGTTGGTAGGAGCCTTGCCTTCAGCCTATCTGTGGTGAATAAAAGGTCTTGCCAACCCACCATATCTTGGAAGTATACTTTACTAACCAATACTTTGTGTGCAAGGCTGCATGAAGGAGCCAAGAAGTGTTTAGACATTAACTCTTCCAGTTTCTACCAATATGATTTGCACAAACGTAAAATCAAGCCGGTCTTCACTGACACTACTTTTCTATCAACTGAAAGCCATCTCAGCTACTCTGATTTAAACTCACTTTAGATTTCAGACAAGCTGACAGCCAAGTTCCTTTATTGTGAAAGGCAGTTGCATTCCAATCATTCTTATTTTTTTGGTCCTATTAGCCAGGGTTGTCTGAACTTTGTACTAAATCAATTAATCAAAAGTCTATACAAAGGTAACCTGAACTGTGCACCAAAAAAAATGGAATTATGTTACACTGTTACACAAATCAAGCTGATGTGCCTATATATTTTAACTTTTGTATACTATGGTCTGCTTCTGAGAATTGTGGGAAGGGGTTGGAAAGCCTTTGGCAAAACTAGTTGCGAATTCCAGTTCCTATTCCAATAGGAAAAGCCTACTTTAAATTGTGCCCCGCCTCCAGTTGTTTGTTCTTTGTGGGAAAGCATAATTATTTTCAGTTTATTTTACAAATTCATAAACTGCTTCACAGCCTGTGGCCATCAAAGTCATGTTCAACAGGATATTCAATATTCTACCTACACAGCAAATAGTAGCTTCAAGGAGGATGCTTTCTGTATGTGTGAGAAATGATTAATCTACCCACCCTGGACCCTTTCTGAATTGGTGGTTTCTATGGCTGCAACTTTTAAAAAAAGTGGGAGATCTAACTTGCCTGCATTGCATCTTGTTTGGTGTCTGTGATGCTGAATCCTGTGCCCATTTTTAATAATAATAATAATAATAATAATAATAATAATAATAATACACACCTGACTGTGCTGCCCATCCACTTTATGCAGTATACACAAAGAGACATAAGTTTCCATTGATTCTGTATACTTGTGGATTTTCCCTTATACTCAGATGAAACACTCCTTTATCTGAAAAATAATGATGCTGTTAAACTTTTTTTTAAAGCCACCTAAACTAGAAGGCATACAGTATTTGTGAATCTTAAAATGTTTATAACTTGAGGGGTACAAAGTGTGTGAGATGTTCGACCATGATTTTTATTTCACAAAACTTCTAGAAGTGTTTTTCTGCTTTATATGTTTTGATGGAAAAGAGAGTATTACTCTTTGGTATAAATAGTTGTGGTTAGGGAAGAGGATAAAAATAGCTCATCAGCCATGGTGAGGCATAGCCAGAAGTTGAACTTAAGCAATATTTGGAATGTAAATCAAACTAGCAGGAAATTCCAAGTTAAGACTGGCATTTTGTCCTTACTTAACACACACATATGAACTTCCTGACTTTTCTCAGTTAATAACTCGAGACAGTTGCATTGCTTTGAGGTTTTTAAGCAGTTCAAACCTAGCAGATTGGTTTTAAAGGGATGATAACACTTTTGCATGTAGAAGGAACAGGGTTCAGTCCTAAGGATCATCCAGTTTGGATCTTTGTCAGAAACCCTAAAGGAACAGTGTAGGGAGGAATATTAAAGTGTTGTACACCAGAAATTGTAGGATTGTTGTCTTGACACTCTGTCCTGCTTGAAAAGCAATAAAGTGATATACTCTTACCTCTATCTGGTCAGATTGGGAACATGATGCAAATTGCTGAGTGAACACACCATACAAACACCTGATAAATTTAGCTTTGTGTGTTTTTGGATTATAATCTGCATGCGTATTAGTGCTTTACACATACATGGCAGGGTCAGTGATATCTTTCTGCTGCATTTACATAGGTCAACACTTCCGAGAAACTTCGGATTTATGCATGCATCTTTTCGTTTCCTTGAAACATTTTAACTGTCATGTTCAGTGCTTACTATTCAAAGGGTATAATCTTCAAATCTGCATAGGGAAGAGCTGCTTGAATTCAAACTTGATGTTCACTCAAGCTTCCTGTGTACATGCAGATGTCTCCTCCCCGCTGCATTTTACTCAGGTGTACCAGGTCTTGTTTCAGTGCTTTATGCTCTGAATCATAAAGGTAAAGGGACCCCTGACCATTAAGTCCAGTCATGGATGACTCTGGGGTTGTGGCACTCATCTCGCTTTACTGGCCAAGGGAGCCGGCGTACAGCTTCCGGGTCATGTGGCCAGCATGACTAAGCTGCTTCTGATGAACCAGAGCAGCGCACGGAAACGCCATTTACCTTCCCGCCGGAGCGGTACCTATTCATCTACTTGCACTTTGATGTGCTTTTGAACTGCTAGGTTGGCAGGAGCAGGGACCGAGCAACGGGAGCTCACCCCGTCGCAGGGATTCGAACTGCCGACCTTCTGATCGGCAAGCCCTAGGCTCTGTGGTTTAGACCACAGCGCCACCAGCGTCCCTTGCTCTGAATCAGATTGGTGATTAAAGATGAGCTTGAGCCCACATGCCTAGCAGCTAGCTCTGAGACCAGACCAGACCAGACCAGACCAGATTCAATTTGATTTATTATATTTCTAGGCCACTTTTCATTCAAATGAATTGAAAAGTGGCTTAGTAACAATAACATAAGAGAACATCCCAAATGCAACATAAATAATATAAAATAATGAAATCGTCTATAAAACTCCATTAACAAAACAACTAAAAAAAAAGATAAACAGCACAATTACAATAAAAGTCATAGAATTCATAAAGTACTACAGCATTCATAATTTATAAAACAATATTAACAACATTAACAAAATAGCAGCCAAAAAGTAAATTAAGCAATGTTGAATTCATATACACACACTCCCCATCCCCATGACTCATAATCTTCTATTTTATTCAGTTCATTAAAATACAAATACACATAATGCCCATGGCAGCAGCTCCATTCTGAAGGTTCCTAGGGCTGGAGGGTGAGACAAGGCAGATGGGAAAAGCTATTGCCTGATGGCCAGTAGGGCTGAACAATATACTGATAAATTGTTCAATACTGGTTTCTAGACCACATCATGATAACAATATAAAATAATTGATCGCTGTCTTCCCTCCCAGATGCCACAAAGTAAAAATAAGACCCATCACATTGCCCTGTGTCATTCAGCCTCTTTCTTCCCTTGCCCTCTTCTCTCTCTGTGTGTGTGTGCCTGACTTACCACATGTCCAATCTCCATGCTCCTTTGCCCAGCCACACGCCCAATCTTCATGCCCCCCACCTGCCTCATCTCCACGCTTCTTTGCTCACTGGCACACCTGATCTCCATGCTCCTCTGTCCAGCCGCAAATTGTGCTTTAATATTTAATTATTCTGTGGCAGGTCTGTTAGTGATAAAGAGCTCAGGAATTGGAAGAATTAGAAGCTGCAGCTGTGCTTGTGTTTCTTTAAGACTGGCTCCATTTTTCTCCAGAGCTGTTAACTTCATGGTGAAGCAGAATGCCATTCTAATGCAGCAAGTGAAGAGAAAGGTGTTCATGACTCTTGTGGAACTTAACATTTTTCATGAAATCAGAAGGAACAAAAACTGATACTTTTAATTAATATGACAGAGCACGTGTGCAAAACCTTGACATCAGAAATTTAATGCAGGGTTCTGCTTTGATCTGTATTAGTACATCTGCTGTCCATAATACCTAAACTGCAAACATGTGCAAGATTCTTTTCCAGAAGGGCAACAGGAAATGGCTTTTGTAAAACAGGGGGGGGAATCACACATATATTAACAGACAAATAATAGAGGTGTTTTTTTTTGGAGTGGGGCGGGTTAGGCTGTATGCCTGGCCCACTTCTATTCTTGGAATAGCCAAGCTAACTTCCAGATGAGGTGATGGGCTGTTAAGAGGAATAAAGAAAGTGCCTCGGATTATCTCCTTCATCTCTTCTTCTTGCTGTCCCTGGGCCAGTCCACTTCACCCTCTGTCCCTAACTGCAAATCAGAGTCCTGCCACAAGTTTTTATCTGGGGACACTTTCTTCAGGATCAGCTGGCCCAGTCTCCTTAAGTTGGTGGTCAAGAATTCCCCTCTCTGCTTACTTCCAACATCACTCAAACGCTTCATGGACCCAAACAAAGGCAGTTAAGCCTCCCAGTGGCTCTTGCCCCATCCCCCCAATCCCACAGCACCCTGGGTGATGCTGGCAAAGTAATAAGTGATAACTGTAATTCTGTTGACAGGCATAGGAATAGACACCACAGAGAAGAATTTCATCTGGAAAAAGTCTGTCTTATTGTGTTTATTGGCTGGAGCATTAAATACTTGGCAACTTGCAAAAACTAGAATTCCAAAAAGGAATTCAAACCATTTGTTCTTGAGCATTACACTAAAATAATTGGGACTACACTATATTGTATATAATCCTGAAGCCCTTTACTAAACAAATATTTTATATTATCTCCACGCTTCTTTAGTATATTGCATTTTGTAAAAAAAAATGTTTTGGGAATAATTGCCTTTATAACCCTGATGAAGAGGGACCAAATTAAGTGTTGTCTCAAAACTGCATTAGCAGAGGAAACAGAATTGTAATTACGAACGAGTTCCTGATTGAAGCATATGATTAAGAAATTAAGGCTTCTTGGGCTTTTCATATAATATCAGTGTGGGTGTATGCACGCACTTACTAGTAAATTCAGGTTGTACAATGAAAGTTGATTTGGCAGTCTTGCAAAACAAATCTATTCCCCTGCCATGGCCTTTTTGTGAAAATGCACTTAAAAGTGTGTGATAAAGATTTCTTGACTCAGCATCGTCTAACCTCCCCACAAATAAATTGGAATGAATGCTCAGTGAATAGCTGTCATTGTCTAAGCTCTCTGCAAACTTTATGCAAACAATACAATAATGAATCCTCTGTATAAGCAAGCTGTTTGGAAGTGCCCGCAGGCACTAGGATACAAATATCGAAGACAAATATGTTTTCTTTGTGTGCCTATCAAAATAAGCTCTTGCCTTGTATCCTTTGCTTTTTGTAGCCACTGATAATACAAGCTTGTCAATATAGGCAATCCGGAGTAGAGAAAATGCCTTTCTTTTTTTGTCCCTACCCTGCATTATTGTAAATTACTGCAAATAAAGTAGAAATATATTGCATGTCCATATTTGTATAAGGTGAGCCCCCACAATTTTTTTGGCTATTCAGAATTGGTCTCTCCCTTTTGGATTTGTCATCTTTGCCATTCGTTAAGAACCACTAGGCTCCAAGGTATAAGATGTCTAGGGCTGATGAAAATATCTATTATGCTCATTTAAAACCAGTTTCACTATTCTAGCCATAAAACCCTGGGAGTTACAGTTCTGGGAGAGTGCTGTGGTTTGGAGGTTCTCCAGTTCACTCACAATCATAATTTCAAGGATTCCTCGAAGGCTTGAAACTGGTCTAAGTTTGTCATGGGGATATGCTCTTAGAAAGATAGTACTCATTTTCTTACACATTTCATTTTCTCTTTTTAAACAGATGATTTGCAAGTGAGACTTCAGCTGTGTATCTCCAACTTGTTCCAACAAGATGTTTACAACGAATCCTGCAAATTGGGTTACATTTGAAGATGAACCCCTATTCCATTCTCCTCAGAAAGCAGGGGGAAGTCATAGTGCCTGCAAAGCAAACGGGCTTAAACTCCATCTGCCTAAAATGCCTGATTCCTTGAGCCAGTCCCCATCTTCCAGCAGTACTCCTCTCTCCTCTCCTGTAGTTGACTATTACTTTAGCCCTGGACCTCCTAGCAATTCTCCACTATGTACACCCACTAAAGATTATTCTGTCAGCCCTTTATTTTCAAAATCTGGAATTCAGCACCTTTATCCTATTCCAGAGTTGTCATCCAACATTAATATTCTGCCAGTGGGTGGGACATCTTCTCAAAAACTGACTGGTACCTCTCAGGCTCAGCATCACTCAGAATGTTCAGTCTCAGAGCCATTAGATGGTGCAAATGCCGCTCAACAGGAAAGTGCAAAGAAATCAGAAGATTCCCTGGAATCACAAACATTCTTCCAATACATTCAGAATGACTGTGCTTTTGCTAGTCCATTTTGGTCAGAAGATTCACCAGATACATCCATCAATGTGCACAAAAAGGATGCAAACCTTGAAAAGGATAGTGGCTCTTCCAGTGAAAAGGACAGTTTCCCTGATCAGAAAAGTCTCAATCAGGGATCATTCCACTATATTTGTGAGAGGCTTGAGCACTTGCAAACTGATACTTCAGATAATGAAAGGAGTCTGACAGCCATGCCATACATGTATACGGGAGATGGCTTTTCTTCGTTTCTTCCACACAGCCTCTTCAGTAGCCAAAGAAAAGATGGCTGGCCTTTCATGTTGAGGATTCCCGAAAAGAAGAATATGATGTCATCAAGGCAGTGGGGGCCTATATACCTTAAGGTCTTACCTGGAGGAATACTACAAATGTATTATGAAAAGGGCCTTGAGAAACCTTTCAAAGAATTTCAGCTACAGCCATTTTGTAAACTTTCAGAACCCAAGCTAGAGAACTGCAGTATCTCTGGGAAAATCCATACTGTGAAAATTGAGCATGTGTCTTATGTGGAGAGAAAGAAGTATCATCCCAAAGCTGAAGTGGTTCATGAACCAGAGATAGAACAGATGCTAAAGCTGGGAACGACTGATTACAATGACTTCACTGACTTCCTGGTGATAGTGGAGGAAGAGTTAATGAAGCTTCCTGTTATTTCAAAACCAAAAAAACACTATGAAGAACAGGAAATGATCCTGGAGATAGTGGACAACTTTACAGGGAGGATCACTAAAGCAGAAGGGAAGCTAGTTGAAAGTGCTGTCATCACCCATATTTATTGCTTGAGTTTTGTGAATGGAAACTCTGAGTGCTTTTTGACGCTGAATGATCTGGAGCTTCAGAGGAAAGATGAGCACTACTTTGAAAAGGATGCGAAAAAATGGATTGAAATCATTGACTATCACTTCCATCAATGTGTGAAAAAACAAGAATTTGAGCAGTCAAGGATAATTAAATTTACACCTACAGAAGGATGTAGGTTAGAACTGATGCGTTTCAGGACATGGTATAATGGAGCTGATCTTCCATTTTCTGTCAAGGCCATGGTGGTAGTACAAGGAGCTTATGTTGAACTGCAAGCTTTCATAAACATGTCCTCTTCTGCTCTGACTTCAGTGCATTCAAATTCCATGAAACCCTGTGAAAGTATTATGGTACACTTTCCTATTCCCTCACAGTGGATTAAAACTCTTTGGACCATGAACCTCCAAAGACAGAAGTCTCTGAAAGCAAAAATGAACAGAAGAACATGCCTTGGCTCTTTAACTGAGATTGAATCTGATCCTGTAATACAGGTCTCAATTGGAACAGCCAAATATGAAAGTGCCTATAGAGCTATTGTGTGGAAGATTGACAGACTTCCAGATAAAAACTCAAGTAAATATTTGTTTTATATAAATATTTTTTATAAAAAATGGTATAAAGCTGTGCTGAAAGGGAATTGCATTTTCTCATAGTGAGTTAACAATATGACGACTCCAGAGATTTTACTGGCCAATTGATTAAAATGTATGGCATGAAGGCTGCAGATGGTGAATTGTGTGTGCTATTGAGCTGGGAAAAAGAAATATACTCTTGATATAGCACACATTCCTGTGCTTTAGAAATCTGAATATTTTAACCACACCAACCTAACAAAGCAGCTTTGATAGATACTTGATTCAAGCCAAGTGATAATTAGGCCTGCTTTTCACATTCCGTTTAAAAAGTCTTGGCACCTTCATATTTGAAAGTGTTTATTTTGTTTCATTCATATTCTGGGATTTTGCTTTATTAGATCCAGGAATCAAACTCCCTCTCCCTACAATTAACTTCTGTAAATTCACTGCGTGTACTACAATGTACGTATATTGATATTGGAAAAGGAAGTGTGTAGGGGTAAGAATTTATAAATTGTTCTGGAACTGGTGTCTTTCTATCTTGGACATCCATATAAATTTGATATCACCTTTCCAGGTATGAAGTGCATCTCTGCATCTTCAAAAGTATGCAAAAAGTAAAAAAAAAAGAATTTCATGTTAGATTGCAGGAAGAAATTCTGTTGTCCTTGGAAATGGCAATGCATAGAAGTCATTCTATGACTGATCTTTTGCATTACTTTGAAGGTGATATAAGAATATAATTTACTTATGGTCCACAGACAACAAATATAAAAAGTTACAGAATGTAAAATATGTATGATCATTAAAAGCTAAAATGAGAAAGTAATAATAGCTTGTCTAATTGCTGTTTTTAGAAATATTGCAACTTACTGAGAAATTTAAAAATAGAGACCTCCATAAAATGATAAGAAGGAGGTACACATGGAAACATACAACAGCCGTTTTTACTTTCATGTTGCATAATAATTTGTGTGTACCACACACTAAAAATAGCATGTTTAAAAAAATGTATTCTGTGAGCTGTTGCATTATGTTTGCTAAGTAAAAGCATAATCATGCAGCATAGTTAACCGAAAGAGCTAAAGTTCAACACATGGCAGTGAAACCCCACACCTCACTTTGTAGTATGAATTCTTCCAGTACAGTGGTACCTTGGTTGTCAAACTTAATCTGTTCCAGGAGTCCGTTTGACTCCTGGAACCACTCAAAAACCAAGGCACAGCTTCTGATTGGCTGCAGGAGCTTCCTGCACTCAATCAGAAGCTGCGCAAGGCGCGTTGGACATTCAGCTTCCAAAAAATGTTCGCAAACTGGAACACTCACTTCTGGGTTTGCGGCGTTCGGGAGCTGATTTGTTCAGAAGCCAAGCCGTTTGACAACCAAGGTACCACTGTAAATGAATTGGAAGAATTAGTTCTGTTGGCATCTCTTATTCTTCCATGTTGTTCCTTTAGAAAGCTCAGACCAGAGACACACTGCTTAAGTATGTCTAATCAGTGTTTGTCTCTGGTCTGAGCTTTCTACAGGAACAACATGGTAGAATAAGAGATATATTTATGCAAAATAGAACTTTTTGTGGTATTCCTGGTTCTGAATTTTGGAAATATGTGGTCTGGAGTGCACATTGTAAAGAATGTCGTCCTTTCTCTCTCTATCTACTGACATAGCCTCTATCAACCAAAAGAGAGCAGTATTGTAACAGTTAGATGGCTGTACTGCCAGCCTTTTCTTGAGATTCTTGAGTTCTGTTAAGTCCATTGCAGCTGACATATTAGATCTACTTTGGAAAGAAATATCCTCTAGTGCTATGCTGGTGGACTAGCTAATGCATTCAGTCTATGATAGTGCTGGAATATCCACAGTGACAAGAGACGGCCTCCAGTTACACTTCTGTTCTACTAATATTTCATTATATAAATATCTAGTGTAGCACAAGCACTCAAGCTTTTTATCATGGCCAAGTATGCTATAACCTTTCCCCCAGTGATAGGGGAAGTGATCTAATATAATACAGGATATAATCCTGTATATGCCTGCTCAGCAGTATGTTCTGTATTTCAGTCTTAGTTGAAATTGAAGGTGTGGAGCAGTTTGAGATTATATATGGTCCTGTTGGTTTGTGTTTTCAACATACAAAAATAACTTTTAAAATGATGTAGCTTTAGTAATAATTTAAAATACTCTTCTATAATTATGATTTAAAAAATACTGCTATGAAGGCCTGTTCATATGACAGTCAGGTCCTTGGCTATAGGAAAAGCCTGCATAGAATGGCTCCATTTGGTTGCCAGCCAGCCAGTCACTGAGAGTCATTAGGGAGCTGGCTGTCACATTCTTCAGTAACATAATAATAGAGTGCAGCCCTGTATGTTGTATATTGCAGTAGGCAAGCCTTTCAGAGTATAAAGGTATAAATAATAGTAACTTGAGTTTGTATCAAAATAAAGGAACTGAAACCGTCAGGTGAAAGGTACATTGGCTATTGTAACAATCTGATTTCAGAAGTACACCGGGGTATATGATTTAAACCCACTTTGTATGTGGTGGCGCACACATACATACATACTTTCTAGCTCTCTGGAGGAAAGAAACATTATGCATGAAGTATCAGACACTTAGTGTCCTTTGGTGATTAGGATGATTCATCTCTCCCAGGAATGTATGTAGGTATATTTGTGCATCTTTAAATATGCTGGGGATGAGACAGATGAAAATATCATAACTTTAAAACAACTGTTTAACTAATACAAGGACTAAGTTTCCCTTTGTCAGTGTAGTGGGGTAGATTTTAAAACTGCATAAGAGCAAAGTTAAGTGAAAGTGTTACTTGGAAGAGTTGCTAGCGATAGATAAATAATGGATTTCCCCTGCATTGAAAAAGATTTTAAATTTGAAACAATTGTAATCAATTATGAAAGTGAAGTCTGCTTATCTAAAGGTCAAACATAATGCCCAGCGAGAGAAATAAGATAAGGCCTAGCTCATATGCATGTTTCCAGACTACAGTACAGCATAGATACCAAGACATTTGCAGTTTTTGAGAGGCCACAGCCAACATTGCTATGCTGTTATCGTGTCATAGCCCTCTTCAAATGTTTAGCTTACACAATGAATGTATGTGTTTATGGAGGCATGGAGTCTTTTAGCATCCTCCTATGTGACACATTCCCCCCAATTTGACAATAGGAAAATTGAGTCTGCAAGCAAGGTCTTCAAGTCCCTGGGTTCAGTCTGGAATCTATAGTAATGAAAATGAGTGAGATCCAATGTTGTGTGAATGGGTGTTCATCCAGAATGCATAAAGTTTCCACTACCAAAACAAATATAGCTTTGCATGAGGAAAAGAATGACAGCTTGCTAATAGTTTTCTAAAGCAAGGTCATTGTTGATAGGATGTAAATATGGCAGAAATGTGACTTTAACTCAAAACTATGGGAGAAATGTGACTTCAAATCCAAATTGAAACAATGATCCCTTAACCACAATCTTAATCATTTTTAAATGAAATCACATGGGGTCTAGTTCCTAGATTATTTTCACATTGGATTTTCCAATAACTGCTGGTAATATGTCTGCCTTGTTCCAGGAAATGCTTTCTTGGCAGCATGGCCTCACTGTTCTTCTTTTCAAGTTTATAGTAAATTGTTAAAGGATTTGATATAATAGAGAACATAAGCAAACAAAATTAAGAGTAAAAATCCCACCCCTGGTCTAATACATGCTGTGAGTGGTCAATGTGGAATGCCAAATTGAGCTCTTGAGTGTTTATTTTATGGGATTTCTAGTTGGTTGGTTTATTATTCCATATCAGTTATGATTATTAGGTAACAATCCATGGAACTCCAACAGTTGCCTGAACAGTTGGACACTCTGCTTACATAACATTACCTGGCATTTATAGGGACAATTTCCTAAATGTTATTCCCCTATATCCCCCTCCTTCTTACTGTGCTGTTGCATTTCCCTCCTATTGCAAATGAAAAGATCTGAGGCTGGGGGAGTGTCTTTGAAGTGGGAACAGTGAACTACTGTATAAAGTAGTAATAAGAGATTGTGAAGTGTTATGTACATAAAAAACAGGGCTGTTGCCTCCTTAAAATGTTAGTTGATTGACTCTATGCATTACAGTACTAGAATAATTAAATATGCATACATTAGCATTTTGAGTAAGAAACATTTTTCTGCATACTTTTTGTTTTTTTAGATGGCATATGTATGAATTTCAACATTTTAAGTCAGTCCCTACTGTGTAAGAGAGGAGAGGGAATACTACTTCTAAGTTGGCGCCTGCCTCCTGCTGTTTTTGTATTAGAAATCTTTCCTTTTCTGCCTGATTAGAAAAGATGCCCTGATTACTTGGCTAAATGTACATCCCTAATCAAGTGCTGGATAAATATAAATAGTGTTTAAAAATTGGGTGAAACATTGTATGCAGATGCCTCCATTAAAACCTCCTTGGTTGATGTTTGTGGGAGAGGATGCAGAGACAGGAAGAGAGAGGCTAACTCCTCCCCACACTTGCCATAAGACTCTTATGCTAGATTGCTTCTACTTTGAAGCTGCTTTTTATTTCAAAAAGGATCAGTTTAGGTTGAAGTACACATGTTTGTGTGTACTATATCCTTCACTGAAGATAAAATTCCCAGTTTACTTCCTCTTTTTGATACCCAAGACATACTTCACTGCATATTTTAACATACCCATTGTGGAATTTTAATGATTATCCATATACTTAAGATGCATTCTAAAGTAAATTCCATCAGATTCAGTTGAATCATGAGCATCTCCACTGAATCTTTGCTAGAGGCTTATTGTAGAAGCACTTGTTGTTTGATGATGTCAAATCCTGTATCATTAATATTAGGCCCAAGATCTTCAGGCATCCTGGCCAACATTTTCATACATTGGCAAAGCTTTGTGATGAGTAAAACCTCTTGGTGGTTTAAACAGCTCTCAGTGAAGTTTTTTGGGTTGCTCTTAGATGAACAAAGTTTGCACATTAATGGAGTACAATAAGCCCGCAGCTTATGCGCATTTAACTTGTGCAAATTAAGATTTGCACACTTGGCAGAGAAAAAAAAGTGGAAAGAGGGCGGGAGTCCAGGGAAAAAAGATTCTGGCAATCCCACCCACCATTGAACCCAATATGTTTTGACGTGATTTTGGCTTTAGGCGTGATTTCCGGAACATAACCCTCGCATAAGTTGCTGACTTAGTGTAATTGCCTTAATTCTTTTCTTGCTTGCTTCTGCAGGGAGCTTTTTGCTATAGAGGCACTCGCAAAATAAATAGAATCTGTGTGATTTAATAACTGTAGTTTTCTAAATAGTTGCCACTAAGAAAGGTGATGCCTTAAGGTTGTAGCCAATGCTAGTCATACTCAGAGTAGACCCATTCAAATTAATGTCCTTGGCTAAATTAGCTCCCTTAATTTACGGTAAATGGGTCTATTCAACCTATAAAGTATAACTGTTCTGTGCCTGAACTTGAGCTTCTGTTTCTTTATCAACCATATTGACAAGGCATATTGACAAACATATTGTCAAACCATATTGGTACATTGGTGTACAAGTGACTACGCTCCGACAGTAACTTGCAGATGGGGAAATCAAGGGGCAAAAGCCCATCTGGACTATGTGTTAGAATGAAGGTGTTTGGTGGGGATTACTGCTGATGGAGTATACTTGAAATGGTGAATAATTTCATGTAATATTGAGCTGTTTGTGATGGTGAATTATAAAAGTGTTTCTAGCCTTCCGAGATACAAAGAACAGCTTTGAATGGGAGCAAATGCTCCTTTTTTTAAACCAGGCTTTGGTGGTGCTTGTGACCTGCTGAGCTACTTTCCTCTTTCATTGGGTTGCTCTACTTAATCACAGCTTAGCAAAAACCTCCAGTAACTTGATTGTTCTCTCAGCTACTTGTCTTGGCTAAAATTCCTGTGACATTCCCTCCATCCTTTTCTCAAGGTCCAGATCATCCGCACAGTTTGTCTTACAAGCTAGAACTTGGATCGGATCAGGAAATCCCCTCTGACTGGTATCCCTTTGCCACAGTGCAGTTTGTTGTGCCTGATGCATGCGCTTCCGGAACTGAAGTTAAATCATTGGGCATCGAGAGTGACATCCAACCCCAGAAACATGTGATACGTAAAGCATGTTACAACTGCCAGGTAATCTTCTTGTCCTCTTGTTTTGTTCTTTAGCCTGTTGGAGCATCAAGGCAACAAAGCAAATCAGGCAGCTATGCAAGGAAAAGCTTGGTATCACCCATTTATTTATTAAAGCATCAACTAAAATGGTCATGAAGGCACAATAAAGGCATGCTGGGCCACGAGCTAACTGTCAGTAGGGTATATCTTGTAAAAACCTATAGCTCAAGAACTGAATCCTAGAGATGCTAAGCCTGTAGGAACTTAAGTTTTCAGTTCTGCTGTAGCATGGCAGCTTTGAGGTACTGCAGTAAAATGCAAAGATAAACCTATTTTGGGACAGGGGGGTAAGGAAACTGAAATATAGTTTCACACCGTACAGACTTAGCTAGTGAAAAAGCAGTTTAAAACTGAAAACGTGTAGGGTTAGCTTTCAACTCAAACTCAGAGTAGGATTCTGTTTACTGAAGATTGATACCTGCACTGCAGAAAATTGATATATGTTTTACCTATTATGTTAGTTTTTAAATTTCTGCTTCAGTATTGATTGTTTTATATTTATAGCATTGTAACCTGGGGTCCTAGGACAAAGGGTAGGATGTAAGTTTAATCAATAATTTTATAATAGTATTTACTTTTCCTCTTGTTCTTATATTTTGTTTTCTACTTGGGGTATGTATCTGATGAGGTAGATTTTGATAAACCTCATGCACTCTGCAACTTTTAATTTGCAACAAAGTGCTGCAGGATTTATTGTGTTCTTATGCTATAAACAAACATGGCTTCTACTCTAGCAGGTGATTGCTGGTTACACAAGTCCTGGTTCATTATTGTCATCTAATTTTTAATAGGATTAGAATGCTAGCTATTGGCTCACTGGGTATAGTGTCAAGAGCTTCAATAATGTTACTGCTTTGTAAAAAGAATACAACCTTTTTGCTTTCATATTACAGGTTGAAATTGAGAAGAAATGGATAAGGCTTGATGGTGAAGATTCCAATAAATGTGGCAGTTGTCAAATGCAGTAGTGAGGAATTGAACTGAAGAGTCTGGTGTGCTGCTAGGACTGTGGGGGAAAGTGCTTTATATATTACCTCCAAATGAATTCGCAAGGCAGTGGACTACAGCATATTCTCTGCAGTTTGTCATGTTGAAAGACCAGATACCATTGGAAGTTTGTGCTCCTAACTTTTAGCTTACTGACCAATGTTATCCTTTAAAAAGCTAAAGCACACAAAGTCAATTCACAGTATCTTGAAAATTAGTGGCACTTGATATGAACTCTTGTAAGGCAGTTGGATATGAAGCATTTAGACTTAACATCAAATATATATTTTGCCGTGGTCCAGAAAGGTAAATTATAAATTTCAAATTAAGTTATGTATTACAGTTAGCCTGCAACTTATGTGGGGGTTATATTCCGGGGATTGCACCTAAAGCCAAAATTGTGTACAGTCCAAACACATGGGGTTCAGTGTCGGGTGGGATTGCCAAAGTCATTTTTAATAGACTCATAGAGTTGGAAGGGACCCCAAGGATCATCCAGTCCAACCTCCTGCAGTACAGGAATAAGCAGCTGTCCCATACAGGGATCAAACCTGCAACACTGGGATTATCAGCACCATGCTCTAACCAACTGAGTTGTCCAGGCTGATTCCTGGAACCCCACCCTTCCACTCCGTTTTTACTTATTTTTTATTTTTTTGCCATGAACACATAACTGAATGTAAACAAGTTAAACATGCATAAGTTGTGGATATACTGTATATATATTTGTAGGTACTTTGTGAATGTAATCATATGTCTTGCTCTTCCCAGTATTGGTAAATAATGCAAGCCTAAAGTATATTGAAAAGGGGTGTCATTTGGCAGAGCAGATAAGAGTTTCAGTGGCTCATAAATGGGATCTTTTTGGATGATTCCACTATATTGTTCCTGTACAGAGGAATATATGTATGGAAAATGTTACTTTTTAATCCCAAATCTACACTGGCTTTTCAGAATAGTTCCTGTCAGGAATTTAATTCATTGCTTTCAGCATTTCTTTGAAATCTATTGCATACATTCTTCCACACAGGAAGACATACCATGTTTCAAATAGCTAATAAGTGCTGCTCTTTTGGCCTCTCCTGTTTGAATCTGTAAATGGAAGTTTTTTCCTTTCATTCTTTGGAAGGGGACTCTGCCTGGGCTCATGGGGGGGAAAGGCATAGTGGGTAATAAAAATTCTTGACCTGAAAGGATGAGGCAAAGTTTTCATTTCAGGATCTTGGACAGAACAGAGTTATTTTTAACACATTGCCAACTATTATGAATTATTTTGGATCTCCAACAGGAACAGATGTTAGATCTGGAACAAAAGCATGTCCTGAATTGCTAGTCAAAGAAGCTATAAGATCCAGGAGACTCCAGAAGAACGTGGAAAGCGAGATGTTCCTTTGCGTTGCCAGCTGAGCTAGAGTTTGCTTAAGGGGTGTGCCACAGAAGACTTCTAAGTCTGAAGGAAATATGAAACTGTAAATGCTTTGACAATCACCTTAACCTTTTAGATGCTGACTTTTAAGCTTGTAGGACAGTTCTAATTGTCCCCTTATGGGAGACATCATCTTTGTCCTTTGCTTTTTGAGGCATTTCTTGTATACTCTAGAAGCCAGAGAAGTGTCTGTCTCTGTTTTAATCTGTATTGATGGATTTCTGCTTTATTGCGATTGCTCTAGATGATATCTTTGCTGTGTGTAAGTCTTTTTGGAATAAAGCTGTAATAGCATACTTCATCTCACTTTAATATTTTGTCCCTGCTGCAGATATTAAATATGGACCTTAACACTTCAGCTAATTCGCCCCAAAGGGAAAATGATTTAGAATAAATTGAGTTTTATTAATCTGGGAAAACATAGTTTATATTATAATTCCAGTTCAATGGAAGTGGATATTAAGTTACAGTCTCAATTCTCTATGTAGCTTTGTCCCAACAGTTAATTTTGAAGATACAACAGCTTCTCTAATCTCATTTTACTAGTAAATTGTCTTGAAATGTCAAAAGAGCCTTTAGGTGATAATAGCTCTGGTATATGCTGTTTGTTAGAAGGATGGATGGGGGTTTTTTTGGTCTCAGAGGAGGAAAAATGTTGGTTCTTGCTTTAGGTCATATTGAGGCTCAAATACTAGCCAATTTGCCTTTCACATTTAGGCTGTCATTTTCAAGCTCATCTGATAGCTCAAACCCCATTTATTCCAACAGGATTCTGTTGTAGTCTGGTATAGAAAAACATAACCCTTTCCAGATTTTTAAGGGTGGCAAATGCATTTTGGAAAAGGGAAATGTATCTTGTCTCCAGCGCAGCATTCCAGAGGTCTGACTCTTCATTTTAAATCATTGGCTGAAGAGAACTGTGCACACCGTCACTTGTGAAGGGTGGTGCAACTGCGTTGCTTTGCATACTTGTTGGTTGGTGAGGCAGTGCATACCTCCACTTACTTAAGTGGATAGTTCAGTTTCTGTGTGGATCAGTGTTCTTTAGAGCAGGCTGTACTCATTTTTGCTATTTGTTTGCCCTTGAAAAGATAGTGTAAATCTATGTTTGATTATTGCCCATGTTTACAAGCCACAAAAGAATACACCTATTAGTATCCTCCAAACTGAGAAATTTGGGTGGAATTCAACACCATACTAAGGTCGTCATTCCATCAGTGCAAGCATTTCTACTTACCAGGTAGAATGATCTCCCCTCTTTTCCCTCCACACACTGCTCTGGCGGTTCTCCTGATACCCCTGGGCGGTTTGAGGAAGGCATGAGGAGAGGAAAGGAGAGGAGAGGAGAGGAGAGGAGAGGAGAGGAGAGGAGAGGAGAGGAGGGCAAAGTCCCATTGTGCTGATGGGACTCGTTGCACTGGCTTCTGCTAGTAGCAACTATCCTTCAACTATCCTTAACCTTGTCATGTCCAGGTGTAGTTCAGAGCACAGTGTCCAGTTTTGAACAATAAAATATCAGAATTAGGAAGATGATAAGTTTATGGGTTATGTGGAAGTGTGAAAACACAAAACGCTACATTGATAAGAATTCAGCCATGACCATGCTGTTCCTAGAAACACTTCTCATGAGAAAGTTGCACTGAGTCTTAACACTTTGATAGCCACAATAAAGCAAATTCATTTGATTGCAGGGTGAACTTAAATCCAAGCAAATGTGCATCCTTAAAATACTTTTGGCGAGTCAGGCCAGACAGCAGCTGAAGTCGGATTTGGGTTTAGATTTCTTCTTCAACCTAACTCTAAGGTAATGGAACAAATGCTAGTGAGAGAATTTTGCTTCTTAATATCAAGAAACAACTAAACTAGAGTTCTGAATATTCTATGCCTTAAAAATATATGGAAGTCTCCTGTTGTTCTCAGAAGGTTTAGTTTCACATACTGCTGACCAACCCTACCCCCAACATGCATAGTGGTCTCCCCCTTGTGTCTGCAGCCCTGAGCCCTCCCATTAAGCCAGGAGTGGGGAACCTTGTTCAGGCCACATGTCAAAGGAGAGTAGGCCAAGAAGCCAAACTGGGTAGAGCAGTGAACTTAAATGTACTTTTATAGGGTAGGCTCATATCTGCTCACCCTCTCTATGAAGCTGCTGGGAGAGATCATCAGGGAGTTTGGGCTAGGTATTCACCAGTATGCAGATGATACCCAGCTCTACTTCTCTTTTAAATCAGAACCAGTGAAGGCGGTGAAGGTCCTGTGTGAGTGCCTGGAGGCGGTTGGTGGATGGATGGCAGCTAACAGATTGAGGTTGAATCCTGACAAGACAGAAGTACTGTTTTGGGGGAATGGGGTGGGTGGGTGTGGGGGACTCCCTGGTCCTGAATGGGGCAACTGTGCCTCTGAAGGAGCAGGTGTGCAGCCTGGTAGTCATTTCGGACTCACAGCTGTCCATGGAGGTGCAGGTCAATTCTGTTCCAGGGCAGCTGTCTACCAGCTCCATCTGGTACACAAGCTAAGACCCTACCTGCCCGCACACTGTCTTGCCAGAGTAGTGAATTCTCTGGTTATCTCCCGCTTGGAGTACTGCAATGCGCTCTACGTTGGGATACCTTAAAAGGTGAACTGGAAACTGCAACTAATCCAGAATGTGGCAGCTAGACTGGTGACTGGGGGTGGCCACCGAGACCATATAACACTGGTCTTGAAAGACCTACATTGGCTCCCAGTACATTTCTGAGCACAATTTAAAGTGTTGGTGCTGACCTTTAAAGCCCTAAACTGCCTCGGTCCATTATACCTGAAGGAGTGTCTCCACCCCCATCTCTCAGCCCGAACACTGAGGTCCAACTCCAAGGGTCTTCTGGCGGTTCCCTCACTGTGAGAAGTGAGGTTACAGGGAACCTGGCAGAGGCCTTCTTGGTAGTGGCGCCCACCTTGTGCAACGCCCTCCCATCAGATGTCAAGGAAATAAACAAATATCTGACTTTTAGAAGACATCTGAAGGCAGCCCTGTTTAGAGAAGTTTTTAACATTTGAAGCTTTTTTCTGCTTTTAATGTTCTGTTGAAAGCCACCTAGAGTGGCTGGGGAAACCCAGCCAGATGGGCAGGGTAGAAATTTATTATTATTATTATTATTATTATTATTATTATTATTATTCATCTATTCCATTCAGGCAAACAACAGCCATTCTTTGAATTCATGACACATTCCAGTCATGTCAAACACTTGAGGATGCAAAGCATTGACAGTGAGGTGAAGCCTGGGGAGAGTCCTGAGGGCCAGGTGGAAGGGTCTGGAGGCCACATTTAGCCCCAGACCTGAAGTTCCGTACCTCTGCCCTAGAAACATGAGAACTATTACTTTTTTAGATGAAAGTGGAGATTTCCTTTTCTTTCCATTCATTTATTAAACTTGCCAGTCTTGTCACCCAAAGGTCTCCAAGTGACTTACATTAAGTGTGTACACACACACACTACCATAAGGGGAAAAAAGAGGGAATCATAATGCATTAATATATCATCTAACATAATGCATATGAAAAATCAAAAACAGCATACCTGCCATATAAATAATAAGAAACAACATTAGGATTCTTAGAATGCAGAGTCTTACACCTTACATGAAACCATTTTTAGGAATTTAGTGTGAAAAGGTATTGTGCTGCAGTGGCGCAAAGGGAAGAATGAGCAAGGCCTTTGGGTAATGCAGCTCTGGTCCTGAGGCTGTTGCACAGCCTTGAATTCCAGCAGAAATCAGGCATGGCTGTCTCAGCTGCCCCGCCTGCAGCTTCTAGCTTCTACTTCACACATCTGGCCCTTGTCCTTCTCATCAACAGCCAGGTGAGGGAGGAGGAGCACCCATTTGTTCCCTGCCGCAGAGCCACTTCCTTCGTTACCTTAATGACCCATACTTGGGGGCCATTATGGCCCTTGCTGGATCCAGGAAGGGACTCAAACATACAGCCTGAGATAGGAGCTAAAGGAAGCAACGCCCCTCCTGTATCTGCACCTCTGGAGCAAGAAGGAACGAGAAAGTATCTTCAGCCTCATCTGAAATTCAGACTCCACATTTGAGCTTCCAGAAGCAGGCTTTCCAGCAATCTGGGTTTATCAAAATCTAATTCACCGCTATTTGTTGATGCAATGATTGCTAAACACTTGCTGTCTGCTGATTGACAAAGCTGGCACAATGAACGCCTGCCATTGACATCTGCAATTGCATGATTGCATGTTTTCATTCAGCCCTAGATATATAAAGACTATAATCTTTCTGTTCCGGTTTATTGTTGCACTACATACAGTATGACACTGACAAGCTTCAGTATGTAAACTCAGGACTGCAGAAAGGGAAAAAAAAGATATGCAGGCTGAAATAAGAAATTAACTAAAGCTATAGTTGTGTGGATGCTGGCTGTGCTGGATACATGCAACTGATATTTGAACATCCTTATGGATATAATAGTATCTATTTACTCCAAATGCTGAGCTGCAGTCAATGTGAGGGAGTTTAATGTGGCAATCATGATTCTCTGCATTTTATCCTTACAACAACCCTTTGAGGTAGGTGAGACTGGGTGCTTGGCCCAAGGTCACCCAGCAAGGCTCAGTGGTTTGGACTCATTTAATCATTGGCAGTGGGCACAAATGAAAGAGATTGGCAGACACATTTAAATGCCGGGGGGGGGGGGTCTTCTCTCTCCTCTGCTTCCACATCCTTAGCCCTAGCATTACTGTTGGCAAGGGTACATTGTGGGTGCGCACACAAGTGTAACTAATCCCACATCGCAGTCTTGTGACCATGCCACCCTGCTGTCTTGAGACTATGACACTCTATTCATTCCAACAGAAATGCTGCCGGAGGTAGTGGCTTCCGGGGAGGCATTGTAGCAGGTCAGCAGCATCTGTTGGGATGCTGTCGAAAGATGTAATTAAGTGGTGATTATAGATAGACTATCAAATTATCTCTGAAGAACAGAGGTAACATTGGGATAAACTTCCAAATGCTCTGGAAGGGTTGCACTCTGCTGTGGGATCGAGAAATCTTCAAGAAGGGGTGAGTGACAGCATGTGGGAGAAATTGCAATTTTGTCCAAGCGCCACTTAAGAGCTCTGGAGATTCTTTCAGCATGAAAACATACATAATTACAACGTAACAAAAGTCATAAAAAATACACAACCAAATTGAACAATTTCCACATACAAAAAAATCAATATCAGTAACAGCAACAACACCCCTGAGCAATACCCCAGCCCAAGAGTCTGCTGAGCAGCCTCATCTTCTGCAGCGGGAGCCAGTCAGGGTCCTGCCCTTTCAGGTCAGGTGGAAAAGGCAAGGCAGTGAGCAGGTCATCCTAGCATACACTAAAACTTTATTCCCTTAATCATCCTCCTTGCCAGCTGTTTGCTTTCTGGAACTAGGTTTTTTCTGCAGTCATCCCTGGTTTCACACTGTACTGCCTAAGAAAAACATTCAGAAAATTTAGTTGCTTTATAATAGAGCTGCAAGACTATTCAGTGGTCAAGACCTTTTGCTTTGATACTGTGCAACCTTCATTTGTTGCCATTTTGTGTCCAGGCTCAGCTGAAATGGCTGATTTTAACTGTTAAGGCCCTAAAAATTATGGGCCTGGGCTGAGATATCTTAAGGACCATCTCCACCCATGTATACTTTAATGAGTTTTACTATCGTATTTCTCCAGAAAGGATTATCACTCTGGTCTGTCTTACCTGGATAGAGTTTTGGACTTGAAGAAACGAGTGTTAATAGCATTGGGATGCTGCGATGATGTGTTTCCATGGGAACTAATGGTTGAACTATCTTCATTAAATCAGCTGAATAGGGCAAAAACAGACCTCTCAGCACACCTCGAGATTTGTTTTATTTATAATTGCAATTTATATCCTGTCCTTCTTCCCAGAGCCATCCACAACAGAGGAATAACCCATTAATAATGCTATGGGTTAGTGGGGGGAGAGGGATCCCACAGATTCCTGGGTGCCAGATTTCCCTCTCTAGATTCTTGGGTGCTAGGGGTTAATCAGAGCTGACAGCCTGAGCTTGGATTTTTTTGCCAGACAGAAGGGCAGAGGGAGATGGTGGTCTTGCAAAAGCCATCTGCAAGACAAAAGCCCCTACTGGACATGGTGTTGCACAGGAAAAAAAACCCCTGTCCTTTTACACAGAGATTTTTTTTGCAAGGTGTTTTGAGAACAAGGAGGATGTGCAGCAGGACTCTATGCATGCTGGCTGGGAGAGGCTATGCCAAGAGGCACAACTGGCTGCTGCTGCTGGACCCAAGCTTGTGGAAGCTATGAGAGGAGTCGTGGTGAACTATGGCACCCCATGCAAGGGATTTCTACAGGTGAGGTGCCACCACTGAGAAGACCCTGCCTCAGGTGACCATGTTGTGAGCTTGCTTCAATGGCAGGACCACAACAAGAGCCTCTACTATCAATTTTAATACACAGGCAGACTGATAGCAGGATGCACACTTTTGGATATTTGGGTTCCAAGTTGTTTGGAACTTCATATGTTAAAGTCAGGGCCTTGAATTTGCCCACTCAATTACAGACAACCAATGGAACCCCTTTAATGGTGATCTTATGTGATTATGCTCACTGGTGCATTCATGGTTCTGGTAGCCACATTTTGCACAGTCTTCAAAGGAAGCCCCAAGAAGAGTACATTTCTAGCTTGGAAGTTGCCAAACCATGGGTTACTGCGGCCTTGGTAATATGGCACCCTGTGCGAGGCCAAAATTTGATGCCTCCCAACCTAATAATAATAATAATAATAATAATAATAATGATAAAATAATTTATTTATACCCCGCCCTCCCCAGCCAAGAAGGGTCTCAGGGCGGCTAACACCAAATATAAAAACAATTGATTGAAATACAGCTTAAAAAACAAGATTAAAATACAACATTAAAACATTAAAATGCAGTGGAAACTCAATCAAAAACTTTTTTGGGGATGAAAACGTCAAGTTTTCTTTCTTTTTTTTTTTTTTAAAGCAATTTATTGGGTTTTACAATAGGAATAAATGTAATAAACAATATAGCATTCGTCTTAACATAATTTCACATTTTCTTTGGACTTCCTCACATCTCCCGCTCCCACCTTCATCATTATAACATTTTGTCAGCAATTTATCATCTTATTTAAATTCTTATATCTCTTCGATATTTCATAATCTTAAAGTTCTCATAAAGAGTTAAACTTTCACAATTTTTCTTGTTTCCTTAAAAATTTCTAAGTTAAGTGGTGCTCAGTTATTTAGTCCAGCATCTTATTCAGCATTCAATCAAATCACAATGTTTTTGTAGGTAGTTCTTAAATTTCTTCCAATCCTCCTCGATTCTCTCTTCTCCCAGGTCACGGATTCTGCCAGTCATTTCAGCCAGTTGCATATAGTCTATCAGTTGCATCTGCCATTCTTCCAGTGTGGGTAGATCTTGGGTTTTCCAATGTTTTGCGAGTAGTATCCTTGCTGCTGTTGTTGCATACAGAACAACTGACTCGTCCTTCTTTGCCACCCCTTGGCTGACAATACCCAAAAGGAAAGCCTCTGGTTTCTTAGTGAAAGTATATTTAAATACCTTTTCAATTCATTATAAATCATTTCCCAGAACGCCTTCACTTTAGGGCATGTCCACCAGAGGTGAAAGAACGTTCCTTCACACTCTTTGCATTTCCAGCACTTGTTGTCAGACAGGTGGTAAATTTTTGCAAGTTTGACTGGGGTCATATACCATCTATAAATCATTTTCATTACATTTTCTTTCAAAGCATTACATGCAGTAAATTTCAATCCATTACTCCACAGCCTTTCCCAGTCCTCAAACATAATATTATACCCAATATCCTGTGCCCACCTTATCATGGCCGATTTAACCATTTCATCCTGTGTATTCCATTCCAACAGCAAGTTATACATCCTTGAAAGTATCTTAGTCTTTGGTTCTAACAATTCTGTTTCTAATTTCGATTTCTCCACCTGGAACCCTAGTTTCTTATCACTTTTAAAAACTTCTTTAATCTGAGCATAGTGTAACCAATCTCGCACTTTGTCTTTCATTTTCTCCAAGCTCTGCAATTTCCAATTGTCTCCATCTTTTCTAGTATTTCCCAATATTTTGGCCATTTGGCCTCCATATTGGGTCTTTTTCGGCCTTAGCTTCCAAAGGTGAAAGCCACCTTGGTGTTTTATTTTCCAGCAAGTCTTTATATTTTGTCCAGACATTAAACAGTGATTTTCTAACAATATGGTTCTTAAAGGCCTTATTTGCTTTAACTTTGTCATACCATAAATATGCATGCCATCCAAAAACATTGTTAAACCCCTCCAAATCTAACACATCAGTGTCTTCAAGAAGTAGCCAGTCTTTTAGCCAGCAGAACGCTGCGGCTTCATAGTACAACTTTAAGTCTGGCAGGGCAAAGCCCCTCTTTGTTTAGCATCGGTTAATATCTTAAACTTAATTCTGGGCTTTTGCCCTGCCAGACAAACTTCGAAATGTCTCTCTGCCACTTCTGAAAGCACTCCATTTTGTCCAATACCTGCAGTGTTTGAAATAAAAACAACATTCTTGGCAATACATTCATCTTAATCGCAGCAATTCGGCCTAACAAAGAAAGTTTCAATTTTGACCAACTGTCTAAGTCTCTCTTAATTTCTATCCAACATTTTTCATAATTATCCTTAAATAGACTTAGATTTTTGCTGTTATGTTTACCCCTAGGTATTTTACTTTTTAACCACATTAAGTTCCGTCTCATTCTGAAACCGTTCTGACTCTGTCTCAGTCAGATTTTTCCCCAAAACCTTAGTTTTCTGTTTGTTTAATTTAAATCCCGCCACCCGACCAAAATCATTAATCAATTGTAGTACTCTTTTCGTACTAGGCTCTGGCTTCTGCAAGGTCAAAACCAGGTCATCTGCAAAAGCTTTTAATTTATATTGTTTCTGACCAACCTGAATTCCTTCCACCAGCTGGTCCCTCTAATCATGTTCAATAGCACTTCCAGGACCGAAATAAATAACAAAGGGGAAATAGGGCAACCTTGTCGTGTCCCTTTTTCAATTTTGAACTCTTCTGTAACCACATTATTAACTATCAGTTTTGCTTTCTGTTCTGAATATATCGCCTCAATCCCATTCTCAAAACCCCGTCCCACTCCCATCTCTTTTAAGTTTCCCATCATAAATTTCCAAGAAATGTTATCAAAGGCCTTCTCCGCATCTATAAAAATTAAAACAGCTTTTGTATTTATGTCAGTTTGGAGAAGTTCCAAAATATCAATAATGTTCCTTGTGTTAGCAAACAAATGTCTACCTGGGAGAAAACCGGCCTGGTCCTTATGAATTACTTCATTTAAAACTTTTTAAATCTACTTGCCAAAATATCTGCAAATATTTTGTAATCCACATTTAAAAGGGAGATGGGACGGTAGTTCTTCAGTTGTGTCTTTTCAGTTTCTGACTTTGGTATCAATGTGATAAACGCTTCCTTCCACGAATCCGGTGCCCTCGTCCCTCCATAATTTCATTGCTAACCTCCATCAAAGGTTGTATCAAATAGTCTTTTAGTATCTTGTAATACTTGGAGGTCAGCCCGTCTGGCCCTGGAGATTTGCCAAGTTGCATGTTCTGAATAGCTTGTTCAATCTCCTGTCGTGTTATTTTAGAGTTCAGGATTGTCCTATTTTCTTGTGACAGTTTAGATAATCCATTTTTGGCAAAAATTGTTTAATCTCAACTTCGTCTTGCGGCCCTTGGGTATATAATTTTTTAAAATATCTCTGGAAACACTTTCTAATGTCCACCGGATTCTGAATGTTTCTTCCATCAACCTCTAAATTTGTAACCGTGTTTAATCTTTGTCTTCTCTTCAACTGCCAGGATAGCAGTTTTCCACATTTATTCGCCGACTCAAACGTTTTTGTTTCATTAATTTGATCTTCCATTCAATTTCCTGATTTATCAATTTAGAATACTGTGTTTGATACAGTTTAATTTCTCTCAGAGTTGGCTGTGACTTTGGATTCACTCTTAATTTCTTCTCTAATTCTTTTATTTTATCCAAAATCTTGTCTTTTTTCTCATTTTGTGTTTTTTTCTTTACTACATTCTGTTGTATCAGGAATCCCCTCATAACAGCTTTGCTTGCGTCCCAGACGATTCTTTTTCCACCGAATTGTTCATATTTATCTCAAAATAATCTTTCAAAACTTTTTGGGCCTTCTTGGTAATTTCCTGATCTCTAAACAAATTGTCATTCATCTTCCATCTAAAGGATCCAGTTGGTAGTAGTGTCATGTCCATCTTTACTGCGTTGTGGTCAGAACAGGTCTTTGGGCAGATTTCCACTTTTCTAACCCTAGGTGCCAGGCCTCTAGAGATCCATATTTGGTCGATTCTTGTCCAGGTCAGTTGGGCTTCAGAAAAGAATGTTCCTTCTCTGCCTAGTGGGTTCTTTGTTCTCCAAATGTCGATCAAGTCCATATTGTCAGTCATTTCAAAAAAAGTTTTAGGTAGTCTGCCATCTTTTGTGATGTTTTGACTTTGCGACTTGTCCATGTTAGTTGACACGACCCTGTTCATGTCTCCCATCATTATGATGTTGTTGTAATCCAGATGATCCAGCATTGTCCCCTGCAACTTCTTGTAAAATTCCGATTTCCCTTCATTAGGCGCATAGATTCCTAATATCAGCAGTTTCTCTCCTTGATATTGTATCTCAATAGCCAAAATCCTTCCATGCTCATCTTTAAATAGAAATTTAGGTGACAGGCTCTCTTTTGCATATATCACCACTCCTCTCTTCTTCACTTTATCCGACGAAATAAATTCCTGGCCCAATCTTTTATTTATTAACACTTTTCTGTGGAGCCTCGTCACATGTGTTTCTTGTAAGCAAATAATGTCCAATTGTTCTTTTTTAATATATGAAATATTTTCTTCCTTTTCTCCGGAATATTGCAACCATTAATATTCCAACTCAACAGTTGCAGAGACATCCTGGATCTATCTGGTTATTTCTCCTGGGGTGGTGTCTTCTCTTGATCTTCAAGTTCCCGAGGTGGAGATATTGATGCTGGCTTTGCCTCAGGCCCGGAAGGTAGTTCAATTCCTTTATGTAGGTCCTCTCCGTGTGTAGCCAAAAATTTATCTCTCTCTTCCAATGTTCTGATTTTAACCTTTCTCGCTCTAAAGGTAAAAGATAATCCTTGGGGAAAATCCCACCTGAATGGAATTGCGTTGCTCCTTAATAGTTTAGCAAGTTCGGAATAGGCGGCTCTAAGGTCCAACAGTTGTCTTGGGATATCTTTATATATCTCAATTCTTCTATCCAAAACTTCCAGTGACTTTTCGTAATGTAGGCCCAAAATCTTATCCCTTTCCTCCTTCGATCTCAATGTAATCAAACAATCCCTGGGCCTCTCCTTCTTTGTAAATCTTCCAAGTCTGAAAGCTGACACAATTTTAAAGTCCTTTTCTTCCAAATTCCAGAACTTGGAAAGTTCTTTGGTCAAAAACTCAGTTAGATTTCCTTCTTCTGCCTCTTGTAATGATCTAATCCTCAGATTATTCTCACGATTTCGCAGTTCTATCATAGAAAGATAAGTCTGATGTTCCCCAACTTGTTTAGTGAGTGGTCTTACCTCTTGCTCTAAATTTTCCAATTTTTGTCTGGTATCCTCAGCCAATTTTCGGTTTTCTACTGAGGCCTCCGTCAACTGTCCAATTGCTTGTGTATTCTGTCCCACCTGTGTAGTTAATTTGTTTAGACAATCTGTATTTTTATCAATCTTTGCTGATTGCGCATCTACTTTCTTGTCCAAAGCTTCCAATTTTTCAAAGATTTTTTCTAGCACAGAAACAGATGCTCCTGAGGCCATATCTTCCAATTGTAACTGCTCTACTTCACCCTCTCCCTCTTTTGCCTGTGACAAGGCAGCTTCTTCAAGTTGTACTTCTGAGGGCAAAGTAGGCACAGATGATCTACGTGTCTGCGAGGTTGAGGTTAGATTTGTTAGAGTTGTTTGTCTAACTCTTCCTCTTCTTCTTGTACCACTCATTCCAATGTTATCTATCAGTCAAGGTCACACTGAGTTTTTCCCACAGGAATAGAGAGGCCCAGAGCAAGCAGACAGCAAGAGAATCGAAAGTAAATGTTTTTATAAAGTCACTGTTTTAATCCAATCCTCTAGGGGGAGCTTAAAGTGTCTTTTCAGAGTCTAATTTAATGTCCCAGAACCTTCCAATATAAGTATTAAGCAGAGTTTAAAAGTAATCACTTTGTTGCAGACAGTGCTTATTTGTCTCCAAAAGAATGTTTCAAATTTAAAAGGTCTCAATACCCTCAGATTGTTGCAACTTCTAATATACAGTATCCAAGTCAAACACTGACAGCCCACTGTTACAGTGCTCAAGCAATCCTGACTCTGGGTTTCACCTTCCAATTTGTAATCCAATAAAAGGGGGAAAGTCAAGTGCAAATAAAAGGTCCAAATCTTTAACTTGCTAATTTTACTTTAAATTGTAAGTTCCATAGATGCTTGGCTGTGTGGAGTTTAAAATCTCTTTCTTTCAGCCTCCACTCCTCCACTTTAGTTGCTTTTTTTCCAAGTTCAATGGCAGCGGAAGACGGACTTCCTGTTTCCACGTCTCTCCGCTTTCAGCCAAATTCAAGTCAATTTAAACCTTCTCATTTAAAATTTGTAATTCCAAGTGATTCAGTCTTTACTCACGAGTAAGTTGTTTTCTGCCAGATCCGAATTTTAGCAGGAAAAGGGTTCAGCGCTCACCGGCAGCAGCAGCGCGGCTTCACTCCGCTGACTGTGAAACGGCTCACAGCGCCGCAGCCCCCCTCCACGCTCCGGAGCCTCTTACGAGGCTCCTTCTGCAGCTGGAGGGCTGCTCTTGGCGCCCGCCGAGCCTCAGGACCCCAGGCTCTTGCTGCCTGGGGTTTTTCTCCTTGGGTCTCCGCTTCGCCGTAGCGGACGACCCGGTTTCAGCGGAGCTTCTTCTCCGATCGGGAGAAGACCGCCATTACCGTTCGCGCCGCCCCCCGGAAGTCCTCAATCAAAAACTTTTTTGGGGATGAAAACGTCAAGTTTTCACCAAGCTAACTATCTGGACCGGTCCAACATGGGCCAGAAAAAAGCCAGGGAAGTTCTAACATAGAAGGAGAAAGGAAAAAGGAAAAAATCCCTCCTGTCTCCTTCCCGGAGCGGGGCATGCGCTAACTAGGCTTTGGGAAGGAGGCAGGAAGATGCCCTCTCGGCTCGGCACCCTGAGCAGGGGAACCAGTCATGTTGCCTTAAATCTGCCTCTGACAGCGTTCTGGCTGTTGTATTCCAGAAACAGTCACAGCTGACGAATCAGCCATAACTGGTTTTAGAAACGCTTTATGTTTTTAAATATTTTTTACTTTTAAAAAAATATTTATTTTATTACATTTCATACCTGCCCTTCCCCACAAGGTCTCAGGGTGGGTTACAACGATAAATAAGACCACTGAAACAGTTGCAACCATTAAATGGAAAATGTTTAAAATATTGCATTGTTTTGCTGCTTAGCTTTTTGCTGCCATGGGCTCCCTAGGGAGGCATGCTGGGGTGGGAAACAAGCAGATAAATACTAGCTAAAAAGGGTACTCCTTGTCACAGACACCACCTAGGCAATGCTGTGTCACAAAGGTGTGTGTGTTATTCTGAGGCTCTCTTTGTTTGCTGTGCTGTTGGACAGAGCAATCCGTGGAGGTTGGGCCAGGAAGGGGATTGTCTATGGTGAAGGAGCCAAAACTTCCCCAGCCCTGACAGGCCTAGTGTGATGGCTCTCTGTCCCCCTTTAGATTCCCATCCCCCCCCCCCGTTTAGAATTCCCCTCCTTTTCCTTCCAATCAGGACCAGCCCTGTTGTTGTTTAGTCGTTTAGTCGTGTCTGACTCTTCGTGACCCCATGGACCAGAGCACGCCAGGCACTCCTGTCTTCCACTGCCTCCCGCAGTTTGGTCAAACTCATGCTGGTAGCTTCAAGAACACTATCCAACCATCTTGTCCTCTGTCGTCCCCTTCTCCTTGTGCCCTCCATCTTTCCCAACATCAGGGTCTTTTCCAGGGAGTCTTCTCTTCTCATGAGGTGGCCAAAGTCTTGGAGCCTCAGCTTCAGGATTTGTCCTTCCAGTGAGCACTCAGGGTTAATTTCCTTAAGAATGGATGCGTTTGATCAGGACCAGCCCTACTATTAGGCAAAAGGAGTCAGCAGATTCTGAGAGGTGGGAGCGGACAGAGCTGTGTGAGCCACTACCTGTTCTGCCCTGAGTTCCCTGAGCTAGTCTGTGGTCCCCAAGCACAGCGGAGGACACACAGTCCCATTGCCACGTGAGATTCAACCACCATTCTGGTGGACTTTTGGACAGTGGTACCTCGGGTTAAGTACTGAATTCGTTCTGGAGGTCTGTTCTTAACCTGAAACTGTTCTTAACCTGAAGCACCACTTCAGCTAATGGGGCCTCCTGCTGCTGCTGTGCCGCGGGAGCACAATTTCTGTTCTCATCCTGAAGCAAAGTTCTTAACCCGAGGTAAAATTTCTGGGTTAGCGGAGTCTGTAACCTGAAGCGTATGTAACCTGAAGCGTATGTAACCCGAGGTACCACTGTACATGGATTCAGGAAGCGGCTATTGTGTCCTTTGCTTTGGGCAGGACAATGGCTTGGGCGAGTTCTGCTGCCAACCATAGGAGAAATACCACTGTGCCTGTCTGGAAAAGGAATAATAATAATAATAATAATAATAATAATAATAATTTATTATTATTTATACCCCGCCCATCTGGCTGGGCTTCCCCAGCCACTCTGGGCGGCTTCCAACAAAATACAGTAATGCATCAAACATTAAAAGCTTCCCTAAAGAGGGCTGCCTTCAGATGTCTTCTAAAAGTCTGGTTGTTGTTGTTCTCTTTGACATCTGGTGGGAGGGAGTTCCACTGGGTGGGCGCCACTACCAAGAAGGCCCTCTGCCTGATTCCCTGTAACTTGGCTTCTTGCAGTGAGGGAACCGCCAGAAGGCCCTCGGCGCTGGACCTCAGTGTCTGGGCTGAACGATAGGGGTGGAGACGCTCCTTCAGGTATGCTGGACCGAGGCCATTTAGGGCTTTAAAGGTCAGCCCCAACACTTTGAATTGTGCTCAGAAATGTACTGGGAGCTATGGATGCTATGGATTTGGAATCACCCCATATCCCCCCCCCCTTTAGCTCTTGAGCTTCTGCTGGGGCATCTGTAACTAGGGGATTTCCTATCACCAACAAAGGGAGGACCTTCACAATGAAGGTCATAGAATCATAGAATTGGAAGGGACCATGTGGGTCATCTAGTTCCAGTTCCTGTAATGCAGGAATCTCCCCCCCCCCCCAATGTGGGACTTGAACTCTGAGACTCTCATGTCCTACCAACTGAATTATCTCAGAGAAAGGCATGTAATACCACACAGCCCTTGGGGTGTCCTTCCCAGGGATCCCTGGTCTGCACCCTTTTATGTGCTTAATCTGTTATAACCTGCCTGGGGTTTATTGTATTAGAGAAACAGCAAATTAGTGAATGTATGTGAATGAATGAATGAATGAATGAATCAATTTATTTCGGTCACTGACCAGAGTGTGAATAAATCTGCCAGGAAATGGCAAGCAGCATTTTTGTTTAGACTTTGGGCACAGGGAAGCAATCTTTTGGCAGAAAACTGAATAAGGATGAGACTGGGGATGTTGGTTGCCACATCTCTTTTGTAAAGTGGCATAAAGTCGGGATTTGGCCGTCGGAAACAGTGTCCGGGTGGAAATCGCCAAAATGTCTGGGGAAATCCGAACGTATGGCAACCCTTGTTGGCAGTGCTGTTTTGGGCAATTTTCCTTAAAAATAGCTCAAAAGCTTCTTCTTTTTTGAGATTTTGCTGAAAAAACTTGACAGCTTTGGTCAAAAAACGCCCCCTTTGTGTCCGGGTTTTCACTTTTTGAAATATGGCAACCCTACATTTGCAAAGAGATTGGGGTGGGATTATATGCCTTTGTGATTATTTACATCATGCAGTTTATGTGGGCCTGAGGATCCAGTCTTGAAGATTTGCTGGGGAAAACGTTGGGCAAGGAAGGCCCATCCACCTTTCTCACTCTCCAAATCTTGTTCGCTTCCCAGCACAGAGCTGGTATCCAGGGCCCCCAGACTGGTGCGTGATTTGCCAAAATGTAGATCACCCCTTGGAATATATAGGCCAGGCTCCCTGTAAAGATTAAATGAAAAACGACACTAATAAAAAAATTGTGCTTTTTGAGCAATACTCGCTTAAAACAGAAGAGGGCATTAGTTAGCTATCATGAATGGATCTTTTTTTAAAAACCAAGAAAAAACCCCAGATCACAGCTCTTAGAAGCAGTTAAATCTTTTTTAGAAAAATCTGGAGTTAAATATAAATCATCATTAGCTATCAAGCCGAGTGAAAAGTATAAATAATTAAAAGTGAGCAGTTCTTGTAGATCGTAAATGTCGAAAGCATGCCCCTTCCATTTTAAGTTCATCCTCATGGTTACGTAAAGGACAATTTAAAAATTGCTTATGATGAAATGAGTTAGCACAAACCGCTGCCTGATCACTGGCTTTGCCATGCTCTTACTAGTCACCTTCACATCATAACAGTTGTTGGCGTCTGTCTGTCTCGGGAGACAATGGAGGACTGAGCCTTTGGGGGTAACGTCAAACTGTTGGAGACTTACAGCACCTGCTGTGGCTGTAGAGATCGATACAGGAGAGACATGTTTTGTTGTAGCCAGAGCAGATGAAGGCATCCATTCGGTTATGCTGCTGCAGATGCACCATGGCGTTTATTCTCTCTGTGCTCTTCCCAGCAGTTATTCCCTCTCTGGTCACTGCCATGGATGTACAACCTATCTATCTCCAGGCACCACATTTGCAGACATATTTGCAATGCACATCCTTGGGATTCTTGCCATCTTCCATTCTGTGGACGCGGCAAAGCCAGTGTAGATGTCACTGAGAAAGCAGTGTGAACATGGGTTTGGGAGAGCACATCTTTGAGACTGTCCTGATGCCCCAAATCTCCCTGATGTAGCACATGTAGAAGGCATTGAGGGGTTGCTCCTGGTGGTTGTAAGTTGCCAGTGACTCATTTCAATAAAGCAGCAAGCCTGGTCGACCTTCATCTTGGGATTGGTCCTTAGCATCACATTCTCCCACACCTTTTTTTTGCAGAGGTGGGCCACTGCGGTAGCTGCCTTGTCAATATGCTTGTCTAGCTCACCATTGATGGGGAGATTGCTGGTTATGGTGGGACCCACTTCAGCCATGTGGTCAGCAATGCCGATGCATGGAGTGCTGGATACGTCCTGACCAAGGATGCTGGGTCTTCATCAGGCCGGTGGAAGGCAGAAATTGCTGCAGGATTGGGCAAAATGGTTGACGTGTTTATTGGCGGCTCTGTTGCAGACGGAAGGGAATTCCTCCCTGCGAATCTCATGCCATGAATACGTGGTTATCTTGGATGCCCTCCTTGCTGGAAAAAGGTGTAGTTCTTCTCTCTGAGGCAGTCATTTGAAGTGAGCCTGGTCCCTTGTAGAGTTAACGCTCCTGTACAGTTAGTGCGCAGTTAATGCACATGCAAAGAACATCACTTCTCCCAAAGAACCCTGGGAATGATGGTTTGTTAAGCACACTGGGGGAGGAACGGGGGGCGGAGCGCAGTGCCCCCATCACCATTGGGGAGGGAGGTGTCATTGTGACCGACCCCTGGACATGTGTTGCGCACTCCCACTGCACCGGGCACACGCCCCCGCGGGCACTGCGCCACACCCCCGGGGCGCACGCCAGCCACACCCCCACCCTACCTGCTCTCTGCCCCTCGGTGCCGGAGCATGCAGCTTCGCCACTGGTTAAGCATGCTGGCAATTGCAGCTCTGTGGGGGTAAACTGCAGTTCTCAGAATTGTTTGGTAGATGCCCTGTGCTTTAAATATATGGTGTGGGTTGTTTGAAGGAAGATTAGGACCACATCAGGATCAGTGCTCAATAAACAGGTCATCCGGAAGCAGCCATGGTCTCATTCCAGCCCAGAAGGATACCAAGTACAGTGGTACTTCTGGTTATGTACTGAATTCGTTCTGGAGGTCCGTTCTTAACCTGAAACTGTTCTTAACCTGAAGCACCACTTTAGCTAATGGGGCCTCCTGCTGCTGCTGCGCCGCCGGAGCACGATTTCTGTTCTCATCCTGAAGCAAAGTTCTTAACCCGAGGTACTATTTCTGGGTTAGCGGAGTCTGTAACCTGAAGCGTCTGTAACCTGAAGCGTATGTAACCCGAGGTACCACTGTATTGAAAGCCACTGAGATCTGGAAGAATCCTCAGAGATCCACCCAGGGGTGCTGCTAGACTCCTAAAGGATGCAGCGACCAGGGCCCTGACCCTCGGACGTTTTTAGAAGATTCTGACTGTATTACAGAACGCTTAATTGCACTCTTCCCTAAGCAACGTACATATCTGAATACAATAAAAACATCAGCATCACCCAGAAGCGCCTGGAGCTGCGCTGCTATTGCATGTTTGACTTCCTAGCTCCCCAA